CTGATGTTCCGGTAGTCCTATAGTCCACGAATAGGGATGTATGATCCCCTGCATCAATATATTTGTCTTTGGGGTCTGTCACCCACCTTAGTGGACATCCAATACGGCAAACACGTTACCTTGCAGCTTCGGATATAAACTTTCTGCAGTCTGGACGACTGGAAGAAAAGTACTGCAGTAATGTGAGACATATCACCGTCTTCTTGCGCTTCTACACTTTGGCACGGAGTTGTAAAACTTGCCATATCGATCTTAAGAATTATAACCAAATAATGCATTCAAACATCACCAACTTCGCCTAACCTCCACTTATTCTGCGTTCTCGTCTCGATTTACGCCGAGAGCAGCGAGCGAAACACCCGACTCCCCGAAGATCCATGTCTCCACCCGTAAACCATCGATCGATTGAATAACACGTCCGGGACAAGACGGTAAGTTCCGTGAGTGTGCGGATGGCTAGCCAAGTCCAGTCAGCGTGAACAAGGGATGATGTTATGGCGTGTTTCAAGCTTGGGGGCTAATTTGTCCATAATTCTCGGTCTATGGGTCTACCACGTCGCCCCGACAAAGCAAGAACAGCCCTCTACTTTTGATGAGGGGCACAGATTGATTAGATGAGAGGTCGTATAGAAGAGGCACAGCAATGGATATCTTGCCTTCTGGGGTCTAATCACTACTATGTGCCGTGGAGCTTGTCATGTTGCCTGCGTCAGCAGCCCATCAGTATGGATGTTATTATTGGGGTTCATCAACGTAGTCAGTCTCATGGGGCGTGGGTTCTTAAGCAATTGTCCTGTAAAGTGTGATATGCAATTGTCAAAAGTGCCATCTCTTCTCTCACGGCCTGTTGAAGTAACAATGGGGAAAGAATTGTATACTTTTAGTAATAATATTCTAAGGAAAAGCATAAGTTAAATTGAATAATTATATAATATCTATATTTTCCCTCCGTACCACATGACTTCTTAGACATTACTTAGAAAATTCCATCTAACTTCTAACTATGACTGGCTCTAGGGTAATGGTCATAACCAAATTTTTAAGAGCTCAGCTCCTAACGACCATTGCCAATTGACCCACGCAGCACCACTTTTCTCAATCCCGTCGGCAAAGGAAAACCTTAGAATTTTGTTCTGTTCTGTGGAGATAAAACAGTGACATGCCCTCGTAAATTGAAGGGCCGAAATATGGGCTCCCACCACAAAATCCATAGGGTTATATGGAGTCATCACCAAACAACTGTCTATTATACCCATGCATATCGGAACTCGGGATGAATAAACAAGCCGAGTGCTTCAGATTTCCCATTCAAGCCTCTGGAGCAAATTCACCTGGCAGACAGACCCCTTAATTTGTAGCACGCGCACAGACTAGTAGCTGAACACGATGTCTGCGTTTCAGTTATGGTATTTGGAACCTAAAAAGCTTAGCCCCCTTCACAAACAAGAGCCACAATTGTCTGTCAGTGCCATTGAAGCTTGTTTTTAAGCATTAAAAATTAAAGGGAGTTAAACTCAAGTTACATGGGCAGCGTAAAATTGGTGTATCGTATCCTGACCACTGTTGGGCTAGCCATGTCCGAAAAAAAAGAATATCCACCTGTCATGATTCCACTCTAATTTCCGGCGAACGAGAATTGGGGTTAGCTCCTGTTCCTTTTCAGCCCTGTCCATCGGACGATGTCACTGTTTAGGTTTACTGCGATTGAGCGTTTGGTCTTATCGTGATCAGATGTCTCGATTTAGTATGCTGGTAGTTAGTGGCATCGGGGTTGATGCAAAACAACTACTGTCCGCGCACCGAATACGCGTTGACTGACACAAAGAACTGGGGATTTATTGTATACAATCCTTGCTAGTATGTTTTTCTCCCTGCGGCTCCATCCGAGAAACAGGTAGATGGATTTCAGGGTGACACGTTCTAGATTAGGTCGATGGGTGACATGCTCTCGCTGTGCGAATAATATTCCTCCAATCAGAGGACGTCTCCTGTCAATAACACCCTTGAATGAGATCTGAAACATGAAGCTTACAAGGTCATGACATTGTGCTATAAAGACTTCAGATCCTCCCTTCAAGTTTATGCCTTTCGTTCTGCAGTTCAATAGTCTCTCTTTACAATCTAACTTTCTACACTCTTTAGCCCTGGTGGTTATCCTCTCTTTTACAATCTCACAAGAAATCTAAACACCCTCTTTTTTAAACCAACAACCAACCAATCCATCAAAATGAAGTTCTCCATCGTCTTCGCCGGCCTCTTCGCCTCCGCCACCATGGCCTCTCCCCAGGGCAACATCACCCCCAACACCATGGGCGCCCTCGAGCGACGCGCCTCTTTCCCCATCCCCGCCTCCAAGGGCTCCGTCACCTACAAGAGTGCCCAGACCATCTCCGGCGTCTTCGACGGCGGCATGAAGACCTACGGCCGTGGCGTCAAGTGCACTGGCCAGGTCGAGGGCACCGACGCCGACGCTGTCTTCATTCTCAAGAACGGTGCTACTCTCAAGAACGTCATCATTGGCGCTGATCAGATCGAGGGTGTTCACTGCGAGGGTTCTTGCACCATCGAGAACGTCTGGTGGAAGAAGGTCTGCGAGGATGCTCTCTCCCTCAAGGGCGATGGTAACGCTCTCATCAAGGGCGGTGGTGCTACCGGTGCTGAGGACAAGGTCATCCAGCACAACGGTCTCGGAACGGTCACCATCGATGGCTTCACTGTTGTCGACTTCGGTAAGCTCTACCGATCTTGCGGTAACTGCAAGAAGATGGGCACCCGCAACGTTGTCGTCAAGAACGTCAAGGCCTTCAACGGAAAGGTTCTCACTGGCATCAACTCCAACAAGGGTGACATCTCCACCATCACTGGAACTTGCGCTTCTTCCGTTAAGGAGATTTGCGTTGAGTACGAGGGTACCGTTCCCGGCAAGGAGCCCAAGAAGATTGGCTCTGGTCCCAGCAAGGCTTGCAAGTACTCTTCCGTCAAGTCTTGCTAAGCGCTTTACGATCGAGGCCTCGAATTTACACTGAGGCAGTAATACTGTGGAGAATGGGTGGATGTTGGATAAGGTGTTAATAAGGTGCTTGAAGCACCTCTTGTTGAGGTTGGGAAAGCTACCAGTTCTGTACTTTCAACGTATATATCTCTTAACTATAAATACACTTCGTTGAACGAGAACTGTTATCAGTGATTTCATAAACAGTTGAGCATTACAAACATTGACCTGAACTGACTGTGATAAGGTTGAGGGGTCAAAAGAGGCTTCAGCCTCCAGGCCATAAAAGTAAAGAACACTAAAAAAAAACACATACGGGCAAAATACTCGTCGCCATCACTGTTGCCTAGGGGCCTGAACTGACAGAGACATAATATACTACTGGCACTGGCCCATGCTTCTATCTTGCAATGTGTATCATCACTTTGAGTTGATAGATCTTACAGCAGATGTTTGCGACGCGCGCCTCACACGCGTATCCAATCAGAACTTCTTGTATCCTTGCCCAGAGACAAAAGTCTGCTGCCAAACCTGCTGCTCCTTACCCTCAGCGAGCTCAACATAGAACTGAGCATGACCTTCCGCAGTTGCTCCACTATACATAGGCGTTCCATCCTCCTTTCTCTCATCAGCATAGTAGAACCTATTGACTATTAGCATTCTTTCTCACAGCAGACTCATCAATAAACCCACTTGAAGCCTTGATCCTTGTATGAAGCAGCAGCGACCTCAATGAACCAAGCAGCCGCAGTCTTTCCAACACCCAGCGACATCATTGACGCAATGCGCATCTCATTCTCAATGTTTCCAGTGTAAATGTAGGTCGGGCTACTATCTTTAGAGAAGTCTTTCCAGCCTTTGACAGCCTCTTGGGCTGCGGCGTAAGCGCTAAAAATGTTGACTGTACCGCTTATCTTGAAGCTGTCTAAAGGAACTTGGAAAATGTCGTTGGGGTCGTTTGGTGCGCCATGATAAGCTATTAACCAATTAGATGAAGTATTAGTAACGAATGCGATTCACTAACCGTTGTATATGACGACGTGAGGATGACCAAACTCGCTTCTGACCTTTGTGAAGGCCTTGACGACCGAGTCTGTGTCGCTCAGGTCTGTGGGGATATGGAGCTCTTTGTCGGTCGAAGTAGCTGGGTCTTGAGATCGGGAGGCTAGGGCGAGTCTGTAGCCTTTTGCGCTGAAGGCTTGGGCGACACTTTTGCCGACCTTGGCACCAGCGCCGAAGATGAGAACGATGGGAGAAGACATGATGATGGTGAGTAGTTAGTGTGAGATTGAATGATGTGATGTTAGAATGTGGAATGATGGTATTGATGGCTGAAGTCGTTTGGGAAAAAAGGTGTTATATATATCAGCATCCGTCATTACCAATACTGCAGCTTGACCAAGTGCATTTCATGGTGTTTCATTGCATATCATATTGGTCAGCCATGCTCAGGTAATCGTCGAGCCATAAGCAGGGGGACCATTTGCTTATTCTGGTTAGACTCGAGCATGAATAAGCATCATCTTGTCACCTTACTAAATACCCGCGCGCACGGCATTCATGACTTTGTCATAGATGATTAAAAATCTGGGTTCACACCAAGCTGTACAGTGCTCTGCGACACCCTTTGTAAAATCGGTCAGATGTGTGGTGAAACCAGTCCTGGCAAGAGCAAGGTAAAAGGCCTGTAAGTAGATCTCGATCCTCGAAACACAAACCACCAATATTCTAGGGAGCCACCAACGATCTGAACATACCATAAGAGACAAAAGCCTCTCAAAAGAAACATTTATCGACCACATAAAAAAGTCTAGCGTATATGTCATGTCGCGAGACAAAATCCTCGCAAGCCTTTACCGTATCGCGACTATCCTCACACCAGACGAAGTCATCCATTTTTCCAAAGATAGTAACCACCTCGAAAACGAGGGTTGAGTATCGGCCAGTGACAGCCTGGCTGTGCTAGAAACTCCAGATCAACATTAACTATCCCATACCTAGTCTTGTTTTACCACTCGCCGTGATCGTTGGCCTTATGGATCTCATCATGGAAGGTTTCCGCCATGGCCCTCTGCTTCTTTTCGGACAAGCTCATATTATCCCAGCCCATGTTGTAGATAATCCGGTCTTGTCGAAGCTTCTGATCCTCCGTGTACGAGCTGATGTTTGGCGTGCGTGAGCGTGGAGGGATGGCGGACAGCTTGGACGTGGGATCCTTTCTGCCACAGCACATTTTGATATGAAATAGGGATTATGTCGATGAGATTGTGAAGAAATCTGAGTAGAAGGTGAGGAGAGTGATAAGTTGGAAGAGCAGATCAAGGGGATATGAAGCTAAATTATAGAGAGAATTATATAACGTTCAGAGAATACTTTTTAATGCTCGTCTCGTGTGCGATTGATTGAGAGTTAAAGCTTATGATATCTCAACGAGATATATCAAGCCAACACACTGAAAAATACCAATTAACTTTTCGTGTGCGATTGAAACCCAACTTTAAATACACAGATGTCGAAGTAGCAATGGAGAAATAATTTAAAGAAATATGACTGGCTGACATACTTTGCTGCGCTAGAGAAAGTCCAGTTCCTCAAAAGCATAAATGAGACTGGCTTTAGTTTGTTTGGCCAAAACTAAGAGACCAGGACGCCTGACCGAGCAAAACCATTAAAATGATATCGAGTCCCCATCCATCACCTGCATTCGAAACCTAAAGCTTAATCTTATATGCAGCAATCGACTACTAGTCCACACATATTCACTTGATGGTATTTAATTTCGCAACCTTTGCAGTTTGGTGACATTCTAATTTGCCGGAGAAATTCTCTCCAGAGCTATCAGTCTTTACGCTGCCATCTCGGAAATGCAACAAGTCACAATGAAAGAACAGACATTGGAAGTGTTCAATTTTCTGGCAATTCTCATCAAACTTCCCTTTATAAAGCAGATACTCATATCGAGTGCTTCGCCAGAACTTCCTCTAGCTCCCTTCTCATCTCCTCCTTCAACACATCCTCAGCCCAGCACATATCGATAGCACTCTTGGCCAAAGCCCCCATGTCACTGTTGCTGAACTCGCACATCTTCTTAACCAGAAGCCAGTCATGCAAGATCCAGGTATCTTCCATATAAGCTGGATCATCACTTCCAATAGCAATCGGAATACCGGCGTCGAACAAGGTTCGAATTCTGGGAAAGATCTCGTCAACTGGCTCGTGGCGAAGATATCCCCATGGCGTGAGTGTCATTCCAATGCCTCTTTCTTTGATGCGACGCATGATTTCGGGGTCTTGTGCAGCGTTGATGCCGTGGTCTAAACGGTCTGCACCAGTTTCACCAATGTCATTGATGACTTGACGGATATGTTTATGCGCGTCCTTGTTGCCAACGTCGCAGTGGGCAGTGATGCGGAAGCCATCCTTCCTGGCCTTTCTATATACGTCTTCGAACATCAGAGGAGGGCGATCGTTTTCATCTGAGTCAAGACCGATCCCGACGACCATATCACGATGGGGAAGAACAGCCTCATAGGTCTCCATGGCTGACTCTGGTGACATGTCACGCAGAAAGCACATGATCCACTTCGACTTAACCTATGGTTTGTTAGCATTTATGATATATAACACCGTATTTACTTACGTTTAGTCTCTTCTCGGCCTCCTCTTGTGCGCGACGGAAGCCTTCCATCACAGTCTTGAACGTCACTCCACGGCGCGTATGGCCCTGCGGATCAAAGAATGGCTCACAGTACCGCACATTCATACCCGCAACATGCTCAAAGTAATTCATGGCAAGGTCATAAAAGTCATCTTCGGTAACAAGAACTTCAAATCCCCCATAGTAAGCCTCAAAAAAAGTAAAGCTCTCCTCAGCGTTGTCAATCTGATGACCTGGACGAGCCTCCATGATGTAGTATGAAGCTCTGAGCTGCTCAAGATTGGTGTACACGGTTCCAGTGCGCTCGAGCTTCAGAGTCTGCTTATTGCGCTTAGCGAGTTTCCAGCGAAGTTCGGGGGTCAGAGTGCCCTCAATATGGACGTGGAGTTCAACTTTGGGAAGATCAAGGATGAACTTATCGTCTGAGTCTATGAGTTCCTGGCGGAGCGACAGACGCTCTTCAAGGGGCATGGCGAACTCCATTGTAAAAGGCTTAAGAACAATTGATTTTGATGAAAGACTTGAGAGATGTTTGGTTGATGGGATAGCAGGAGTCGAGGATAATAGATCACCATTTTATACTTGATGAGGTTGTAACAGCCAAGGAAACTAGTCCCAAACAAGGTCCCACGATCTCACCCGCAGCAGGAATGGCGAGACTAGACCTAAATAGGCTGCTCTGCAAGCAAAATACCTCCGATCATTCGGGGTAAACTTGGTCAATGAATCAGAAACTCATGGTGTGACTCACCTTCGGTTCATGATGCCCCGAGGCGTATTCGTGGATCCCATTCAGAGAAACAAGGTATGAGATTAAGGGTTGGAATACGCCTTGTGCGGCTGCCGATTGAGAATATTGTTGACTTTATACAACTCACAATGCCTCTTGACCAATGCATGTGTGTTCTCGTATATATGTAGTCGTGTGACAGTAGAACAGCAGCCTTTGGACTTGAGTTGTTGACGGGATTGCATTAAACATGGCTCTTGGGTATTAATTTTAATTTTCTCTCGTGGAAAGGGCTGTTATTACCCTCCCCACATTTTAACCGCAATATAAATATTATTTTTTACCATATTAGCCTAGTAAATATAGAAAATAGTTATTTTATTTATTTTAACATAAAAACAAAATAAGAAGATATCAATCTGTTACTAGGTAAAGTGAAGCTATATTATCCATCTGACTGCTAGTCTCTTACATACTATAGACTATACTATTCAGTCATCAGCAGTATCGTGAACCACCTCAATGACAATCTCTGCCGTTTGTGTTGAGCATATCTTGCCCTGATATACAAGCGAGCATGAGACAGTGTAAGTGGTAGCTGCCATTACCGGTGCTGTCTTTCCGGAAACTTGTTGAATAGTGCCTTCATTCAGTTCATCAGCATCAGAACTTGTGACGAGCTCAAGAACGCCAGCTGGCAAAGCAGGGGTGATAGTCCACTGTAAGCCACTGCTGGATGTGCCGACCTGGGAGAAATGCGGGACATCAGTGGTATCCTGAATCGCTGGTCAGTATGGCGGTTCATCTACGGCTTGAATAGGTGCTTGATGATAGACATACCGTATCAGTATCGTAAATCGTCCAGTGAGGTCTCAAGTACTTGAACGGTGGCGGTCCAATGGGCTCCATCTTAAAAAGCCAGTTTTCGCAAAACTGTTTGCCCGCTGAGTTGACGGCATTGCCATCAGTCACCAGGGATAGCCCTGCATCCATTTGCATCGTCTGGGGATCTATCCAGCGACCTAACTGCGCCCCACCCTGTGATATACTGACCTGGGCACTGAGTACATTTCCGGGCTTTGTTACGACGCCCTGACCGTTAACGACGTCTGGCACGTCTTGGGTTGGCGTGGTGAGCACATCAATCGTCCACTGGACATGCGGTAGTACCTGTTTATGCTGATCTGCCGACTGATCCTCAGAAGGCAGCTGGCGGAAGACAACCTGCGTACTGTCATCTGAAGTACCTAAGTACCATAGAGTTTGAGTGGTAATGGCCTGTCCAGCAGGATCAGTGGTGTTGGAATATGCCGCAGTGTAGATCTTGCTATTGCCGTAAGGGTCTGTTTCCAAGCTCCAAATTGTGTCCAGACTGTAGTCGGGTTGGCCAACTAGAGCAGGAGCCATGGCATCGGTGTCGAGTTTGAGATATTGCTGCTGAGTTTCTGGGGCTGATGTTAGTGGGCCAGAAATTGCAAGTCCAACGAGGGCTGCATCGCTGGAGGTGGCAGGTACAATTCCAAAGTACTCCGGTGCTTGCTTTTCACCCGGCATCCGAAGATTGGCTGGGCCAGCGTCATCGTCTAGGAACGCAGTGAGAGGATCGACAGTGGTCTGTTTGGACTCCCAGATGAGGTACACAATCAAGCCAGCAATGGCAAACACGATAGCCACAGGACCCCCCCATGTCGCGCACAAGGTCACAGCGGCCACTAGAAAGGGTCAGCAACTCTTATGAGAATTGGCACAAGGCTAAGCTTACAGGTGGTTCCTGTAGTAAATGCAGCGACCATGCCTGCAGCTACAGCAAGGATCTGTATGGCGGACGATATGATCATCAGAATGTCCATAGCTCTGAGCGCTGGGACGCCCTGACGCTCAAGGTCGATGATCGACGAGTAAATAGAGGCAGCTGCGAGTGCCAAGCTGAGCTAGTTAGCTTATAGTGTATGAACACGTGCAGGAAACAATACATACCCAGCGACAGTTCCAATGACTTCACCCACGTTCCGACCAATCACGCGCTCAACTTTAGTAAATCCCTCACCTTCAGCGACAAGTCCGTTGTCAGTATTCTCTTGTAACCGGAGGGTCTGCTTCCAGGTTCGAGTAAAGAACTTGGTAAAGCCCCCTTGTATCTGTAGGCAATCATACTCAGCTACAGTGGTCATCGATAGGTATCAGGACTCTGGACTCACCTTCTCTGCGGCATTTGGGATTGCATCAACCACCGATTCAAACCCAAGGCAGCACTTCAAGCTTGGCCAGAAACCAGAAATATCACCATAAAGGTAGTAGAATCGGAGTAGACCTTGCATAATGCCGATTACAATCGTACCGCAGAGGCCTGCCAATGCTCTTTATGGGGTTAGTTCTTGCATATGCGGATATCCTTTGGCGAATGAGTACTTACAGCTTCCAAGCCAACTTCTGTGAGCTATCCATCTTATCCCACATACCTGGGATCAGAGGCAATAGGAGTAGAACCGCACCAGTTGCTGCTTCAAAGACAGCTAAGAGCCTCCCACCAGCAGCCAATCTCTTGAACCAGTTGGCTTGCACAATTGTCTTCTCCCACAAATACATAGTGTTTCTCCATGAGCTAGCAGCGACGCCGACACGAGAGGCGCTTGCAAGAGAATCCCAGAACTTTTGCTGCAGCTGTTTGTCTCCATACAGCTGCTCAGCCGCTGCGAGTGCTGCAACATGATCTGGGTTGGTCGAAACTTTGAAGTTCTCGATGTAGTCGGCCAGACACTCGTCGATCAAGGTAGTGATCTCAACCGAGTTTCCGCGAATGTCAACAAGCGTTGGAATGATTGAAGTCATCTGGAAAAGACGCATGTCGTCGTTATATGCTTCCATGAAGTTGGGCCCAGATGGGTTGACACGGTTGTTCTCCAGCATTCCAAACAATGTATTGAGCTGTTTCTGCATCATGCTCAAACTGCTAGTGTTCGTGCCAGTGGTGTACTGCGTGTACCAGTTTGTCAAAGCGGAGTTCTCAACGTAGTAGAGCAACTGGAGTGCCCAGTATAGTGATTGGTCCTTTGCCCATGTAATCAAGTTGCTGACATCGTTTTGAGCTGCCGCTAGCTGCTTAGAGTAATCGGGGTTGCTGGGGTCGTTCACATTGGCACTCTTGGCAGCAATGTCGCTTTTCATCTGATTCCCGATCACGTCGATCTGGCTCGTGTAGTCGGTATTGTTTTGATCTTGCAGAAACTGGTTCATGGCAGGGAAATGTTGGAGATAATGTATTCGATAAAGTTTGGCTGAGTGTCGTTTGTAGACATCGGAATGTGTGGGAATATCTTTCAGCTGATTGTTAGCTCGTAAGCCATTGCAATATTTGCCTTGGGAAACTGTGCCTAGAAACATAGTCAGTAGAATGAAAAGCGCAACAGTTCTAAATCTCAGACGTACCCGCCGCCAGCATGGACACAATATAAGGGACCTGCAGACTTTGATAGAAGGTCTTGTTTTCACCATTTCCAGATGCTGCATCGTCAGTCGCGACAGCCAAGACATCCGGCGTTAGAACAGGCGCTGTAGCCTGAATGAATGTTGTGCGAAGGTCCGAATCCATGAAATAGATGATTAGTTCATGGAAGTCTTGCATTGCCAGCTCGGCGACGGAATCCCGATAGTTCGAGGCGCTGGTAGAGTCTGGGACCATGGGGTTCATGTTCAAAAGTTCCAGGTAAGTCAAGGGAGGTTGGCTTGAAACAGTAGTGGTCATCATGGAAAACGATGGTTCCATGGAGCCTTCTCCGATCAACTTGCCATTGATGTTGTTTGAAGCCGGTTCGTTCGCTCCAGGCAATGGTGCGGGTTGAGAGGTGCTGGCGCTTGGTCCTGGTTCCGCGGCAGTGACAGGGTTGATGTTCTTGACAGGAACTCCTTCCGGCACAGTAGACAGGATATTAACGAGGGATTCGGTATCATCCAATTTGACTGTGCCGGACACGGCATAAACGTCCCCATTGGCGTCTTTGTAAGCCCCATTGAAGCTATCTCCAAAAGGTGAGAAGGTTATTTCCCACAGAGTTGGGAACACGGATTTGATGGGCATGTTAGCTCTGCTTGCAGGTGCAGCAGGAGGAGGAATGATGACATCGGTTACCATTGTGGCATCAGGGCCACTACCAGTTGACATGGTACAAGTGTAAATGGATCCATAAGTAGCCGCTGAAGCCGCAAGATCAAATTTCGTTGGCGGAGTACTAGCTAGTGTGCTTCAGTATAGGATACAGCTCATTGATGGAGTCAGAACCTACCATTATCGATGAAGGTGTTCTCGGTCGCCCATCGAGCCTGTATGTCATCGCCAATATTCTTGGTGTCGTACCCAAAGGTCAAACCAGCTGTTTCCCAGGTTGCTCCTTTCCATGCGGAACTGGTTATGTCCCATTTCAAAGTGCTATCTCCGGTACTGAAGTATGCTCCAGCGTTGGCAGAGATATTCACGTTGAACCATACCTTGCGTGGGTCAAGCCTGATGTTGAATGTCCTGTTACCCACAGAAAGGACACCACTCGGCTCTTGTCCTATAAGACTCACGAACCCAGCGACATCAGAATTCTGCTGGCCTTCGGTAGCTGGGATTGTGGCCTTGAAAGAGTAGCTGCTGGTGGCAGGCGAAAATGCGGTATGGCTTGGGGAGATTCTGTGTCCATTCAAGAGCATACCTGTATTATTGGAGCCATGTTCACCAATGATGAGGGTTTGACCATTAAGCTTCTTCAGCTCTGGATGGTCCTGGTCGACTGTAGGATCAGCGAACTGAATGGAATAGGCTCGTGGAAGGCCTTGTGCCTCTCTGTTGTCTTTGTGATAGGCCTTTGCACCTATAATGCCATGAGCGGGAGCCTGAATAACTCATGATTGTTTCAACTTGTACCTTCAGGAAGAGAGTTGAGAAACTGCGCATGCCTATACAGAGCATTCCTTGTTGCGCGGCCCTTGTTCACAGCTACCTTCGCAACGTGATTGAGCGTGGAAGACGTCAAGGATGGAACGTCTCCTGGCAAGCGAGGCATCTCAATAGTGGAAGTCATGATTTCAATTCTTGCTTTCAGTAGTTTGTTGGGACGGTGGAAAGATGCACGCTGGAGATGTCCTGGGCGACGTTATTAACGGCAGAATGATGAGGCCTCAGATCTCAATTCGCGGTCCAGAACGTCATCAACATGCGTCTCCTTTTTTTGTCACATTCCACAGCGATGGGCGGTGGATGATTATGGCCTGATTCGACAAAAGGCTGCTCAACAATGTCACATAGTTTCATGCTGTCTCATCACAGCTTCAGTTGAGCCTTGCATATGTAGGCGGTGATGAGGATCTATGAGGAACCTTGAGGAGCAACGCAGCCAGCCACAAACCAACAGGTCCTTATAGACCGCTGTCAATCATTCCAATGGCTACAAGCGAGCTGATCTTATTTGCTCCTCGTCATTCCAGGTCGCTTACTGAGGGCTGCTGATTTGATGGGTTTAGAAGTGGCTGTAGCGGCGTTTCCAAGTAACGCCGGTTAATCTGTTTCTTGCATGCATGAGAGTAAGTATTGATTGATAGCTCTACCTGTAATGTGAAACATGCATCTAAGATTATTGATCAACTATACTCTATGAGGCCGCAAACAGTCACAAGACCGAGTCAACAAGGCCTGGATTCCTGCAAGCCTTTATCAGTACCCAAAAGCGGCAAAGCGAATGTTTCTCAGCGCCTCGATTATACAGTGGGGGGCAAAAAGTATTCGCATTCCTCGTTGCTGGCCTGGAGCAAGCCTGATTTAGACCGCCATTTCACCCCGCTTTTACACACAGCTTTCTTCCTTCCTTCACACCATTACATACAATGCCCTAAGGCAAGGAGTTTCATTCCAATCTCATTCTTACAAGGTATAATGTGCTATCTATAGTAAAAGGGAGGTTTGTTGTTAATTTTAGAGATTAAATTTTACAACATTTTAAAAAAAGGAATTGGAAGATTTTCTTTTAATTTACTGATAACTTCCAGCTTATTGTTAAAAAGCTATAATAATATCTGCTGTGATATAGAGCCAGTTCTCTTACTTAATTTCAATACATTTCTTTTCCCCTGTCTCTTACCTACTATTCAACATGTCGTTTGAACCTTTTCAAGGATTCCAGGATATCCAACAAGAGCTCTTGGCCCAGAACTTAATCGCTGCTCCCCCACCTCTATCAGGGAGCATCGTTATGGTCGATGGACTACCTCCCCCTGAGGAGACGACATCGCAGCAACTCACGCCTCTGCAACTCATCTATAATCTTTTCAGTACAACCCAGCAGGGCGCTAGCGCTTACAACTCCCACCCAGCTATTGTCTTGCTCATCCAATGGATGAAGGCCCAGCTTACTGATCCTTCATGGCAAGGGTCAAATTTGAACAGTGTTATCTTCAGTAACATTGGAGAAACGCCTTCTTCCTACAGTGCGGTCCAACTCGATGACAGTTCTTTGAAGAATGGCGGAATAGCGCTTCTCATCAAGTCCATTTACAACGCGTGTACAAGATGGGATGACAACATCAATTTGGATCAATGTGTCGCCAACATTGCCACGCTGAACACCTATATCTGGAACAACAAGACTGATATCTTGATCATGTGGTATCGGGAGTATTTCAACATCTGGCCAACTGATAACACAACCTACGTGGATATGTACAAGGCGGTTCTGTGCTCTAATGCATATAAGTCCTTGAAACAGGCGGAGGCCAGTGATGGTACATGGATAGACGCCAATCTTGAGATGTTTCACCACTTTGCCAAGCTGGCTGCCTGTGGAGCAACAGATGATCAAATCAACGACATATATACGGAGTTGACCACGGCAGCCCCCATTGTCAATGCTAGCACGTTTGGTATGATTTATACCAACCACTGGCGTGACTATGAAGGATGGCTCAATAAGGGCAACCTTGATTTTGGGGATCTAGGCGCCACAAATTTGGATGACGTATATGAGATATGGTTTGCGAATCCACCAGCTGAACCTGTCCCCTCATTCGAATATCTTGCCGAAGATATCATACAGCATTACGACTACTGGAAAGATTCGCCCTCGCCCTCGTGTTTATCTGCACCAAGTCAAGTTCTAATGGCTTCGGGAGAGATCCTGGCAATTAGCGAAGTCAAGCCCGGAGACTGCGTTGTATCTGGTCTTTTGGGGACTGCGGGTGCCAGAAATACCCGCACTGTCGCATTTGTAAGTAAGTCTGAGCGGGCTGGCAGACAGCTTTACGAGTTGAAGTCTCTCCCTGGTATCCAATTTACCGCAACTCATCCCTTGATTATGGATTCCATTGATCAAAGAGGCCGTGACCTGCTACCAAAGCTAGAATTCGCCAATCACCACTTGGCAGCAGCTTTAAACCCGACCTGGCAATCATTGGAATCATCGGCCATTAATCCTCGCAATATAATCACTCATGATGGCTCAAAAGACCAAAATCCGGAATTTCTTTATGATATCGTTTTCGAGCCAATTTCATCGACGGGGGAGTCCAGCTCATCTGAAGTTCTTCCTATTTACATCGTAGAGGCTTCAAATGGAAAGCAACTGAATGTACTTTCTGAGGCGCCTATCATTCAATGGTTTCCCATGGAAATGATCTTCATGGATAATGCCATGCACGCACTTCTCGAGAGTCAAGCAGACATGGAAAAGGTTATGAGGACTGTCCACATGCATAAAGGGTCTTTACAGGGCCTACTGCGAGTATTAGCTGGGACGGATGTCTCACAACATCTCATTCATGCAAGTATGGATGCGACTCTTGAATCAGTTCTGTCACTTGGGAATGACACTGAAGATAGTCAACGAGTAAGCGATTTGATCGAGAAGCTTATCATGCGCCTCGGCAGAACAATCGGGAAAGAGATCAGTACAGGATGGTTGAACAATTCTCAATCCTCCGTGTCGGAGAAGGGTCTCACCGACATTGTTCTGGTGCATTACCTCCGTCGTCTTAACAATTCAGATGGTAACCGTCAACCTGTACCGGCTGAATGGACAGCGGAAATCAGTACACCACATTCCCGATCTGCACGCGTTCACCTTCAAGGTCAGGTTCAGGGACACAACACTTTGCTGTTGCATGAAGCTATTCTTTTACCGCCAATCCACCAACAGGCAACGGCAAATTCAGAAACAACGACTCGACTCGTCCAAGTTGAACTCACAGATGGGGCCGGGAATGCCACCTTGGTCGGCGGTGGACCGCTTACCTACGGCTCACAAGGTATTCTTAACATCAGTAATCTTAGCACCCAGGGAAGTTGTACACATGCGGTGCTAGAGGTTGAGTTACGTCAAGTGCCATATGATTATTTTGAGCAGAGGCAGAAGTGGAATAGCAAGAGACAAATCAATTATGCTGCATGTTTGGGCTATGCCTTTGGACTGAGGCTTTTGGAACTCGATGAATAAGGGAGGAAAGGTTACCTAGATGTTGGAGGGATCATTCTGTTTGAGGAGCCACCAAAGGATTGTTAGGTAATTTGAAAGACTGCTTTTGTTATGGAGCGAATATTGAATCAGAAAGACACCGCAGAAGAGAGTTTAATTGTTACAAATTTGATGCTTGCTCGTATCTGCTCAGAATAATTACAGACCGATTAGCTTCAACGTCAAGAATGGACTCCCAGATGTCCCTATAGATTGACTGGTTGATTCACTTCGGATCAAATCTTGGAACAAATCTCATCTATGTCATAGTTTCTTACAGGGGCATCGGGGACGATTTCAAGAATTCAGAGAGGGAGCTGAAGTTGCCTTGAATACCTCTGGGAGAGCGCTGTATATTGTAGCTAAGCTAGGTAGCCTAAATTTCACCTTTTAATTATCAGTTAGAGATGTATCAACAACCTCGTGCAACAGATAATTTCCTCTTTAAAACCACAGAGTATGTAGAGTCCAACGCCATAAGGTCTCTCCGGAGTATCCGCAGGCACAGGAGTATTTAAGGTCGTAATTTCCCGATGCATAAAGCTAGTGAACAAATGGCACGTGTGGCGTTGACTATTGGGCGCTACTACAGAAATCAACCCTAACACCGTTAGCCCGCTTGGATGACAATCGATAGTTCTGTCTCGGCTATGGAAATGACAGGGTTTAGTGACAGCTGAGATCAATAGGTTCGCAGACGCCAAGCCCCTGACGGTATAAGAAACACTTCGACCGCCACCGATTCATTATCTCTCTTTTGAACCTGTAGGCGATTTAATTCTCACCTTAGTCTTTCGTTAGCAATGCGCTTCTACGCCTCGTTTTCTCTAGCCTTTGGGCTTGTGGCTGCCAGCCCATGTAAGCCGTTGACTTCAGGTATATTAGCCTCTAGTATTTTGTCGGAGTACAGGTCAATTGAGATAAAATAGGTTCACTTGCTGTTTCTGCGACTTTCTCTTCCTCGGTAACAGAGAACTCTAGCACGTTCGCTGAGTCCGCGACTTCAACAGTCGAAACTCTCGGTACTGAAACCTCAACTGGAGTTGAATCTGAGACATCGACTGCGATCGACACCACTGTTACTGGCGCCTCAACTTTTGTTGGTTCTGCCACCACCGAAACTACCGATGTCACTATCTCGGCTTCTGAGGCGTCGTCTCAAGCGACCTCTGGCTCGACGATATTCACGTTAGTGACTTCTGCTGGCGCGACCACCGCCGCGTCCACCGAGACAACCGCTGTTCAGACGTCTGCAGCTACGACTACCACTCTTGAGACTTCTACTACAGCTATGGCAACTACCACCACATCAGAAGAACCTGCTCCCACTGACCATCTCCTCATCGCCGGTCAAGGCGCCGCCCAAGGCCTTCCCCTAAAATCGACGAATACAAATGGCGACTACATCATCTTCGGTGATCGTACCTCAAGATGGACCGTCGGCCGCTTCGTCGTCGATCCCACAACAGGATACCTGACCCGAGACGGCATTCCTGTCTGCGCCAAGTACCGTTACATGAATCGAAGCGCCTCCTTGACTCCTTGCTCGACCGAGTACTACCAGTACGGCACGTCCCGTCTTGTCTGTGCGAGAAACCCAGCAGCAGGTACTGCTCTTCAGTGCTCTGCCGTTAAGTTGGACTGCGTAGCGAATGGACCCGGTGACAGCCAGGCTTGTACTGTTTCGACTGAGGCTGGTTGGACCAAGTTCTTTATCAGTACCACCAGCGACTACACTGTGTACCTCGGTGCCGACGACTTGGCATCGCCGTACTTCGCGTCTGTCGACATTTTCGTTGATCGGGCTCCCACTCCCGCTACTCCAACAGCGCCTTAGTTGAAGACTTGAGGTGAACAGCCAACTGTATAGAATCCTAGATGCGGTTTTACCTCTCCGTATTTACATACAATTAGTAGATAGAAAATATTATATCATATTGCCTTCTTAATTAAGTACTAGGCCTCTTATATATATCTAAATGTCATAATTATAATTTAAATTGCCATTAATTAAATTCGCAACATTTTAATATTAATCGGGATCATCCTTTCATTGCTTACTGTAGGCCCCATCTAACCATAGACTTGATGGGGTCACTACGAAGGAGGTCAATACAACGGCGGGGAATTTGGGCCAACTACGTGCCCAGGGACGATGCATCATCCTTCAGTTTCTTCCCGGCAACCACGGAAGCTTTTGCCGGAAGCAAGACAAACAGTAAACAAACCCTTTCATCTGGAGGGTTGTCCCATCGATGCACAGTTCCTTGCTGCACAATGACGTCTCCTTCACCAACCAGTGTTTTGCTTCCATGGTCGAGAACAAAAACGGCCCTTCCTTTCTGGACGATGGCATAGTCTATAGAAACTGTGCGGTGGACATGGCCGGAGCTCCTAAGCGGAAAGTCAACAATTCGAAAGATAGAACCATTGTTGACAACTCCAACCTCGGCATTGGCATTATCGACAGAAGAGAGATCGGCGGGAGAGGTATCAGTAGTCCACAAACTCCTCAGAGCAATGTTGTGGGGCACGATTTTGTTAGTAACTGTGTCGTCGTACTTGATAATCGCTTGGCCTGCGTCGTTATGACCTGTGACAATGCGGCGGAGAGGGGGCAGGGGAGAAGTCATAACGAGACCAAATGGAACAATGACGTGTTTTAGAAATTTTGAAAATAAGGATATCCTCTAAAATGTGTGGTCTAAATCCCCCAACATTAAAAGGCATCTTCTATACACTAAGGTAGTCTCAGACTTTATATACGCTGGTCACTCCAAGTAGGTGACTTTATGGGCCAGCCCGAGATTTAGATTAACAGGTCCTTGTATTTCCAATAGAATCGAGCTTTAGAAACTAAAATCCAAGCGGTACCGTATCACCAGGACGCGAAAAAGAACAGATCGGATCTAGTATCCCCTGAAGCTTTGCCATCGCAAATTGGGTTCGCATTCGCCTTCTGTAAGGAAAGCCGAGAGCCATGAAGAATCAACAATGCCCGGGATCAGCTTCTGCCGCCACTCAGATATAGCTGGGACAGAACATGGTACGAGCACAGAGACAGGATTGTTACCTATGGGACCCAGTAAATACCCTCAAGATACGTTATCCATGGCTGGACATACTAAAGATTACACATCATCGAGGTTCTAGGCTCAGTAGAAACAACACAGACGAGAGAGGAGCAAGCCCAACATCAATTTGATACGCCCTAGACACCAAATGCAGCTCACATCGTTAGGAACCTCTTCGGGAAAATCAGACAGACGTGTCTAAGTATCCTTCTACTACCTCACGCCCCAATTCTCAACAAAGGCAGGCCCTGTCTGTCAAAAATGGAGTTACGAGTATTGGTTAAGTGAGGATGCGATTCTCTCGCTAAGAGAGGCGCAGATTTGCACAACTACAGCTATCATGTGCATTAATTCTCCGGCTTTGCCTGAATGGGGCCTGTTCTAGCTTCTATGAATTACCTGGAATGTAAAAAGCTTTATATAAAGTTATATTGTAGGTAAATAGCTTGAGGGGAACCATTTTATAGTGCTCCGATTGTCTCAGTCAGCCGAAGGAGGGGGAACATCTCCATTGGCGTTGACATGAACTCCATCATCCAAACCCGGAACTAGCTCACTTCCTACCACTGTGATCTCCGTGTACGGCGGCGGCACAACCCAAATCAAGTCGAACCTATCGCCAGGATATTTTACCTCCCCAGTCCACCCAGTCTGTGCTGCATAGCCCTGAATACCAATCGCCTTAGCAATGCCTTCAAGGGACTTATGCTCCCAGCAAAGCAGCACATTCCCCGGACCATCAAAGGATAAAGCTTCATTTTTGGCTCCGACGTAATCATCTCTCTGAATATCTTTATGGACCTTCAGCCCAAGTGCATGTGCCAACGGCTTCACAGTCTTATAAGGGCGATCGCGACTGCCGTCTACTTAAATTAGAACTATGAAAGGAAGATATGATTGGGGGCACTAACCATGGTGGGGATGCTCTGCCATAATGTATCCGATATTATAGGACGAATTCTCTCCAAAGACGTTGGGGAGATCATCTGCGCGTTTTTTACCTTGAGCAGACAGCCCATCTGGTTCTTTCCCGTCGACTTCGGCGGGCTTCTCTCCATGCCGGATCATATAGATGATAGGTTTTGTCTGCTAATGCATAAGTATTAATTCCAACTAGTCGAATGTAAAAGTACTAACTGATGATTCGGAAGACATCTTATCAAGATAAAGTATCTTGGATGATTATGTATAATTGTTAAAGATGTTCGATGGAGCTAAAACGGTCTAAGAGAAGATAAGGTGGAAGAGTCCAAGAATCCGAATGACTAGTTTAAGAAGAAGATGAGAGCGACGATGGGGTTATATATTTGGAGAGAGTTGAAAAACGCCATTTATTGTTACGGTCTAGACTTGGCTGCAAAAGGGCCTGAGCGACATGACACGAATGAGAGACGTGGATGAGCTGAACTTGTCTCAGCCAGCCTACATATCCGTGTGGGGATGTGGCTGGCTGACGACCTCCATAGGAAGCTAGTTGCGGCAGCCCGGCATTCCTCCCGCCAGCCGATCAGCCGATCTATTCGTGGATGAGGGGTCGAGAACTACGCAGATAGCTAGTTTGGGCTGTCTGGTCATAAGCATTGAATATCAAGATGAGAGCTGAACAATGACCATTCCAGAGATGTGACCGGGAAACGAATGAGCTCGGTTTGCGGGACTCAAAATGCATGACTCTTTGGTGAGGGTTTAATCTTGAAGTCAATGAAACGTCAATTTGGTAGCTCCATCCGCGTATACGAGCTGACGTGGACTACACGCCTTACCTGATACGTACCATTGAAGTTTTATTAGTAAACACACACCAGTAAAATAATTATAGTTACCTGTTGTGTTATGTTAGAAGAGAATGGCAGCTTGTCGCGTGCCCTCCCCTCGTTGCGGGGTATACAGGAATTCCCTACCCTATCACACTGGAAGATTATAGACATTGCCACCAAGCCTCTATAAGTATGGCCCTGGATCTAGATTCTTTGATAAGACATGTGCATAGATATTGGCAATAGTCTGTATGCAGTGCGCAAAAAACAGATAAGGGAATCGCTCGCCTTAATATACCGCAAGAGACCTCAAAATTATGAGCTGGATGCGTTGCCTGAAAGAGTTTTGGCGCCAAGTCTGAATCAGCAGAAATAATCTCGCAAAAGACCTAGGATTCAATGTCTGGCAATTGTAATATTCTTGTTATCCTATAACAACTTCCTTCAGCATAAAAATACTCCAGGGCATGACCATCTAATTAAAGAAGTTATATAACAGCTTCTACGGAGTCGCTATTTGCAATTTGTGAGATTGGTTAAGTTTAGGGTAGACAAGTTGCAATCTTGACTCTTCCCATTACTGTTTACAGCCAAATCAAAAGGATAGAGATTATGAGCCTAGTGGTATTCAGTCTGATTAATATAAATCACATAAGAAATTTACTTAAAACCCGAAACCATTTAGGAGTTAGCTCTTAAACCCGCTACTTTCACCTATTGACCTGCCGGTTCAACTTGGCCACCTGTTGTACGTCGGAGCTGAGCACGCCACATCCCCACTATTAGGGAGCCTCAACTCCGAACTCCGGGGGTCTTTATAGTTGCGTCATGACCTCAATTGGGTATCCAACAATATAAAACCAGTGGCTTTAACTTCACTTCCTCAAATATGTCAATAACAGATAATCTCCATTAATGACGAATTATATATCAAACATCGTAAACAATGAGTGGAAGAGAATCAGTCGCAGCGGCTCCTTTGCCTGAGCCAGAGCCCTATAGCATCTTCGACAAACGACAAACTGCCTTGATCGTGACAATTGTCTCCATCGCAGCAACATGTAAGTTCCCATCTGATCCTCAATCTCAACCTCTCCCATTAATAAAACCGTAGTCTCAGGTTTCGCGTCAAACATTTATTTCCCCGCCCTCCCAACCATCGCCCGAGACCTCGATGTCTCGATTGAATTGATCAATCTCACTGTGACTTCGTATCTCATCTTCCAAGGGCTTGCTCCCAGTCTCTGGGGCCCGATATCAGATGTAAAAGGACGTCGGGTCGCATACTCGCTCACTTTCATTGTCTTCTTGGGAGCATGTATCGGCCTGGCAGAGGCTAAGAACTACGCCACTATGGTTGTGCTGAGATGTGTTCAGAGCACTGGCAGTGCTAGTACAATTGCTATAGGATCAGGTGTTATCGGGGATATCACAACCCGAGATAATCGCGGTGGCCTCATGGGAATATTCCAGGCAGGGCTGTTGGTGCCCGTGGCAGTTGGCCCGATTATCGGAGGTGCGCTGGCTGGATCCCTTGGTTGGAGATCCATCTTTTGGTTCTTGACCATCTACAGCGGCGTGTTCCTAATTTTCTTGGTTCTCCTATTGCCCGAAACTCTGCGGTCTATCGTTGGCAACGGGAGCCGAGAACCCAAGCATGTCATAGCCAAATATCCTCTACGCGTTTATCAGAAAACGACCAAAGTCAAATGGATTCACGACGCAGCCTCTCCATCGCCTATGGAGAAGAAACGCATCGATATCACAGGACCCTTCCGCATCCTCGTCAGCAAACAGGCCGCTCCCATCATTGTCTTCCTAGCAGTCTATTATGCGGTTTGGCAAATGAGCATCACGGCTATGTCTAGTCTTTTCGAAGATAAATATGGTCTCACAGAAACTGAGATCGGCCTGACATTCATCGCCAACGGCGTGGGATCCATGGTGGGAACACTGATCACCGGCAAGATACTAAACATGGACTACCGCCGTTTCAAAGCTCGGCATGATGCACGCATTGCGAGCGGTAGCACAGAGAATGATGTTGAAACTGTCAATACGCGAAAGGACCAGGAGAATGACTTCCCACTGGAGACAGCACGCCTTCGTCTCGTCCCCGTCTTTTCCCTCCTTCAATGTGCGTCCATCCTGCTCTTCGGCTGGACCATACAGTATCCCCACCGCGTTCACATTGCCGTTCCAATTATATCGACTTTCATCACAGGTTGGTCTGCCGTTTCCATGCAGTCCGTCATCATGACCTATCTTGTCGATGTATTTCATGACCGCAGCGCCGCTGCCAGCGCGAGCCTGAACCTTGCAAGATGCTTATTCGCCGCAGGAGGCACGAGCTTCGTCATGCCAATGATCAACTCTATTGGCGTAGGCTTAGCCTTTACAGTCTGTGTTACGGTGCAGGGTGTTGCAGTGGTGAGCTTGGCTGTACAGTGGAAGTTTGGCGCAAAATGGAGACGGGAAGCTGAAGATGAGAGGGCGAGGCCTTAGGTGTCTCTGTACAGCGAAGTCGATATATATCAGAGTCAAGAAGGCTGCAGATAAATCTACATATGGTCTCTAGATAAATACACATCCGTCGCTCTGCTTCGCCTCCAAGATCATATTCCCTGTAAGTTGGCTTCGATTTTGCACTCATTGGTAGATCCATGCCAGATCGTGAACACGTTCGTTGGCGTCATTCGCTGTCACTGTCTTCTAAAGTTTCCATCTCGGGAGCATTTTTTCGTGCCAATGGCCACCTTTGACGAACAGATGGCTGGCGTACCCGTCCTGTAGCCTCATCTCCGCGTCCTATAGTCGTGGGTTCATGCTTTACCTCTCGCGTCGAGAGGTTCAGCCCAGGTCGCCTTCTGTCCTGGTTCTCTGGCGCTACGCTATTTTGATATGCCATGACGCTCTCATAAGTAACGCCTGCGGGAGACTTTCTATACCAGCTCGAGATTGGTGCATTATTATCGCCAGCAGCACGGTCTCCGTACAGATTTTCACTTTCATCATCTTCAACCTCGTTTCCAAGCCCTGTATTCAGTCTGATTAGTAGGGGAAAAGAAGAAGAAGAAGAATATTATCAACGATAACTTACCTGCCCCTCTCTTGCGGATAAACCCCCTGATAACGTCCTTGTCCTCAAGATCCTGGTCTTCAAGATCGAGCTTTCGAAAGTGGCAGACTGGAAGCCAATCGACCTTGTGCGGGATTTTCCCAGCCAGGCACATAATTGGATATTCCCTATTATTGGCGTATTTGCCATGTTTCTCATAGCCCTCAGCCCAGTCGTACCTACCGGTGGTCTCGTTCAACTTGTAACAAGCGGGAATATCGACATTGAGGTCTGACTTGGTAACAGATTGTATGTCCATACCATCGCCAGGCCGCGGGAAGAACGGGATGACCAAAAAGGCGTGCAGGCAATAGCCCTTGTCATCGTCACCCCACCAAGCCATGTATATCTCACCAGTCCTGGGAGCTTGTGCCAAGTCCTTGGTAGAAGCATTGCGACGCTCCTTTTTCTTCTCCTGCTCTGCCAAGTAACAATCTGCAGCTTTGTTGTTCAGGGCGAGATCTGCGTCGGTGCACTCCAAGACTTGAGTCCCAAGGGATCTAAGCGCCTGAGTGGCATTCGACTTCTTAGTAGAATGTCCTTTGCCTTTGAGATGACTCATGGCAGCTTGAAGCGGGTTCTCTTTGCAGAAATGTTTCTCATGCTTCTTGCATCCAAAAATATAGAAAATCCCATGGATCTTGACAATTCTGTATTTCCATCGAGCTTTTCCACCTTGATAAACCTCCTCAAAGGTGATTGTTCTTTCCGTAACAGTCTCACTTGAGGCGCTCTGTCGCTGGCGCTTCGCAGGTCGAGACATGGAAGCATTGTCACGTCTCTGATTTGACGGGGTTGTTTGACCAGCCGGTTCAATTCCCACTTGCAGATCGACGTCTGTCGAGAAGCCCCTTGATGGAGTTGCGCTGTGTGTATGCGAAGGGGTCGATCTGGGCTCAATTGTTTTTCGAATGACGGTGGCTCGGGGAAGATTGCCCGGCGATTCGTTAGTCTCATGTGCTCGGTCGTTGGAGATGCCCGATGATTGACTACACCTGGGATCTGAAGTTTGGATAAGATTTTCTGGCGTTTCAGAGGTCTGGTTCGTTCCTCGATCATTCTCGAGGTCAGTATTGGTAGCGAGCTTCTGATAGCCTTCTCTGAATAATCTGGAGTTAAAGAGGTCCAGCTGTTCCTTGCGCTTTGCTTCGGCTGCTTTGTGCTGCTCTTGCACCTCTTCTAAACGATCTCCATACTGGACCAGTTCCCTGCATAGTGCCCTTTTCCTCTCTGGATTCTGTTCACGGCTGTGTCGCTCTTCTGCAGCATCGTAATCGGCCTGAGCACGCGAAATATCCCCCGACGGCGGCACGTCATTGAGCAACGATGCCAAATCATGGATGATCTTTAGGGCAGCGGAGTGTCTTTCGACCAGAGAGTCTCCCATGTTGATCGCGCTTCACGACTAACTTGGTGTAAGTGTGGCAGGTCTCTGGGGCTAGTAGGATAAAACAAATTTATCCCGAACAATACAAGAAAGAACGAGAAGTGAAAGAGGGGAAACGAAATTGAGGGGAACTGATAAAATTGTGATTGACAGGAACTGCACAACCAACAGCAAGAGAAAAGAGATTTAGGTCGCAGCCTGATTCATGTCTTATCCAATCAAGATGTTGTTAGACCAGGGTCGTTCCCGTTTGTCGTCCAACATGTCAAGCAAATAGCCAATGACGAGCCGACTTTCATCCCCCATGCAGCCGCGTATCTATGCCGGTGGCTTGCCCAGGCTTGTTTCCCTGCTGACAGAGAGTTGCCAGTTACTGTACTACACCGTACTTAGAAAGTAAACAGAAAGGAAATAAGGCGGGTATGAGCCTCCTAGGCTCCCGATTGCTTCCGTCACGGATCTTATAGCCGTCTCTCACCCAATTGCCAAACTCTCAAACCAGGTTATCCCCCATCGACCCTCCACCAGATCAAACACCGAATGATAAATTCTTGCAATGGCGTGTTATGGCTTGCCTGGCAACGTCTTAGACTAAGGTTCCTCATTTGTTCACCTGGCTGTTGGTAATGGCCAACCTATCTCAGCGTAGATACGGCTTTACAGCGATTAAACCATGCACTGACAACTTGACAGGGATTATCCATATCTTCTCTTTCCTCTTCGATCTTCCCGCAACAACCAACAAACCGTTTTGGCCTCTACTTAACAGCGAACAACTCCTCCATAAGCCAGTACAAAATCTGTCACTACTGAGGGCCTTTTTTCAAATGATTGGAGCGATATGCTGCATCGGCCGGGAGACGTCCTCCTCCGTTTGCCAACAAGGACCAGAACTCTAATCGTGCCGATTGTAAAAAATAGAACGGTTACTTGCACGGGCATTTTTTGCACGGAGACAGAGTTGCGGTTGGTATTATTAACCGCCAATCCCAGTGTTTGTAGACACAGTGCAAGCTTCAGCATATTGTTCACACGCAATTGGGCTGGCTGCTCTATGCGTTCAACCTTGGACGTTTGGCCTGATGGTGAAGACATTTTGTTCTCCCAAACCCCCTCCAACCTCGAACACCCTGGCTACCTAGATCTGATCTGAGATCGACCGATATGTTATATCCAAAGAGAGAGCGCATTGCGTAACCGACAAGTGTCTATTCCTCTGCTATACTCTTGCGAAAACTACCCTATAAGTTCACTGCTCCTCCACTTAGTGACCCTGCTCTTGCGATAAACGCCCTACAAGTTTACTAGCCCGCAGGTCAATGGCCCCTGTCGTATAGCGAGGTGCGACGCTATCTAGCCACCTAGTAGTTATTAATTATAACCTAATTGCTCTGCCACCAACAGTTACGACTTGGGTAAAACCATCGTAAACTGATAAAAACGACCTAGTCACCTTGCGGCTTATTTTCGCGACCATTTGTGATCTTTGTTGGTCGCCTAGGCCAACTGTCTGCGTTGATGCTGGCAAATGTCCGGGCCCTTCGCTTCCTAAGGCAGCGTGAGGTGGTCGCGAGGACATTCGTCCTGTCCTCTCTGGAACAAGCGTCATCAAATCACCGTCACTCGCCTGCGATGACGAACCTTGGAATTGCGGTTTATTATCGGCGCAGATTTGATGTCAAAATACCGTGACTGACCATTTAGGTAGACTTGTTCCAAGTTCTAATTCGATGGTTCTATCGCCTGTGAGCTGCCCTTGGGTTGTATCCGACAGAATGCGCTTTTGTTAGACTGGTCGGACAGGATCTGGGGATCCGGGGAAGTACCGGTGGTCATACAGAGTTATTAGAATAAGCCTGCGGCCATGAGGCTGAATACCAAACACTTCAGTATCGCAAAGCGGGGTAAGGCATTATCTCACCCCTTCATATCACAGATATGCGCAGAAGCGATATGCCTTGTCAGAGGCAGTGGTCTGCATTGTTATTTATGTCCTTGAAAAATCCCCGTAAAAAAAACCAACTCTCATTCTACACAAGTAAACAAGCAGCTCTCATTGACCCGAGCCACTGAGCCAGCCTGGAACTTATACATATTATATAGCCAGGTGGAATAGCTAATCAGAAGAGTGTCTAAGCAGGTCTATCACCATGTCATCTCGGTCTGCATCTCAAAGAGAGCCTATCAGCGCATCGGAGATCTTCCCAAGCGTGGACACTCAAGCTCTTGAAGTACCTCCTGGTATACCAAAATTAGCATACCAGAGTCTCACAAACCCCACCGGCTTTCGCCTGCTGCAGATTCTATCTGACGGAGGCCAAGATATCCTTCGCTGCAAGATGTTCGATGCTGATCTCGCTGCCCAAGAACCACCCCGCTATATCGCATTGTCCTATACATGGCATGAGGAGAGCCTGCCCAAGACATTCCGGCCTGTATTGATCAACGACAAGTATCTCAACGTCAGCCTGAATCTCTGGAACTTTCTTCAAAATTACCGCGAAACAGCCGGCGAGCGCATCATCTGGATTGATCAGATATGCATCAACCAAGACGACACGGACGAGTGCGTTCAGCAGATAGGACAGATGTGTGAGATTTATCAGCGTGCTTCTATGGATCTCTTTTGGATTGGTGAGCCGGGAGAGAATGCGGAGGCAGTGTTGGATCTTCTGTCATCGTTGAATCGCCTGGAGACGTATCTCCTTGAGTCTGAAGGTTCTCGCCCTGGGATAAGCGCTTTACTCGACCCGACTTTCATGAGGGCAGTCGGCCTACCAGAGTATGATAATCCAGTATGGGGCTCTGTCATGCAATTCATCTCACGAACAGCCTTCCAGCGAGCCTGGATAATCCAGGAAGTCGCAGTCTCACGGAAGACAGCTATATTCTGTGGTCTCTTGATGCTACCATTTGATGTTGTAGGGAGAGCTGCGGCCTTCCTCGTTGAGAGCTCATGGATTAAAGTCTTCCACGAGATGTACCACGTCTCCGGTGCAGCGGGTTTTATTACGGGCATGATGAATTGTCGTGTGCGACATCAGGATGGAGAACATCAGAGCCTAGATCTTTTACTAGCATCGACTCGACGGTTCAAAGCTACGAAGCCAGTGGACAAGATATTCGCATTGATAAATCTAGCTGAGAGCGGTAGAAAAGAAAGGTTACCACCGGCCCTTAGACCAGACTATCGAAAGTCTGTTGTCGAAGTCTTTCGAGACGTTACTCTTTATCTCATCCGCCAAGGCTCTCTCGACATCCTTTCTGGTGTCGAAGATGTGAAGTTTCGGCAGATTCATCAGCTTCCAAGTTGGGTTCCAGACTATAGCGTGCATCAGGTTGCCTCCATTCTCTGTATGCCACCGCGCCCTGGATGGATGACCTTGTACGCCGCTGCGGTACGACGAGACGTCAGTGTTCAGCATTCCCCTACGGACCCGAACATCCTGACGTTGTCAGCGTACAAAGTTGACACGATATCCAAGATAGGTTTAATAGCAGAGGAGTCCATCTATCTTACTCTGGAGAAGTGGGCGAGTATGGTCGATTTTAGTGCCGCATACCCAATCGTCAATGGAAAGGCCTGTTCAATGATTGACGCCTTCTGGCGCACGCTAATCGGGAATATCGGCCTGGGAATAGACCGCTACCCAGTCAGTGAAGATTGGTTACACAAGTTTGCTGCGTTTTCCTTGCAAGCTCGGGAGGAACTCCAGCAAAACATGTCGACTTCCTCCGTTGTTCCGAAGGCAGCTGGGGAGAGTCCGAGTTTTACACCAGGTATTGACTCGATTCTTCGCCTATTAAAGGATCAATATCACGGGAATGACTATCCGGATCAAGATGGTGGTCTCTACGAGAGTACTATGCACCATGTGTCTTGGTACAGAAGACTATTTCGTACGAATGAGGGATACTTTGGTCTCGCGCATCCGTCCTCTCAACCAGGCGACGAAGTGGTTCTTCTTTCTGGCGGTCGCGTACCTTTCGTGGTAAGGAGAGTGATCGCGGAAAGACGAGAGTGTTACTCCGTCGTTGGGGAAACTTATGTGCATGGAATCATGGATGGGGAACTCTTAGGTGCGACAGATGGAAAGTGGGAAGACTTACATTTCGAGTAACGAGAAACATCGCTCTAAGAATTCAATGCTCTTATCTATCTCTGTTGGGCGCACTCCTCAGCCTCATTTTGTAATATCAGCACTACCGTAGAGAGTGGCGGTGTGCACCTGCATAAGACCTGCGGGTCACTGTCACTAAGAATTGCAGTCGGGAATAACTCTTGGTTGCTTATTACCTGACCGCCATGTTTATATAATCGCGTTGAATTCATCCTACAGGCCATTCAGCAAATGCAACTTCGACCTTTAAAATTCCAACAACACACGCTGCCAAACTGTTTATCGCCACTCTTCTACTTTTGTGTCGGTGTCGTTGGCGATCAGATAAAAATGGAATGCCGAACACTGGATATCTGGGACCAAATAGCACCAAGAGCATATATACGCCTATGGTATTGTCTACCTTACCGAGAAACCACGGAACTCGATTGCCTCAAGCAACATTTCACGGCAACCTTATCAGAATTATCGAAAAGGTTTCCGGATTTGAAGGGTAGAATATTTCTCCTGGCGGACCCACCCGGCCATCTGGCCATTAGCACGAGTGGTGTAAACGATATTCCTTTCAAGTTCGAACAGAGGGCTTTGTTCAACTGGACGTACAGTCAGCTCAAGAGTCAAGGCTTTCCAGCCGAAGCATTCGTCGATACATCTTTCGACCTCAGCTATCGACTTGAAGAAGGGGGAGAGGGTATTCCGGCTTTTGAAGTACATGTCCGTCTTATACATGGGGGATTGCTTCTTGGCATCTACGGCCACCATTCTATCTTCGATGCTGACCGTATGGATATTGTCATTAGGTGCTTTGCCGAACTTACCAAGATTACGAAAAAGACGTCGGATATTATAGTTCTAGCCCGTTTGAGTTGCGAATCGCCTGCAGCTGCCCCCAGCCCGCCAGTTGCAGACTTGACCGAGCTACTTTCTCATTGCCCTGAGTATCGCCTGCTTCCATCTCCTCTCGGCCCAACGCAGTTTCGCGCTCTGAAAACAGACCCAGCACCAGAGAACACGGGCTGTATCTTTGTGGTTCGGGAGAAGACTATTCGTGATCTCAAGGACAAACTCGGATACACACGACCCACCGACACGAAACAACAGCCTTCAACATTTACATGTCTCGCTGCCCTTACATGGGCTCATGTCACCAAAGCCCGTATAGACAGCTTGTCATCCGAGACGACTCTTGCCGAAGATGCACGACTTATGGTTTCTGTCGATTGGCGCCGACGTATATCCACCGATGCCATTGGCCCCAGTTCTGGCAACGCCATAGCTCTTCCGATTGCCTCTATTAACAAGTCAACTATTTTAGCCGCATGTAGCGAAGACCATGGAATTGCCTACTCTAGTCTAGCAACTATAGCACGTGCCATCGATGAGGCTATTCGCAGCGTCAACGACGACTTCGTGGCTTGTCGCACTGCTCTGTTTCGCAGGGTCCCAGACCCGCGATTCATAGGGCTTGACTTTGACCTCAGCGATCCACTGGACTTTTACCTCAATACTTGGCGGCACTTTGGTGCTCGGACTCACTGGGACCTACCGGGTCTTGACAAACAAGATGTTGCGATGGGCGTCGCTCCAGATGCTGTGCGCAGAGCACAAGCGGGCTTTGGAACTGGTTCTGGACTGGTGTTGCCAGAAACAGATAGCAGCAAATTTGAGGTGCTGATCACACTGGATGTTGAAGCAATGAAGCACTTGTCTAATAGTCCCAGCTGGCAGCGCTGGGCTGAGACACCAGGGCTTTAGATAATATTGGGGTACTTGCACTTGTTTCAATATCGTTATGTCTCTTTGAAGTTGATGTTTAAAGTACATAGCCACTTCGAAAGCCCTGTTTAACTATCTTGGTGACTATCTAATCTACCCCTTCGGCTTTTCTCTACTGGGTTCTTCTAGGCCACTACGTAGTCTCTTCCAGTATTCCCTCTCAGAGTAAAAGCCCATTTCGTAGTGTCTTCCTATTCATCTCCTTCTTATCTCGAGACAAGCTTTAGTATCTAGTCGAGTCTCCGTCCCGGTACGAAAAAGCTCAGGCCCTGGATCTCCATCTGCGAGTTTGAAGTCATACTTCGTCAACAGTTCTATGAGTATCATCTTGATTTCACATATGGCAAAGAACCTTCCAGGGCATGCATGCTTTCCATGGTTGAAGATCAGATAGTCTGGACCTGTGGTGGCTGCCTGGTGTTGCGACTCCTGTCCCTTGACAGATCGGAGATTCGAGTACCGGAACCCGTCGAATATGAGAGGGGAAGGGTTCTTGAAGTCAGAGCTAAAGCTTGGCGAGAATGTTGGTATCTCTTCTGACATGCTATTGTACAGTCAGTACAGGGACGGAAGGCCAAAGAAAGGGCAAGGAAGTACTGAATTGCGTGGGCGGGGAACGCTATGGACGTCCCTTTCTGTAACTTGATACCGTTTGATAGCGTCATTGACTTCATGACACGTCTACTTGGGGTGACTGAACCCTTCAGTTAGTATCTCATGTATTAACTCGGATGTGTGTTTGAGACCTACCAAAAGATGAAGGGCACCAGCGCTGGACCTCTCTAATGAAGCTATCCAATTTATGGAGCCTAGAAAGAGCCTCTTTGTTGACGCATATGTCTACTGCACCGGCATAAGGTCCAAAGATATCGTGTATCTCGGCCCTCAACGGTTCGATGTATTCCGGCCGCTTAACAAGCTCCCATACTACTTTGGTGAGGGCCATGGCTACCAAGGTAACAAGATCAGAAAAGTAAAACGAATATTGCGGTTTCAATACTTACTAGTAGTGTGGATTGCAGCGAACGAGACCAGCATTTGATCCAGCCCGACTTGCTCGGGGGTTCTAAGTTCCGTAGGTAAATGTCGAAGAAGCCACGAAATAAAGATACCTCGCCCATTAGTCTGATCTGCCAGTGGTGCATCTGCCAAATCTTGCCTTCCATCTTGTAAAACTTGCGAGATCAGAGGAGCCATGATCTCTGATGCGAAGCGTAAATGTCTTCGCACCGAACGGACGCTGGGTAAAAACGGGCCAATAATTGGTCTCAGCACGGGACTCCAGGTGAACAGCTGATCTCGAATTGAGACACATTGAACAGTGTAGCCTATGGTGGCTTGTAGCCAGCCTTCATCGCGACACAAGGGCAGACCAACAAACGCTCTGCCACTCAAAAGTGCCACGGTCCTGAGCATCATCTCGTACAAGCGGACTGAGGACCAATTGCTTGTCCAGGACCACTGCTTGGAGGCATATGCTAGCTCATCCTGGAAGTCCAGTATGATATTGGGCATATTGCGAGTTAAGTCCTGACGAATAGTGGCGGGTATCTCAGGTCTGATGGTAGTGATGTGGGTATACTTGCCCTGAAACTTGTCTTCATGCTCAGCAATGATGGAAATGTATTCATTTGGCTTGTTATGTATTTCATGAAAGACAGACATTGGCAGGATGAGTAGTGGTGGGCGTGATCCAGCCAAGACGAAGGGTGAGTCGCGATACTGCGCTAGTTAGAGACAAGAGAGGCTGGAAATCATGCAACTTACCTGCTGCACCCCCTTGATGAGGTTCTCCTCAAACGAATGTACTTGAGGATCGCCTACCACGGGATACGGTAAGGCCCGTTTACTCAACGACTGCTTGCAGATCCACCAGGCGAGTGCTAGCAGTCCCGTAGCGCTCCAGAGCACGACGAACATGATGACGAAACGCAAAGCGCGTGAGCCAGCGAGCTCCAGGGGATCGATTAACGTGACCAAAGCATTTATCATAGTGTTATGAAATCTCAGAATAGGTTAGATAAAGCTTCAATCGTTGAAAAGTTAGTGACGGGACAATCTTGTTCTCCTATCGAAGGTATGTAGCACAAATGACAAAGGTATTTCCCAGTCCCGGAAACCTGCTATCTTCGCGCCTCACGAACCCGCGTCACGAGGTCCCAGAAGTTCCATGCATTAGTGTTAAGATTCCGCCGCTGTGATGCTAAGGAGATAGGCTGGTTACCCCGAAACGGAATGTAGCTACTAGGTGTGGATGTAGTGGCGTCTAGACCAATGGATATCAGATCATGGAGCGTAGCAAGGATGTACGGACTGTCCTCCGTCCGTGCGAATGTCACCTTGCGTGATGCATAAGAGGACATGACTCGTATACGCGACCCTACACTACGGACACAGATAGCGACTGAAATTTAGTGGTACAATGGCACATGAAGGTCAGATCGGGTTCCCTCACTTGCCGAAAAAAAAGGTGTCATACAGAATGTTGGATCTCTTTACGAGAGGGATAATTACGTATTCGAAGCTTCAAGTATGTCGCTTAGAAAAGGCCTCAATGGATTTCCAGTCTGTTGAGCACTAACTAAACTACGTGAAATCGAGTAAACTCAAGTAAAATCATAGAAACAGGAAAGGTTATGCTTCCAATACTCTTCCATCATTTCATGCTGCTTGAAAGGTCTTTGATCACATAAAGTTGGTCATACAAGTCCGTGACTTCACAGAACAGTTTCACAATCTTGATCTTCCTCACATCCTTGGAACCAGCAGAATCTCCTGCATCATCTCGAGACTGTCTTTCTAGAGCTTCCAGAGCACGATCAAGACAACCCTGCTCATACATAGCTATCTGTGAAAGTCTCTTCTTCCTGTCGTCAATGGTCTGTGATATTCCTTTACACAGCGCGAACTCGGGGAAGTGCATCGAGTTCACATTGCGCTCAACGTTATCGCGAGCTATGGACCCAAAGTCATTGTACATACGACACATATTCGTCGCGTGGCGCATGACAGATGAAATCAGATACTTTTGAGTTGCAGAGGGAAATGCTTCTTTGCCTTGAGGCAGGTTCGCTGACATTAGACAGTTGGAGAAAGCGAATGAGTATGCACAGGCGACATGGCTGCCTCCTATGCTATTCACCCATTGGAAGTATGATTGCTCTGGGGAAGGGAAAACGTTGCTGGAGGCCTGTTGGGAGAAGCGGTTGTTGTCCTCTAGTTGCGTGGCATGGGCGTGCATGAACGTTCTGAACTCTTGGCGAAGAGTGTCTTGATCGGAAGAGCTTGACTTCAGGACATCTTTGTGGTTGAGGACACTCTTGGTAAAGCGAGTAAGAGTGTCCTCGACTTGTTTAATGTTGATGTTGGGTGGCTCGTTCATATGGCCATTTCCATTATGCACAGCACCATTGATCCCGACTGGGTTCACCCTGGTGTCGTCTATGATCTTGTCGATGGTCTGGTGAAGCAATGAGATATCCCCAAATACCGGCCCGGCAATAGCTTCCATGTACTCGTCGGTCTGGTAGCCTAGGAGGGACAAAAACATCATGTCGTACAGCCATCTATTCGATGCAAATGTATGACTTCTGTTGTTGCACCCTACCCAGGTAAACGGTATTATGCTCAAGTACTTGTCTTCCTCTATATTGATGTTGTCCCTTGGGTAAATTGCAACGCGTTGAGTTTTTAAGAGGGGCACAAAGAACGAAGACTCAATGATCGACGCCCTGAGCTCCCAGCCATCCAGTGGTGAGAACAAAGCAGTCTTACGCACAAGCCTTGTGTACTGCTCCAAGTCAGACGATGGAACTGCTGAGGTGATGCTATGGCCAATAGTAGCGGCGGGTACCTCTAGACTTGCTGAACGAAGGGCCGCTAGCTTGTACGCTTCAGCAACAAACCCAACCTCATATGCCGTCTTGGACGTCCAAGTGAGGTCTTGAGAATGGAGGCTGTAGGACTTGAGCCATGAAACGCCACGGCTGATGCAAGTTTGTAGCTTCCCCACCATTTCACTGAAGAAACAGACATGTCGGGCCTGTGCAAGAGCGAGAATGGCGTAGCATGTTTGCTCACGGTATCCTCTCCAAGATCCGTCCTCATCTTGGCTGAGAATGATACGTAGGACAGCCTGGAAGACGGAAAGGCCGATCTTGCACTTGAGGTTCTCATCGAAGAGACTGGAAAGCTCGCCACCATCAATCAGACGAAGTACCTCGGTGAAGGCTTCCACTAGAAGCATAGTTGGGTATAGGTGACTCAAGTTCTAAAAGTGTTAGTGAGTGCTTCTACTAGGTGCGAGGCTAAACACACCCATTTGTCCTTGACGTGATGATCGCTGTCCCACCACCATTGGCATATAAACAAGGTGGTTTTCAGGATTTGGGAATTGTAATCGGATAGTTCTGGCTGCTTCAAGAGACACAGCAACACATGGAGATTGGAAGTCAAGCTGGGGTCACGTTCTGATCCGAACGTGGTGAAGTGGTCTTTGCTTTCAAAGACCTTGATCATGATATCTGGACTGACATGTTGATTAACGAGGCTCAACGCCAGAAGAGCTTTCGCCGTGTCGTCAACATCAGCTGTATGGGGTGCTACATCGTAGTTAGTCTCCATCGTACGCTGATGAAATTGGGGGCATTCTGACCAAAGCCAATTACTCCATTCTCGTCCCTCAATGCGTCGGCAAGGATAGTTGCCAACCCGCGCAAGCCATTGCTATCGATTTGCTTCATAGTGAAGCCACCCTGCAGGAGTGTCGCCAGGATCTATAACCAAACTTAGCAGCTAAACTGTGGAATGAACTACGTTACTCACCCAGCTGCACTCAAAATGTGTTGTAGGAAAGGTGCCCGAGATACCGCCATCTCCATGGCCCGCACCATTTCTCACAATATGTCTCAGATAATCTTCAGCCTCATCGTCCCACTTGGTTGCACCAATTAGGTAGGCAGCTGTCGAGGAAGGTGAAGCCATCATAGAGCCACGGTAAAGATGGTGGGAAAGACGATCAAAGTCAATCTGGCCAAGAAAGGCTTCAAGAGAATGAAGCAGTGAAGACGGCTTGCCGTACACCTTCTTCAGGTCAAAGTTGCCGAGCTTCTCTTCATACATCTTTTCCAAGATGCCTTTGCAAGGGAACTCGAATGATGACTCGCCGAGCTCTTTCTCAAGCGTGGAAAGTAAAGCTGGGACAATCAGCTCGACACCAATGTGGTTAGTCTCCTCAACGTCCCTCCAGACCGCTAGCTGTCGCTTCAGAGAAGCAACTCCGTGCTCGATCCTGGGACCTATCTCGTCTGGGGAGACATCCAGTATCTGCAGTGGCTTTCGTACATGGGACAGGAGCGCAAGCACAGCCGAAGCAGTGTCTAGAATGCCGGCAGTCTGGGTCGTTGGGAGGGCGCCCCAACTACCATCAGCGGCCTGAGTCTTGAGGAGATAGTGGAAGCACTCGGGAAATAGCCAATGCTTGACATTTTCTGTCGTCTTGCGTATCATGGCCACCCAAGCTGTGTCATATACCTGACAGCTGGTGGAACACAGACCGTAGTAGCTATGATGGCTCTTGAAGGCACGGTCCAGTAACGACTTTGCTGCTGAGACCAAGTCATCTCCTGTCTTGAGATACTTGGGGGTACCGTTCTCTATTTTGCCACTTTTATGCGTTAGAATATGCAATAGCAAAAGGTATCTTTCATACATACGGCATCTTGTGTGCTATTCTAGATAAACCTAGAGTGTAAATATATGAAAGAAGATTGTGATTGTTATGTTTGTCTTGCGAGATATCCTCGATTTGTCTCAAACAACTTTACTTTAAGCGAGGAACAAGACCTAGCGGAAAAATAACGACATTTCTCTTCTCTCCAAGGGACACGGCGGAGCCCGTTAGCTTCCATCTTCCCCCGCTGGGATAGAAGTAAGTTTGCAGATTGAAGTCGATTGCGGGCGCCTAGTACATCAGATGTGATATGCTGCAGCCATAGGATGCATATGAATGGCCCTACCCCTGGGGTGACGACAAGTCTGCGAGGTGTATCTTTAAGTCATCCCCCTGTTAACTGGGTGGGTATCTATACATATGCATGCCGAACACCCTTGATATCCTGCAGTAGTGCCAAGGAAAAGATAATACCATAAGTTCGTTCTAATCAAGGTAGTGTTTGCGAGCCCTTGTATCATTCTTTCCACCCGGAGTTATGGACAGATCCGGGGCCGAAAACAAAGTTGATATGACCGCTAATGCTCGAGAATATGCATGTGCCTCTTGAAGGGAAATCCAGCATGCAGTTATAAGACACGAGGACACGGAATGGAATATCCATGTAGGAAAAATAAAGCTTTCTCCATAATATTTTGTATCAGGATATCTCTATATTTCCTTGTCTTGAATGTACCCCCTAGATATTCATGTCACTCTTCGCTCCTGTATCCTTCCTCATAGTCGAATCCTTTTGATATTGCCATACAAACGTATACATCCCAAATATCATCATGGCTGAGCAACAGATCTCCAACCTTCTCTCAATGTTTGATGCTTTCCATACAAACCAAAAGTTGGAGATTTCCGTTCAGGTGACGGATTCCTTCCAGTACAGAGACACTCCTCCAGACTCCTCCTCTTCAGAGGGCGGTTCTTTATCTCGCTATGAGGAACGACGTGTCTCCCTTCCTCTCGCTCGCAATTCACCTTCCCCAGATATAGTGTTCCAGCTATGCTTTTCAACAGCTACGATCTCTGAGCTCAACCACAGATGGAAGTCACAGCGCCTAAAGGTAGGACCAGATTGCCCTCATACCTTGACTAATACTTTCTGACTTGCCCAGGTTGCTGATTCTCCTTACAACTACATCCTGACCCTTCCCTCCAAAGGTATTCGTGGGGCGTTCATTGACTCGCTGAATGTTTGGCTCGATGTCCCGGAAGACAAGGCGCAGGTGATCAAAGATGTGATTGACATGCTCCATAACTCCTCTCTCATGTTTGTATACAAATCCACCGTTGCTGGAGACTCTACTGATATTTCAGAATCGATGACTTCCAAGATGGCTCCCCCCTTCGGCGGGGTAAGCCATCTACACATACTGTTTTCGGCCCAGCCCAAGCAATCAACACAGCAACATACATCATCGTGAAGGCGATCGAGAGAATACAAGAGATAGTCAGTCACGATGCATTGGCAGATATAACCGGCACTATAACCACAATCTTCCAGGGTCAGGCAATGGACCTGTGGTGGACGGCTAACACCATTCTTCAGTCTATCCAAGAGTATCTGCTGATGGTTAATGACAGTGAGGAGCCCCAGTACTTTCTTGTGGATTATTAACCAATTCAACTTTTTGCAGAAACTGGTGCCCTGTTCAGATTGTCACTTGAGCTACTGGCACTTAACTCTGAAGCGCCTATTAGTGACAGCACGCTTGAGTCTCTCAGCAGCGTTGTTTCACTGCTAGGCCAGTATTTCCAGATCAGAGATGATTACATGAATCTGATTGACAACAAGGTTCGATCCCCACAGCCCACTTCTCTTCTCTGGGTTCCAGTAAAGGAGGGCCACCCCTCGGCACTTGACCTATTCTCCACTATGGCCCAGACCCTTTGCTAACCACTCTCAGTATACTGACCAGAAAGGATTTTGCGAGGATCTGGACGAGGGGAAATACTCGTTGACTCTAATCCATGCTCTGCAGACTGACTCCAGCGACCTTCTCATCAACGTCTTATCAATGAGAAGAGTTCAGGGAAAGCTAACGACACAGCAAAAGATGCTGGTTTTGGAAGTGATGAAAACAAACGGGAGCTTAGACTGGACGAGTAAGCTGCTTGGCATGCTGCACACAAGAGTTGTGGCCGAAATTGATAGCCTGGAAATTAGCATGAAGAGGGATAACCCTGCATTGAGGGCCTTGGTGGAACGCCTGAAGCCGGAAACCTAGATTGCCCATATTTGCAGAAGAAGTCTACAGGCCATCTGGGGTCATTTCCTTTCTACAAAGCACAATTTCCAATTCATTTTATGGTGTGTAACTGCTAAACTAGATCATACACTGGGTTTCTGCAACAAACATTCGATGTGATCATTAGCCGAGATGTCAATGAACCTAATTTATTAATTACGTACCTCTAATTCCCAATAGATGGTCTCCTAGCAACAGAACACATAAGTTGCCTTGGCCTCTTTTGGCACACTAAGCTCATCTTGGAGACGTAAACCAAGGCGGTCGGGATTTCGGCAATTGTACCAATCATGACACGTCTTGTAAATACTCACCGGCTCAATGAGAACACCTGAAAGCTAGGAAAGGAGATAATGCAAGCCGGCACATCAGGTGCCGAACTTGGCGCCCATTAATTCGGCACCCATTTCTCTGGAGGTCATGGTGTAGACTCTGCAACGTCAGTCTGCTGCAGCTCTAAACTCTACTGTGCTACATCAACCAACATGCCGCTGTATTCAGACGCGGTAGCGGGTGTGCTAGAGGTGCAGGACGTAAAGGTTGCAAATCCGAATGCAAGCTGAAGTGTGCCATCCCCTGTTCAGCGCGTGGCTGCGTTGCGTCACGCTTGGTTCCCAGAGCGGGAGTTGTCCGAGCACGGAATGATTGCCGCGGGATCTGAGCAGCCGGAGTAACTATGAGGACAGGATTGTGGATCCAGGAGTCCAATAGTATGCGACAATTAATGTAGGTAACTGTGCAAAAGGGAGAGGGGTGGCTTTAAGGCAATGGCTTGAGAGTGTTGCAAGAGGCGCCCTCATCCGGGTGCAGCATATCAATACGAGGAAAATACGAGGGAAATCGCATAGCAAAATAGCATGGTCTCTGTGAGGTCGCGGGATAGGCACAGAGAATTGAACGACTTGATTTCTGAGCTACGTGGGACTTGGGAATCTCAGCAACTTGACATCAATTGGGTACTAACTCAGTAGCTAAAGTAATACGCAAAAGGTTACATTGGCTTCTCGGTTCAAACCGCTTCCAGATCCAACTCAACTGACTGCCGGCGCTTGATCAAAATATCCGTGACTGGACTAGACTTGGCAATCATACCCCTGGTATCAGGCTTCGTCTCCGTGTCAGGGCACAGCTTCCAATCATACTTGACCAAGATGTGGCACAGCGCTACTTTGATCTCATTCGCAGCGAAGAAGCGCCCTGGGCACGAATGCTGACCGTGGCCAAAGCCCATATGGTTTGAGCCAGTTGATACGAGTTGTGCCCCGTGATCTTTACCGGCTTCTGAGCGCATGTTGTAGAAGCGATAGGGATTGTAGACGTCGGGGTTTTCATAGATTTTGGGATCATCTAGTCGTCTATTGTCAACGTTGAGGCGGGTACCCTTTTTTAAGACTAGTTGAAGGAATGGTCAGTCGGACATGTCCATTGAGGCCAGTGGGTAGTTGACTAACTCAAGCCGCTGGAGAGGGTGATGTCTTCGGTCACGTAGCGCCGCATTGTAACTACATTGCGAGTGTCAGTGGTAGTAGATACGATGACGGAGAGAGGTTCGTACCTATGCTACCAGGCTTCATACGCTGAGATTCCTTGATGGCACTGTCAAGGAGCTTCATCTTGAAAAGTGTTGTCTTCTTCCAGCCTTCTTCACGAAGAAGTTGAACAACTTCCTGTCTCAGAGGCTCGATGTATTCAGGGTGGCGACCTAAGTCAATCATTGTTTGCTGAAGGAGGTCATACGTGGTATGGATTGCAAGCAGAGAGAGCGTAAGCTGGAAGATTACCGGGTCGAACGCGGACCCCGAGCCTGCAGCTTCTGCCTCCTGTTCTGACCAGTCAATAGCGTCATGAAACACAGGCAAAGGCTGACCAGCTGCGATGGCGGCTCTTCGAAGCTCACGACGGCGCTCAATCAGGGGCGTAATGATACCGACGGCATCCTTGCGTTCCTGGCGGAGCTTTCTGCATTCAGGGACAAACCAGTGGGCGAGGGGACGGATCGATCGGGGAAACATTCGTAGATTGGTAGATGCAGTGTAGAAGTTTGTGGTGTAGGTCTTTGTGATCTTCAACCACGCTTCGTTGCGGCATAGTTGGTCGCCGAGATAGATTCTGGATGAGATCCGGGCGATGATGTCTAGAATTGCTGGCTTGAGGCGCATCGCTCGCCATTCTGTGTTTTTTTTGGAGGGTAAGTGATGGTTCTGGGGCTCATGTGCGTCGGGGAAGTGACTTACCTGTTGTTTCTCCAAAGTTGAGCGACACCGCGAGGGTCGATTCTCTAGAAAGTGGCTCTATGACAGCGGCTCCCAGTTGTGAGTAGGCTGTCTTGACTCGTTCGCGGTGGAAGAACTTACAGAGATGCTTGGTCAACTGCTTCCGGGCAACTTTCTGTATGAGCTGGTCCTCACGACCTACAAGGGCAACAGTCTCGAATCCAGGTATTCCAGCATGGTTATCCTGTAGCGCAAGGAGGTTCGTTCAGAGGTCAAGAAATCCAGGGTGTTGCTAGTGGTACTTACCTGCATCGCCGCCTTGGAAAAGCTAAGCCTCGGGTCATTCCGAATCTCATCTGCAAACTCAGGAGGGAGGATGAGAACCTCACCCCAGTCTGTGATCAATCTGAAGGGCTCATTAGGGAAGAGGTCTCTCGCTTTGGCGAGGATCTCTCGACTAAGCTTCACAAAACTCCTCTTTGCAAAAGGTCAGTTTCCGTTTAGTTGTCTCGTCAACAGATGGTCAGACCCTGGTTTTACCGGTACCGAACAGTGATTTGGGCGGGTTAGCAAGTGGCACCACTGAGCCCTTGCGCAATTCTGGCCAAGAAAAGCGGATTGCCCATGGGACTAAAGTGCAGATGAATACAGCGATATAGAAGGGCAAAAGCTGGCTACCAGCGTAGCTGGTAATGATGCTAAGGAGACCCATCCTGAGTAGAATGTCTGATTTGTTGAAGAAGGCGTTCACAAACAGGAGTCAAGTCTGATACTCTGTCAGAGGAGGTTGTAATCTCAGTAGAAGACTGGGAGAAATGGATGGACATCAAGAGAGCCCTCACAAGTGAACATTGAAGAGCAGCGATCGACCACCGAGTTCATGGAGCGACGTATAGCATGTCGGCGATATCGCGCAATAGTCCGTCACCTTCTCTATCCGCTTCGGAAGTATGATCCGGACTTAAGAATGACACGGAAGCTGTACTTTCGGCTTTCAGGGAGTGCCCCTCCACAGATAGAAACAGAGCAGGTTACGAGCAAACCCGATGTGCCACGTATCAGATGCTGATGACACAGACAAGTGCCGAAAGTCAATTTATTTCCAAGTTCGATCAAGAAAGATCAGCGAATTGTTGCAGCCAACTTCCAAGAAGAAGGTCTAGGTCACCAATCGATCATGCAAGTTGAAGTGTACTAGTCCCAGGTGTGCCAGCCCCTGGTATGCCAAGCACAGCCTACGGTACTAAGTTTGCGTAATTGAACTCGCTAGGAACAAAGATGCGGAGAAATAATTGTGGTGGAGACGCCGAGCAGAATTCCGCAATGGGGATAGAATACCGGTGTTGTGCCCGACAGATATTACTGTGATAAGGTTGAGGTTTTTTCGACACGTCGATTGCATGCTACGTGATAGTAGCTACAGATCACAAGACATGTACAGCTCTGAAAAGGTGATGGGGCCCTGGGACCTAAACGAGCTGAAACAAGGAAGTGAACGAGATCATAGACGAATCACTTTTGTCGGATTAGAATCGTACTAATATCATTCCTTGTATTTAGGTTACGATTGGCAGATGCAAAATGTCAAAAAGAGAATGATGGCCGATGCACAGGAGAGGCGTGCAGTGCTTAAGTCACATTCCTCATTGGCCTATACAGAGTGGCCTTGCCCGCGGATATGCATAACACCCCCCATCTAGAGATAAGGTTTTGGATAAATGCAGGGTAGGCATGTACATACGTCGTGTGAGCCATCAACTATGGGGTCTTGCTGTAGCATCGGATGCAACATATCCCGCACAAGTCTCCCCAGATAGATAAGATGTTGTGTGACTGTGATGAGATAGCATATCAATGATATATCGAGATAAATAAAGTACGCGTAATTGGTTCGATTGACGGACTATTGATTGATTGATTCATTGATCTGAAACCATCGCTTCTCGCCACTTGGTAAGAAAGATCTCGGCCTACTCGTGGTAACACATTGGTTTTCTCTTTGCTTCTGGACAAGAGAGACTCTATTTGCCTTCTATTCAATATGTCTGATGGACTGTCGTTGCTGTTCTGCCCATATGCACTCGGCACTTAGGGTTCGGACCAGGCGTCAATCATACCCGACCATTGAGGCCTGGGTCTTGATACGGGGAAGCCAGTGGCCTGTTCTATTGGGCCGGCTATGGGCAACGCACTCTAGAGGCGCTACGCTACCGGCCCGTCCCAGGGTCGCATAGACACCTGTCACAGAATGATCAGCGGATCCCGTCGCTTAAGGGGATCCAGAACCGATACTGCACTCTAACTAGACAGGGTAGCGGCTGCAGATGTTTCGGTAGATACGTTTGTGCCGTCACAGCCATAGAATCTCAATAATGCATCCAAAGTCTTCATCCATAGCTCTTACTACAATCTGAACCCTACTCATTCCATCTTATGTACCTAAATCGTATTCTCCTCCTTTCTGCGACGAATGGACAACTTTGCAGTTGGGTTGGCATTCAGGTTGAGGCCATACTTCCTCGGCTCCATGCTCGACCCCTCAACAGGCTTAAAGTCGTACTTGAGCAGAATGTGAGACAGCGCAATCTTGATCTCCTCAGACGCAAAGAACCGGCCGGGACAGGCATGAAGCCCGTACCCAAAACCCATGTGATCCGGGGTTGCGCTCACGAGCTGTGCTTTGCTCTCTTTTCCTGGCTCGCGCCGCATGTTGTAGAAACGGTATCCATCGAACTTCAGAGGATCCTTGTAGTACTCTGGATCCCAGTGCTGGTGGGCTGATACGAGCGTCAGTTTGTTTTTGGGGAGGATGACGCCATCGGATAATTTCACGTCGTGGGTTGTGAAGCGACGCATGCTTGCTGGCAGTATCCGTTAGCGCGTGCTATCACCCCAGGTCAGGGCCGTAATACGTACCAAGGGCTATGGGCTTCAGCCGCTGACTCTCCTTTAAGACGCTATCCATGAGCTTGAGGTTGTACAGCGAGTTCTTTGACCATCCCTGCTTCCCTAAAACCGCAATGACTTCCTCGCGCAAGGGCTCGACCAGCTCCGGGTTCTGTGCAATGTCAAACATGACCTGCGTGAAGAAATCAGTAGTACTATGCAAAGCCGCCACAGAGAGCGAGAGCTGCGCACAAGCAGGGTCGTACACAGCGCCCTTCTCAGTCGCGATGTCATCTAGCCACTGAACAGCATCATTGTAAGTGACTTTCTCTCCAGTTCTCTCAGCCTCGGCCTTCTCTGCGCGTCGCCGCTCAAGAAGCGGGTTGATCAGGTCTTTTGCTTCTTGCACTAGCGCCCGGGACTCTGTGCAGTGCGGCAGAAACCACTGGACTACAGGCCGGAGCCACGCTGGCCAGAGGCGCAGTTCCTCTACTGCGTAGAAGGCGATGACGGCGTAAGTAGACGTAATTCGAAGCCATTGGGGGTTTCGACACATTTCCTCGCCGAGAAATACGCGAGAGGTGACGCGGGCCATGAGCTTTATGTTTGCATCTTTGGCGGTGATGTCGTGCCATTCTGTGACGCTGGTTTAGTTGTTGACTCGCTTGCAAGCAGCGCATGGATCCTACCTGGGCTGTCTGTGTACACGTCTTTCAAAACCAAGGCACACTCTTCAGAGACTGCTCCCGTCACCAGAGTCAACTGATGAGTCAGTTGATGTCGCGCGACGAGCTTCATGATGTGGCTCTCGTTAGTACCCTCTCTGAAACCCTCAAAGCCCGGAAGGTGAGCATAAAACCACTATTCCCAACTGTCAGCTATAATTTCTATTCATGGATTACCAACTCCTCACCTTGAATGCCGCCATGGTGAAGCTAAGCTGTTCGTTATTGCGAACCTCGTAGGCGTACTTTGGCGGCAGAATGTGCAGCTCGCCAACATCGCCCATGATACGGAATGGCTTATCAGGACTCATCTTGAGGCCTTTCTCTAGAAGCTGTCGAGCCCCAAAGGCAAAGTCCCTTTTGGCGCGGACGTCTGAGAGTTCGCCAAACTTTCTGCCGTTGACCATGATCAACGGCTGAGGTTTAAACCATTGGATGCATAGAAGGATGGCGCATGATGCCAACACGAGACATGATGATATGAGGGTTCTTCCACTCATGAAGTCAAGAACAGCATGAGAATGCCTATGGTAGAACTCATGGTAGTAAGGAGAAGAATGGTTCGTCATTTTGTGATAACAGTTCTACGCAAAGTGTGTCAAGGTTGGCGATGAGTTGATGCTCAATGGTGGAGGACTATTCTAAATAGCACATAATTTGTATATCAATCGCTCCAAAAGTAGGTGACTTGGGTCCTTTCGCTTTGGGACCAGGTCCTCTGGAACAAAAGATAAGTCCGCGTGCCAGATGCCGGCACGAATTCCCAAAATAGACCAGATAGTCCGTGTGTCTCCGAGAGCAATTGCACAATCTAGCGTTTGTCGAATGCTGCGTCTCGGCGTTCACATGGATCAGCGCTATGGCCTCGGGCTCGTATAGACGGCACACGCACCCGGCATGACACTCATGCATGCACCTTACTGACATAGCCTCTAGGCGAGTATGCAACCGCATTATCATGAGCGACGAGTCGCAGATGTCTCAGTTTAGTGAGCCGCTAAAGGAGAGGGTGTATAAACACGAACACATTCCCGCTTGAGGAGGGCGTGAAGTAATCGTGGGAACTTTTGGAGGCTTGTGCAGATATATGATACGCGCGAGAGGTGGAAGCAGTTCTGATGGTCTGGAACGTCTGGAAAGCCTGGATTGTTCAACGAGGATATTGATACCGATGCACGGCGGCGAAATGATTGCTGACGATCACTGTCCATGGCCGCATCTGCGAAGACCTTTTGCAACCAATTAGTCAATGCTTCACAGTAACCACCCTGTACAAGGCTGCCCATGATGAACAGGAGAGGATAAGCAAGACTTGCTCGAGTGTCAGTGTGTCGAACCCACATTAACTGAGCAAACTCATACCCCATAGCCTTTCCCCTTGGCTCTAATCAACTACCGACACAAATCTATATTCCATCTCATCTATTCTCAACATAACACAATGAACCAGTCCAACAGTATGAACAATACCATCCGTGAAACGTTGCTCCAGCAGCTCGTCTTGGGTCTTGATGGAATACCGCTCATGGACGTTCACTGGTTGGTCTACGTGGTCTTTGGGGCTTGGGTATTCTCTTACCTCATCGAAGCCCTATCTTCCAGTACAGTCAAAGTGCCCTTCGTAGGATACCGCAGCGTCTTTGAGCCTACATGGCTTCTCCGTTTGCGCTTTGTCTGGGAAGGGGGATCCATCATCAGCCAAGGCTACAACAAAGTAAGCGATCCCTCTTCCCTTCTTTCCGATATCTCATCTATTCTATAGTTTAAAGACTCCATCTTCCAGGTGAGGAAGCTTGGTACCGACATCGTAATTATCCCGCCAAAATACATCGATGAAGTCAGAAAGCTGTCTCAGGACAAAACTCGCTCAGTAGAGCCCTTCATCAATGACTTTGCGGGACAGTATGTACGGGGTATGGTGTTTCTTCAAAGTGATTTGCAGAACACTGTGATTCAGCAGCGGTTGACGCCAAAACTTGTCACGTTGACAAAGGTGATGAAGGAAGAACTTGACTATGCATTGAAAAAAGAGATGCCTGATATGAAATGTGAGGCTCTCTTAGCGCCTTGAGCTGGATCTTTAAGTGCTGATGGTTCTTAGATGACGAATGGGTTGAGGTTGACATTTCTTCCATCCTGATCAGGATCATATCACGCATCTCAGCCAGGGTGTTTCTCGGTCCAGAACACTGTCGCAACCTAGAATGGTTGACAACCACAGCAGAGTACAGCGAGAACCTGTTTATAACTGGCTTCATTCTCCGCGTTGTTCCTCATGTCCTGAGACCATTCGTAGCTCCGCTGCTGCCTTCTTATAGAACACTACTTCGCAACGTCTCGTCTGGTCGCAGAGTCATAGGCGACATCATTCGGTCCCAGCACGGTGATAGCAACGAGGATATCCTGTCATGGATGAGGGATGCTGCGACAGGGGAAGAGAAGCAAGTTGACAACATTGCCCAGCGGATGCTTATCCTGAGTCTCGCTTCTATCCACACCACGGCAATGACGATGACGCATGCTATGTATGACTTGTGTGCTCACCCTGAGTATATCGAGCCTCTTAGAAATGAGGTCAAAGGTGTCGTTGATGCCAGTGGATGGGACAAGACGGCGTTGAATCGACTCCACAAACTCGACAGCTTCCTCAAAGAGTCGCAGCGTTTCAATCCCGTGTTCCTCTGTAAGTTTCTCCTCGCCCTGCTTATCTGCATCTTGGCTCAAACCTTCAGTAACATTCAATCGCATCTATCACCAATCCATGACACTCTCAGACGGTACCAATCTCCCCTCGGGGACTCGCATCGCAGTTCCCTCCCACGCGATGCTTCAAGATTCAGCTCATGTCCCAGGCCCGGCCCCACCAACCGAGTTTGATGGATTTAGATACTCAAAGATCCGATCAGACTCAAACTATGCACAGAAATATCTCTTCTCCATGACTGATTCAAGTAACATGGCGTTCGGGTACGGGAAATATGCTTGCCCGGGGCGGTTCTATGCATCTAATGAGATGAAGCTGACTTTGGCAATCCTCCTATTACAATTTGAGTTCAAATTGCCAGATGGTAAAGGAAGACCGCGGAACATCACTATTGACAGTGACATGATACCTGATCCGAGAGCGAGGCTGTGCGTCAGGAAGCGGTCACCGAGAGATGAATGATAAACAGTATCATAAATACGGTTGAGATAGTTTTCGATTCCAAATTGACCTTTATTATCCAAACTCGTTCCAGAATGTTTCAAAGTGACTTCCGAGGAGTTCGGGATCAAGTCTACCAACTTTGGGCGAGCACTATTCTTCCTAAGTTTCTTAAAAGTGTCCATCCTGAGTCAAGCTCAGTCGCACATTTTCGTTACTGAGTAACATCCAATTATTCTCTTACTTGAATCTCAATATCAGAAAAGAGAAGTGAAAGAGCAACAGAAAATGTTCACATTCTTAGTCCGGGGACGCGGTTGACCCCGAATCGTGGCTATCACAAAGCGCCGCGGAGGGTTTAACAGCACACCCCTGCAATCCCGAATGAATCCAGTCTCATGAATCATCAATTCCAAATCGACTCCCCCCTCATGGAAAATGGTTTGAGGGTTCTGCATACGTGGCGTTGGTCATGTGCCGAGGTAAACATAGAATATTCAACTGCCACTTCGGGCATTCCCAGTATTGATTACGAATAAGCTTGGCACTCATAATTACTCCGGCGATCTGGGCCGGCCCGCCGTAGTAGTGAACCTTGAAAAGAGGAGGTCTTATGTCGCAATCTGTGAGGTTACATGCATGTGCCATGGGTATAGCCAGGGGTCGGAATTGCAACCACACGGCTGGCTATCAATCAACCGCTTCCACAACCACATGAGGGACACGTCAATCTATCGGTCTGTCGGCAGACAAAATTATCACATTTTTGGTTCTCAATTCACAGACGCAAATGTGGCATGACAAAGTTCCGTGCCGGACAAGCGGAAGATGTTGGCCGGCGAAATGTTTGTCTGCGGTCAAGGTCGCGATATGAACGGCGCAGCAGATACCTGACAGCTTAGGCTAAATATTATACATTTATATAGTCTCACTAGTGTTGGAGTCAGATGCAACATATCACCGTTACATTCTTTTGTTACGTGCGTCTTCATACACCATCATCTGACAATTATCTCTCGAATCAAATTATTCTATCACAGTTATCAACCTTGTCACGATGCCTCATCAACATACTCCTCTTGAATCGCCAGTTGGCAAAAATGTCACTGCTACCATAGCCTACCACAGCGGACCGGCTCTTCCAACCTCCCCAATCGCTGGTGTCACTACGCTCCAAGACTGCACCCAGCAGGTCGTAGCAGTGACTGATATCCGCCCTTCAGTCTCTTCCTTCACTCTAGATGGCAACGGGTTCCAGGTGGTCAAGCATACATCGGCGGTAAGCTCTCCGTCGTATGGTCACTCGTCGTGGACAGACCCAGTCGTTCGCAAGGAAGTGTATGACCCTGAGATCATTGAGCTGGCAAAGTCTCTCACTGGGGCCAAAAAGGTCATGATTCTGCTTGCTTCGTCTCGGAATGTCCCGTTCAAGGAGCCGGAGCTCGCCCCTCCCTACCCCATGCCCACCAAGTCGAACAGAGGCTGCAAGGAAGAGGGAGTCAATCCAGCTCATGAGCTCCCTACTACAAGAGCCAAAGGATTCCACAAAGGCGAAGAGGAAGGCCCAGTGCGAAAACCCCATAAGGACTGGGGTCCCTCCGGTGCGTGGAACACTCTTAGAAACTGGAGCCAAGAGCTCATTGAAGAGGCTGGCGATATCATCAAGGCTGGCGACGAGGCTGCAAAGCTGCCAGGGGGCAGAGCGAAGAACTACCAAGGCAGACGATGGGCCCTCTACACTACCTGGCGTCCACTGAGACCTGTCAAGCGGGATCCCATGGCTTATGTAGACTACTGGACAGCTGATGAGGAGGATGGCGTGAGCTTCTGGCGTAACCCGCCAGGAGTGCATGGGACGTTTGAGTCCGATGTACTGCTGACTAAGGCTAATCCAAGGCATAAGTGGTACTGGATCAGTGATCAGACTCCAGATGAGGTTCTCCTTATGAAGATCATGGACACCGAGAGTGAGAAGGATGGGAGTGACATAGCGGGAGGGGTTCACCACTGTTCGTTTCATCTCCCGGGAACGGAGAATGAAGAAGTGAGGGAGAGTATCGAGACCAAGTTTATTGCATTCTGGTAGTTACCGTTTGTCTATATAATTGCTGTCTTATAATTAATTCTACGTGGTTATTATGAGATGACTCTGAGGTTCAATTATCACTTACTATAACCTACGTTGGTGCCTAATGCCATGTAATAATATTCTATTTCAGTTACATACTCCTCTGAATCTTCCTATGTTCCAGGTGCTGATTCGCGAATCAGCCTCTTCCGTTTCCCCCTGACATATCGGCGAGCCTCACTCCATTTAAAACATTATCGCTGTTCCAAATGCGCTCCTCATCATCATCAGTGACCGAAGCATCTGGCACCGAGCTGGGACTCAGGTCGACAGTACGTTCTGGTCTTTCGGCAAGACTACTCCTACCAAGAATGAACCGACCGAACCATGGTAAAACCTCAAACAGTTGGAAGTGGATTAGACCCTTCTTCGGCTGGTTGAATACATATCCCAGAGATTCAAGAGGCACGCCGCTCGTTTCCTCCATCAGGAGAAAGATGAGAACAAAGGCAACGACGTTCAAGCCAGCAAACACCCCAAGCGTTCCCCCAAACCTAATGCCAGCGACCAGTAGGGGTTGCAGCCATGCCAGGAGGCCAGCGAATAGAAGGTTGATGGATATTGCAAGCGACGCGCCCTGTTCTGGATGTTGGTTGTCTGTCTTCGTTTACACCACAAAGCCAACTTACAGTGTCACGAAAGGCCAAAGGAAAGCTTTCCGCAGCTAACACGAACGGCACTGGCCCCATTCCTGGGCTATAAAATACTGTGTGAACTGTTATAAGTGTAAGCGATACTCTCTCAGGCACAAGACTTTTATAGCATACAGTAAATCCAGAAGGCTACCAGTCCGTTTCTCACATCCTCATTTGCCGTATTGAAGCTTATAGCCGCTGCCATCAAGGTTAAGGCCATACCTGGGATTGTGAAGAGTAGAACCTTCCTTCTTCCCAGAACGTCTATGGAGTGGATAGCGGGTAAGCAGAATAAGAAGTTCAACAGACCAAAGATCAAGTTATACAGCATAGCCTTGGAGATTTCATCTTCTGTTGGCTGATTGCCTGGACTAATACCTGCAAGTGTTGTCCCACCGTAGAACGCCATGATGTTAACTAAATAGTGTCAATGAAGTCACGATGTTCAGACAGGTCGATCGACTTACTTCCAGAAAATTGCTGCGACAAAGCCACAATCCCTGTTGTAATAGCTGCATTCCGAAGCCGATCGACTTTCAGGATTTTCCAGTACTGTCGCACGTAGTGACTTAAAGCCCCAACTACTGGCGTTCGAGGTTTTGGGGCGGCCTTGGTACTATCGCATCCTTCGTTTTCGAACTCGCTATCTATTCCCTTGTATGTCAAGTACAAGTCTCTGACTGCTTGTAGCTGTGACCTCTTGTATCAGATCTTGTTCAATGGTGCAGGTCATGAAGGGGGACGAAGGGGTGAACCAAAAGAGATGTGCACAAGTGTTGTGACCGACCTTAGTGTTGCGCAATCGCAGCAACGAGGCATATGCCTTTTCAGGGCTATACTTTCTCGACCCTGGCATCAAGTAGTAGCGGAATGACTCGGGGCATTTGGCCACAGTATACATGAGCATAAGCGCAAACACTGCTGGAGAGGCCAGAATCAAGCGGAGCTTTAGATTCTTGTCGTCAATCTGGTTCAAACAAATATTGACAATAAAAGACATCATGATGCCAAAAGAGACCCTAACAAGCAAGCCTATCAGTCATCATATGAACGAGATGTTGGAGACGGTAGACCTACCATAGCTGCCATAACAGAACTGAAGAGCCTCTCCACGAGCCAACTGCCGTTTCCGCTGCGAGGATGGGGGTGCTAGTAGCCTTCAAGCCCATGCCGACACCGCCGATCAATCTGATGCTCCCAAGAACGAGCCACGCATCGTCATTGAGTGTAATGCAAGCCGAGCCAACGGATGCCGCAAAAATGAGAAACGAGGCAACAATGATGACGCCACGGCGACCAAACAGTGAACTCATCGGTGCAGCAAGGGGACATCCTCTGTTACTGTTAGCTACCAAGACAAGAATTGCGAGAGAACTCTACCTACATAACAGCAGCGCTGAAGTAAACAGCTGCGTTGGCATAAGCGAACTGGGAGTTGACAGGGTGCTGCCCAGACTTAAGCCACTGATCAGCAAACAGATTTGCACCGTTCTGACTACTCTGTACAAAGCCTTGGAGAAAAGCACTCAGGCTGACAGTGAAGATGACCATCCACATCCCGTTCTCAGAGAACGAATGGTCAATCTCGTTGATCAGAGCGCGTTTCTCGGCGGCATTGAGGGGTATGACGGTGTCTGTAGTGCCGCCGCTATCTGGGCTGCCCTTTCGAACCGCTTCGCGGATGGCATTCTCGATGTTGTCCTTTTGCTGCCACGCCGCGGCTGCATCTTGGACTTCTCGCTCGGTGGGATAAGGTCGCAGGCCGGTTAGAGTTTGAGAAGTATCTTGATAGAACTTTCGGACATCCGCGTGGAGCTCCCTCTCTGTCATATTGGCTGTTACAGTCAGCGATGGTCAGTCCAAGAATCGTAATGAGATGGACAATGGCCATGTTTACCTAGAGCATTGTGATAGCGAGGTGGCCGCCTTAGAGATACCATGCCGGGCCGTGAGCTCAACGGTATGGTGAAGTAAGTAAAGGTGCTCGTGATGTCAAGGGTGGGAAAACAAAAGTTGTGGTGTCGATGAATTGCTTCACACACAGAGAGAAGGACAGTGAGTGATTAGACCTTGCCTTCGATTTGGGAGGCTTCTTCTTTTAAGCTCAATGCTTCATCCCAGTTTCAAGCCGACAGATCTTGTTGGTTCCTGTCGTCGGCACAGATGCAATGAGGCTCTGCCTTGCCGCTTCTCCTCTAAGCGCTCTCCTCTAAGCGCTCTCCTATCTGCCTTAGATGGCATGGGTTTCACCGCGACCGCCACAGCTGAGAGCTGGAAGCTGAAAGCTGAAAACCTGACCGGTGAAAGCAAAGCCTCGATAGTTTAGAAGTGAAATTACAATAATGGCCAATAAGGACCCCTCACGAGCCGCGGTGGATACAACCTGAAACGAGGCTCTGGCGTTGTGCAACCCCAACGAGTCATCCAGACGACTGGTCGCATACCAAGACGGTCTAGAGAGCTATTTCTGGGGTCTTGGCCTTTGAAAACCAGGCTCTGAGCAAGCAAACATTTCAGCCACAGAAGAATTCTCGTGTCGCCTTGTACGCCTTGTTTATTTTGAGAGCAATCTATATGTCATAGCATCCCCGCGTTTTGTGTGCAAGGCCTGTGCTTCCGACCCGCTTTCGTCCCCAGGATTTCCCCGGTTTCTCATCTCATCTCATCTCATCCCTCTCACCTTCTCTTCCATCTACTAGACCGCTCTTGCTCTATTCTCCCGATTCCAAATTTCTCCACTAGTCTGCATAAACACTATACTCGGTTCAAATCCCCATCAGCAAAGCACTTCCGATCAGGCAATCTCCATGTCGTCGGGTTTGGATGCAGCGGGACTGGCCCTTGCCGCTACCCAGCTCTGCGGTGCCTTGGCAACTGGGATTTACTCTCTCATCCAGGAAATTAGAGACGCCAGTAAAGATGCTAGTAAGTTCCCATAAGACGATCACTGGAGCACTGTAAGAAGGTTGAGAGTCATGATTAAACTAATGATTGCGCTATAGAGATAATGCAAGACACTCTTTCTGCGCTCCATACACGCCTCGACCAGGTCCGGGCATTATTTGATGCAAACGTACCAGAATCACCGTTAGAGAAAGACTATCGTGCTTCAATTGACAAAGCTCTTGATACCATCCACCGAGACCTCCTATTACTGACTGACAAGCTCCATATTAACGTAATACTCGAGGCAACGGGATCCAAAAGGCTGGAGGCTTGGTATGTTCTTCAAAGAAAATTCCAGAGCGATGATATTAGGACTATTAAAGAACGACTTGCTAGGTCCGAAGACCTTCTGCAGTCACACTTCGAGATGCTGTCAATGTGGGTTTGGATACTATCCTCTAAAGGAAAGTAGATGCTGACCTTAGGCAGCTACATCAATTATAGGACGCTAGATGAAGTCACCCATCTTAAGGCATCCATGAGACCCATTCTCGAAAAGTTACTTTTTCACGCGAGACTCACGGAGCAGCGCCAAAGGGACCAAGCCGCCGAATCACGTTCCATTAGACGCCTTCGACATGTCACAGATGCACATGCCGCCAGCAACAGTGTTCCTCCTGAAGATGAGTCCGACCGGGATTATCATGATGCATTCAAGACTTGGGAGGACAGATCTGAGGACATGATCATGTCCATTGCCGATCTCCCATGGCACCAGGTGTCAAACTCAGACTACGTCCCATCTATTCTGAACGAGAGCCGCGATGGTGCAAGCGTTGTGCCGACCGTTCGCGATTTGGGAGAACCGAATGGAGCATCCTCTTGGTCGAGGCGTTTCCCGAATCTTTTGCACATCGAAGAGATACCGGATGAGTCTCCCCAACAAGACGTGACAGAAGACATTTTCGATTGGTGCAAAGAACAAGGTTTTCCTGTCAAGGGTTCCAGTTTCAGGTACGATCTCATCTGTGAGACGGCTCCCGTCGCGCTGAAGGGCACTCCACCTCTGCACCAAGCTATCAAGACAAACAACATGGCTGTGTTGGAGAAGATGTTATCGCAGGATTGCAATATCGAGGTCCGTTTGGAAGACGGGAGCCAGGACCTAACGCCCTTTCTCCTGGCATGTTCTGAGCTGAACGCCGCCGCGGTCAAGCTCCTTCTTACCAAAGGTGCGAAGGCTGATGCGACCGATCGTTCGGGTAAGACAGGTCTTCACCTGTGCCAGAGTTCGAAATTTGAGGGAAGACGCGTCGCAAAGCTTCTTCTCGGGGACTCAAGGGCCGAGGCCCTGGATGTCAATGCCCAAGATCAATTTGGCATGACTGCCGCACACATAGCTGCTCGAGTTGGAGATGTGAAAATGCTGGAGTACCTGTTGCTAGATCAATATGGCAAAAAGGTTGCCGACGCAAACGCACAGCAGCAAGATGGGTCGACGCCACTAATGGTCGCCCTGAAATCCAACATAGCCAACAAGAAACAGGTCATCGATGTGCTATCGAGATGTAGCGACCTGAGGGTCAAGAACAAGAACGGCGAAGATGCTAAGGAAGTGGCTGCGAAGCATAGCCCAAAAGACGTTCGCAAGCACTTGCTCGCTCGCATGGATCAAGACAGCACAAGGTCTCGGCGGATAAGCGAATCTACAACGGTTGTCTCGGGGATTTCAGTACAAATGAGCGAGGAGTCGTGCAGTGGCTGTAGGCGACACTGTCCTCAATTGAAGGACTGCAAGCTCAGTATCGGGGATTCGGCGTTTTCGCAGGATTGGAAAAGGTCACTGAGGAAGTACTCGAATGATCAGTCTAGTATAGCAATGGGCAGTAGTTCAAGTATACGGCAGGCTCGATAATGTTACTTGTCTTTCTGCTCTCATTTATTCAACAGTCGATAAAGTTGATGCCCGTCGAATCTTAATTGTAGCCATTACTATGACACTCACACCCTGGCCAGACTCAGAAAGCCACTTGAGGGTCAGTTCTTGGACCACATCGTGCTTTATCACATCAAACTAGTTAGTCGCGAGCTTCCCTACACCACTACCAAATCAATTCTGTATGGCATTAGAGGTCCGGTTATTAACCTCGCGTTTTGAGTTATTACCAAGCCGAGCGCGAGCTGACAAACACGCGATAGTGCTTCTCCGAGGACAATTTCGTGGTATGTGATTGGCCCGGATGCCGCTGATGCCGCAATGGCCAGGTTTTTTGGTGTTGCTTTATATGCAGGCTGACATCGGGTATCCGGGTAATCGACACACGGGAAACCGTTGAGGGGCGTTTTTCGCTGACTGGCTTCGGGTATGACACTTGCAGAGATACAGGTTCCGGAACCAGACGGAGATGGTATAATTCTGGCTGTTAATTCTTGTAAGCCACTATAGTATTTATATACTGCTTCCTCGCAGTCGCTTTCCTCAAACATCTGATCAAATATCAGCTCCAGTATCCAACAACATCGCAATATATCCGATAACACCAATTTTCTGTGCTGATTGGAACTCTCCGTCAGAAGTCTCAACTTAAAATATCACGTCTACACTATATCCTTATTACAAAATGACATCATCTAATCTACCAGCTACAATGAAGACTGTTCTTCAGCCAGATAAGCATTCCCACAAACTCATCCTCTCATCTCAGCAACCCGTCCCTACCCCCAGCCATCCTCAAGACGTCCTCGTCAAAGTTCACGCTACCTGTCCCTGCAAGGGCGAACTCGACTGGGCCCTCTGGGCACCCGAGTTCATCGGTGACAAGATCCCCATTCCCGGCCAAGACCTTGCAGGGACAGTCGTCTCAGCCCCAGAGAACAGCGGCTTCAAGCCCGACGACGAAGTCTACGCTCGTATTGAAGCAAACCGCCCTGGTGCAGCTGCAGAATATGTCCTCGCCCGGGTCTCTGAGCTTGCGATTAGACCTAAGAACTTGACTTGGGCTGAAACTGCGGCGAGTCCTATCAGTGCACTTACTGCATATCAGGGATTGTTCACTAGGGGAGGTTTGGATTCCAAGGCACTTGCGGGAGATGAAGCTGCGCGGGAGAAGAACGGCAAGGTCCGAGTTCTTATCAACGGTGCTGCTGGGGGAGTGGGCAGCTGGGCCGTACAGCTCGCTCGCCTGGCTGGAGTCAAGACTATTGCGGGAGTTGTTGGAACACAGAATATCGACTTCGTTCGGCAACTTGGCGCGACTGAGACCATCGACTACAAGAAGCAGAGTATTGGGGAGCGGGCTACCCAAGATCCCTCATCTCGACAATTCGACCTTGTCTTTGATTGTATTGGCTTGCCTTCTCTATCTCAGACGTGGTATGCAGTTCGGGAGGGAGGAACACTTGTCAGTGTCTGTGCTCCACCGGAGCAGAATCGTCCGGAAGATGTCAAGAAGGAGGTCAACAGCATCTTCTTTGTCATTGACCCGGTCGGCAAGGATCTAGAAGTCATCACCAAACTTCTGGAGGCTGGCCAGATTAAGCCGCACATTGATAGCGTGGTTGGTCTCGACGACTTTGAGGAGGCTTGGGAGAAGGTTGAGTCGGGTAGAACTAGGGGAAAGGTTGTCGTTATGGTGATGAAGGACGAATAGTAGGATGGTCATTGGTGTTGCATTTCATCGTGTACTTAGCTATAGATCTCTTCTCATAATATCTATTTCCATCACCCAGAGTGCTTCACCCAGTAAGCCTGAGGATTGCACCACCCCTTAAGACCTACCTCTCCCCAATCCATTCCGATACCGCTCTGCTTATGCCCCCCAAACGGAACGTTCGGCGCAACTTCGAAATGCGTGTTGACCCAAACGCTTCCCGCTTCCAACAGTTCGGCCATTCGTCGAGCACGAGCGACGTCTTTACCCCAAACAGACGCTCCAAGACCATAGTCTGATGCATTAGCCCTGGCTATGACATCGTCTTCCGACTGCCACTTCATAACAGGTACTACCGGACCAAACGGTTCCATTTGTACGATTTCTGAGTCCTCGGGTGGGTTATCAACAAGAACAGGTGGTACAAAGTATCCCTTTTCCGATGGTGCAGGTGATGCGCTTCCAAAGGCACACTTCCAGCCTTTCTTGTCGATCTGCTCATAGAGACGCTGGAGCTTCTCATACTGCATCTTATTCTGGATAGGTCCGAAGAAGGCTTCAGGGTCAGAGAAGTCGCCAGTTTTGAGGGCTTGTAGAAACTTGATAACTTCGGAAACAAATCTGTCGTAGATACTTTCATGGACGTAGATACGCTTGATGTTCATGCAGATTTGGCCGCTGTGGACATAAGCCAGAAATGCGACCTATCAACTGGTTAGTAAACCTTTTGTCATCGGGTAAGCTGTAGAGAAACACGCCTTTCCAGCCACCCCAGGGATGTCAACATCCTCGCAAACAATCGCAGCATCGTTGCCGCCCAACTCAAGAGTGACGCGCTTCAATGTAGCAGCACAAGCCGCCATGATCTTCTTACCCGTCTCGGTGGAGCCCGTAAAGCTGACCTTGGCTACATCTGGATGAGCAGTCAGCATAGGTCCAAGGTCATCACCGCCGCTCAGAGCCTGGAATACGCCGGGAGGCAGGACTTTGGCTCCGATCTCTGCAAGCTTAAGGGCAGAGTAGGGAGTATATGGCGAGGGCTTCCATATAAACGTGTTGCCGGCCAGCATGGCAGGGTATGCTTTCCCAATGCCGAGCAACATGGGGAAGTTCCATGGAACGATGCCGACGCCGACTCCGAGAGGAACGTAGCGCACAACGGCTGTTCTCTGCGCATACTATTAGTCTCCCTTTTCCAATGATGAATAATCTGGGAACTTACATCTTCATTATCCTCAGGCTTATCCTCCCCGATCCTAAGCTTCGGAGTCTCTCGAACATGTTCCATAACAAGCATAAGCTCAAAGCCACCAGCCTGCGGAGGTTTACCAGCTTCACGGCCTAGAAGGTCAATGAACTCTTGCTTATGTGCTTCGATAGCATCTGCGAATTTTACGAGGTAGTTGGCGCGCTCATCCCATGATAGCTTTCGCCATGCTGGATAAGCTGCTTTCGCAGCGCTTACAGCTCGATCAACGTCATCTTGGGTCGATACGGGTGACTCCCAGAGAGGCTCTTCTGTGCTAGGGCAGATACCATGTCGGGTTTCTGAAGTGAGGCTTAACTGGTTGTTTATGACGTTCTGGAAAGCCTTTGATAAGAGTCAGAGAGCTGTGGATTTATCTAGAGGGAACCATGCGTACCTGAAAGTCAACTTTTTGCTCATCGGGAAAACTCATGGTCACAAGTTGAGGTCAATGCAAGGTAACTGATGAGAAGCAACTGTCATCACTCAGCGAGCGACCATGTCGAATATTTATCCCTCAGACTCTCAGTCAGGCAGTCATCTTCCTTCTGGGTAGACTTAACTCCATCACGAGCGGGATTACAACAACTTAGCCAATGCTTACTGCTCATGAGCCTGAACCCATCTTGTTGTAATAAGCATAATGTCAGATGTGTTGCATTTTCAGTGCCAATGTGGATTAGGGCTGACGATATGACAGGAATAGCTCCACAACATACAGATGGCTCGCCAATGGGTGTTGTTCGACCAAAGTACCTAGTTGAGTAAGCGACTGATTTGGTAATGTCGCCCGACCCAACATTGTCCTGAGACCATGGATGGGAATCACATCTGCTACGGGTCAAGGTCCTAGCTCAAGTTCAACGGTGACTAGCCAGTATAGGGACTAACGAACTTGAAACTCATCAAGTCACTCTCTGATCCAGTCTTCACAATCATCACAACCCAAATATTATATGGCGCAAGTCGTAAGTGCACCAGGGAAGACATATTTATTATAGTACTAAACAAGTCCATTGACCTCACACCCCAGCTATTATTCTATGAGTCTATGATCTGGCCCCGAGAGCCCAGCTACCAGCCATCTAAGCGTTGACACGGTCGAAACCCTGCTGCATGGCCTTGAGGTGGCTCCAGTCATGGCTGTCAAGAGCCAGGGCCCAGGCCATGACGCTCTTGATGCCGCGGGTCTTGGCAAGAAGGTTGATCTTCTCAGCGATGAGCTCGGGAGTGTCCCAAGACCAGAAGATGCGGTTAGGGGCATCCCAGTACCATTGTCCTCCGTTGGCCTTGTCAGTCTTGCCCTTCTCGAGAGCTTCGTGGAACGAAGCGGAGATATCGACGCCGTCACACTTGCCGTAGGCAGACTGGCAGCCAGCACCGCAGTGAGCAGCAGTGTCACCACTGTTACATGTCAGCTATTGTTTAGTAACGATTTCAGAAAGACACTTACCACCAGCCGGAAGCAGCACAGCAAGATCCGGTGGCGCACTTGAAGAAAGTGCCAGCACCGCAGGTAGCATCAGGAGTAGCAGTCAAGTTGGTAGGGGCAGAGACAAAGTTGGCAGCCTCGAAAGTCATAGAGCCAGACTTGCCGGTGTCGCTACCATCGGGGTTCTCGAGGAGCTCGGTAGGGCAGCCGATAGGGTTAGTGCACTTATAGCCCTGCTTGGTGATAAAATACTTGGCATAGAATGGAATGCCGAGGACGAGCTTGTGGGCGGGGAAGCCGAGGGAGAGATACTTGTCGATGGCACGGGCGGCACCCTTGACGGAGACGTGGTGGGTGGTGTAGTGATCACGGCGGTTCATGAGATCATAGGTCATGACCTGAAGAGGTTAGTGGGGCGGTTTCATAAGGCTGAGAGGGCATGCTTACGTTGACAAAGTCGACGGACTTCTCGATGAGGGGGGTCTCGCTGGGGATGTAGGCAATCATGTCACGCTCAAGACCGGGGACAGCGATGGAGAGCTCCTTGGAGCCGATGAACTTCTTGATCTCCTTGAGGAGCTTGGGGAAGGCCTTGATCTCGTAGGTCTTCTTGGAGTTGACGACCTGCTTGTAGTCGGCACCGTTACCACCAGGGTACTCCATGTCGATATCTGAAACTATTAGCAAACTTGCCATTAAATTTCATATACGGAGCACTCACCAACACAGTCGAAACCGAGTCTATCAAGAGTAGAAGCAACGTTGCGAGCGAACCTCTCCCGGGTACGATCGGTCTTGAGACCCGCATCGAAACCAGCATTGTCGCCCCAACCACCAACAGCAAGACAAACCTTGATGTCGTGATCGAATAGAGCGCGAACCTCCTTAAGAGGCTGGAAAGGCTCGTACTTGCCAGAAGGCTCAGTGGTGAAGAGCGAAGAGTTGGCAAAGGACATCATGACGTGGGTGACGCTGTGGGTGACATCCTTGGAGGGCAGATCCTTGGTGTGCCACTGGTCGTAGTAGATGATGTTACGCGAACAGCTCGCCTCGGCGACGGCGTAGGCGCTCAGGCCCAGGAGGGTAGTAACGCGCATGATTAGCGAAGAAGAAAAGAGTGACGTTGTTTAAAGGAGTGTATGTATTTGCAAAACAGGGAAAAACGAAAGAATGAAGACCGTTGGAGGTTGATGAGCCAAATACAGAAAAATAGCGCGGTGCAGCGGTTTAAATGCGCCGTAATGCAGTGCCGCCGTCCCTTTTTTGTGAATTAAGTTTAATTAGAAGCTAAAAGTGCATTTTCTAGAAGGGAGAGCGCGTCAGCGTTTCACCGCGTGTTACTCTGCATAGAGTTTAATTACCCTTTGGACGCCCCCAGATTTCAAATTTCCACCAGTGAGAGCGCATAGGTCCGGGTTACATAGCCTTAAAGTCTAAAGCGCACAGATCACGGCAATTCTGTAGCGTTGGGCTTTTTGGTGGTGAGATTGTGTTCGGCATTTGTGAAGCGGTTGGCGTTGACTCGGCGAGCATCCGATCGTTCCGGTGTTTCGGGTCTCGGTGGGATGGGCTGGGGAGTGAGCCTTATGGCCGTGCTGAATGATGCTTGTTGACGCGACTTATCGAATTTTGAGTGGTACACTTGGCTAGATAAGCATTTCAGAAGCCACACTCAATGCTCTATTTCGTGTTTACGCAAATAACTCTCTTAAAAGTATATTCTATTCTAAGCAACACTTCGTTCAAGAGCTGAGTCAACATGGGTTGGTTAAGCTAGTTAGACACGCAACAATGTAGGGTAGTGGTAGACGTACCCGATCCGATGTTTCGATCAAAGCCCCTTCCAATAAGATTGTCATGCCATGTCACGTATTGCACACCGAATCGTAGTGTATAGAATTGAGTTAGGGTTAAATACGAGTTCAAGATGAGATGCTACTCTGTCAATGTCTAATTGGTGGTCCTGCGACGCTAAGATATTGGACAGACTTACGCCGTGATCAATGCTAACATGTCAGTGGCACGTAAAACTAGCGGCCAATATATTATTATGCTACCTAAATCAAATATTTCTCATTACTCATGAACCACAAGCCTCATGTTCCTCAGAGCCTGCTTGAAATGCCATTCTCCCTCTGAATAAACCAGTCAACCGTCGAAGCTACTCCCTCTTCCAACGACACCCTGGGCTTCCAACCCAAAACCCTCTCAGCAAGACTCGTATCTGGCTTCCGCCTGATAGGATCATCTTCCCTCTTTGGCAATAACTTAACAGCAACAGGATCCTCATATCCTGTTTTCTCTGCCACGACGCGAGATATAATATTCGCAATCTCACTAATCTCCATCTCTAAATCACTGCCGATATTAACCGGTCCATGATAATCACTATTCATCAGAGCCTCTAAACCTCGAACACAATCCTTGGCGTGTTGGAAGCATCGTGTTGCGTGTCCATCGCCGAATATCGTAATTGGTTCTCTCTTTAGGGCTGCCATGATGAAGTTGGGAACTGCGCGGCCGTCTTCGGGCTCCATGAATGGGCCGTAGGCGTTGAAGATTCGTGCGATGCGGACCTCGAGACCGTGTTCGGCTTGGTAAGCGTATCCAAGTGCTTCCATGACTCTCTTGCCTTCGTCGTAGCAGGCGCGTGGGCCGAAGCAGTTGACGTTGCCTCGATAGTCTTCGCGCTGGCAAGCGATTTGGGAGTCGCCATAAACTTCTACAAGGCTATCCGTCAGCATACATATATTTACTCGCGAAGGGAGAGCTCGTACCTGATGTACTAGCAAGTAGCACTCGAGCGTTATGTTTCAGCGCATAGTCCAAGACATTAGATGCGCCATTGAAGCAAGTTTGCAAGATATCAATCGGCTGAGTCTCAAAATGTACGGGACTCGCAGGGCACGCGAGATGATAGATTTGTTCAACGTTGTCTATCCACGGCAACGGATCTCGTACATCAGCTCTATAAAATATTAGCACTGTAATAGGGTGTCGGAGTGAACTAATCGCACTGAATATATCGCACTCGCTTGTCCGATCGGAAATTGTCGAGGGTACTTTGAGATCCCGTCCATAGCGAATCAATCACGACGACTTCGTGGTTCTTCTCGAGAAGCAGCTGGATTAAATTGCAGCCCAGGAACCCAGCGCCCTGCGGATGAGGTTAGCTTCATTTCTGTGTCGCTGCTATAGGCTCGCTTACACCAGTGACGATGATGACCATGCTGAGTATTCGGTAGTTTACACGACAAAAAAGTAGTATATGGAATCGGTCAATTGGTGATAGCGTCTGGCCCGAGAAGGTATAGCAAATCCGAGTCTGAGATTTAGGAAATTATTGAGACGCAGGCATAAGATATTATCTGTTTCCAAGTCAGACGGGCATCATCGATCCGCCAAAGGTGAGACATCAGCTCTCAGCTAGCAAGGCGTAAGCGAAAATCTTGCCCTTATAAGTTGCCAAGATCATTTTAGCTCGGTATCTGCCGAGCTGATCCGGCACTATCTACGTCATGTTCACCCTCTTGTGTTCCTCATTGGGAAATCTCTTGTCGCATCCCCGTGTTGCACAGAGCTTCTGACGTATGCGGCGTTGCTCTCTGGGCCAAAAGTGGTTGGGCTGTGACGAAAGAGAAAATGACAGCTGGCGAGGCCTGGTGGGTATATAAGAAGAAAGAATGGGCTACATGCCAATCAAATGGTGCCTGGGTTTGCATAAATGCTGCAGTGCACGCGCGAGGAACTAAGTGATCTTGCTTCTTATCGTTCTGTGCTTATCAATCCGGGACTTGGACATCACTCCCGTAGCACAAGGTCAGAGGCCATATGACTGACCCGATTGATATTAGAAATCGACTCAATTATGCGATCATCTATCACAAACCCTCTCGGGGAAGAATGTCTAACAACAAAGCTATCATCTATATCTAGTCTCTTATGTCCTCTACAAAGCCAGAGCAAGAACAAGGAGACCAAGAACCCCAGAGACAAACGTCTTGGTACCAGCGCTAGTAGGAGTAGCAACCGGGGCCTTGGTACCGCTCGCACCTCCAGACGAAGCAGAGTTTCCGGAAGCAGCGCACTTGGAAGCACTCTCCTTCAAGACAGTCAGCTCATCACCGACAACACCACCGTCGCCGTGGATAAAGTTCCAAGAGAGCGCAGTCTCGTTATGAACGGTCAACTTGGCAAAGCCAAAGTGAGTCTGGTCAAGGAACATGGTCATGTTGAGACGAGGCTCGCCGTCGAGAACACTGTGGCTCTCGATGTTGCCTGCGGCTCCGTTGACGAGATGGACCATAGACTTGCCGGGGTTGGACTTGTAGGTGTTATTGTTGATGACGGAGTCAGAGTCAAGGGTGCCGTTGTGGCCCATGGGCTGAAGACGTTCATACCAGTGAACGTGGCTGCCTAATATTAGTACACAGATCTTCATCGTTGTCGGTTGAGGCATTGACTCACCCGGCAATATAGACATCGACGTTGTTCTTCAACATCAAATCCTCAAATGCAGCACGGAGGTTAACCTGGTACTTAGCCACCTCAGAGCTATACATAGGACGATGGCCCATGACGATAACCCAAGGGGTCTTGCATCGATCAACGCTCTCAAGATCCTTAGCCAACCACTGATACTGCTCGTAGTTCTTGGTATCGTTGTAAGAACCGTGCACAGCACCAAAAGGACCAGCATCAGTGACATAAGTCTCATTCGCCTTAGGATGCGTCTCGTCACCCTTAAGATCCGCAGCAAACGGCTTCGCAGGACTGTTGGCGTAATCGGTCTCCGTGTTGATGGACACAAAGTGAGCTAGACCGTAGTCAAACGAGTACCAGAAGTTGCCAACACCGCCAGACTTGTCACCAGCCATGTGGAAGCGGTTCTGGAAAGCGGTGAAGTTGCGCTGTGACGGAGGGCAGGAGTAGTAGTTAAGCGTCATGTTAGCCTGGGTAGCATTGCTCTTGTCGTTGTCGAGATACGCAGAGAGGGTGTTGTTGCCACCGTCGAACTCAGCGCAGGTGGTTTCGTGGTTACCGGGGAGAACCATGTAGGGAATCTTGAGGGTGACGCTGTTGAGCCACTGCTGCCAGAGATCCCAGTTCGACTCATACAAAACGCTCATGTCACCGCCACGGGGACTTCCCTGGTTCGCGACCTCGCCCTTGGGGAGAGGAGTCTTGTAATCATCGGGGATAGGACCGCCGCCGGGAAGACTAGTTGAAGTTCCGTTGTAGCAAACAGGCCAGTCATCCTCGCAGGGTAGAATGCCCGAGAACCAATCATCAGCATAGCTCAGATCACCACCGTGCCAGGCAAACGCAGCGCCGTCAGAAACAGCCTTGTTGAGATACTTGTAAGTACCAGCGGCGTTAGTATAGCCCATATCGTTAAGAACAGCGAGGGTGAACTCTGACTTGTCACCTGCTTCACGAGCGGTAGTGAAGCTCAGAACATCAGATTTGGTGGTGCCATTGGCAGCGGGGATCTGATAGTAGTAAGTCTTGCCAGGCTTAAGGTCACTGATCTGAACATCGTGGAAGAACTGATTACACTGCGTAACAGCCTTGACAGCAGAACAAGGAGGAGTGCGATCGTAGCTAGAGAAACGTAAGCCAATGACGATCCGACGCGCAGACAAATCGGGTAAACCCCTGCGCCAAGACGCGGGAACTTACGTAGTAGTCGAACCAGTAGCTTTGTTCTTCAACTCAGACGCGCTCGTTCCCCAATGAACAGCGGGCGCAGCACCGAGGCCGAAGGGCGTCTGGAAGTGAATGTTGATGCCGCCGGGAGTATACGACGTCGAAATAACATTGATGTTGTTGCTGGGATTTGAAGAGCTGGGCTTCACGGCTGGAGGTTCAACGAGACGAGGGAAGCCTTTTCCATTGCCGTTGACGGTGGGATCGACCCAATCGCCGACAGGGACTGCTGGGCCCTTGTAGGGATACTTTTCATCGACGACTGGCTTTGAGAGAGCGGGTGTCGTGAGAAAAGCGGCCAGGAGGCTGGGTGCAGCAAGGGACTTCATGATGAACCGAGGATACCTAGCGAGTCGGTAATGAAAACAGTAAAGAATCTACACCTGTCATATTTACTGAATTTAAAATGCAACCTTGGTATATATAATTCCTATCATCGCGGAACTCCCCATCTGATCGGAACTCAGCTGCCGGATCGTCATCTCAAACCCATCACCTCCTCCAAAACCATTAACAACAATCGGATCTGACGGCTCTCGCCGGTAGCAGTAACAAGTTTAGCTTCACCCTCACCCCTGTGAATCTACGCTTTGATCCAATCAAGGCTGATTGCGATGAAACGTGATAAGCAAGCTAAGATAAGCTTCTAGCAAAAAGACTCGGCCGACGATAACAGATTCAGCTTAAAGCCTCGCATTAATGTATTGAATGCGATAAAGCCAATGTGTTGGAGGGCCGCTTCCACGTGGTAAAGAGCATTGTTGGGTTTTCTCATTTGTTGATGCGATGGACTCCATAAATCACGGCTTTTCGGCAGACGAGATGTTGGTAATTTACGGGTGTTTATTGGTTGGTTGCATAAAGTCCCCCGCATTTGTGTTCAGATCCCTGTTTGGTTCGTTCAAAAGTGCCAACCAGGTTTCCTGCAGGCTGAAAGAAAGCGCTAACATACATCTACTATTAGTCCCGCCTCTGAGGTTAAGACCTTTCTGTCACCACTCTTCAATTATCAACCACGTTCTTTATGACCTGCCAGAACTGTTTCTAGAGAGAAGCTAAGATATGTATCTTATCAGGGTGATATCGCACTATCGAGATGTACGTTCCTTACAAGATTGCGGACAGATCCCTGTTTAGTGCCAAAGGACGATGCTTTCTAAAGATAGTCAGCTACCCTGCACCCAGCACCACAAATAGCCTTGATTGACATATTAATAACGTGCCACCATATCTCAATATGACGTTTAGTACAGAGTATTACTCATTTCGTTGTCAGATAGAAAAGTATTTAGTCTCCGAAAGAAATATCTGTCACGATTTCGTGGTGAAGCGATCAATTTAGATTTAACAATTGGAAATTCAGCCAAGACTGCCTGCATATACAGCCATATAGATGAACATACCCAAATGATCGAGGCTTACAAACAGACGACAGACAGTGCACCATCGAGGCTGCAAACCTTCTGGCGGATGTCGTAACTGCTCTCTCTTCTACAAACCTCCATCCTCAGCCATGCAGACTAATAAGCTAAGCGATTTCAAGACCGGACCGACGGGAACGCACAGATCTGTCCACGGAAAATATTCTTCCGTGCCAATTACAGCTCCCCTCTGAAAGCTTCACTCTATGATCTGCATGCCGCAATCATGGCATCTCCTGCGATCCCCCAGTCCAAAAATGTTATACCCCGCCTCGGACCACCTCCGTCTATCCCTTTCCAGACATTATGCTTAAACAAGATCTTCCGTTGACGTTCCTCAGTCACAAGATCGGCTCCTGATTTGTGGGATGAGGAAACAAGGTTGCGTCTAGGATCTGAAACGTGGATTTGAGTAGATATAAGTAGTCCGTTCTTCACGTTGTGAAACTTGCAAGACTGAATAAATTGTCTTGGCAGGCGATTCAGCCCATAGTGTTTTCCTGTTGAGTCTTGTATCATGCTGTCCAAACTTCTTGTTGCTGCCATGGGTAGCGTCTTGGTTCAGAGCGCTGCAGTGCACGCAGCGTCAAGCATAAGCTATCTCTTCACCTTGTGAGTCAGCAAACGATGCATCTGCGAAATACAATTGACATTGACATATCTTAGTGGCGACTCATACTCACAGACAGGATTCGACCCCAACGGCGCAAAGCCCTCTGCCGCAAACCCACTCGGCAATCCCCCATTCCCCGGATGGACAGCAGCCGGCGGAGCAAACTGGGTTGGCGACATTGTCAAAGAACAAAACAACTCGCTCGTTCTGTCATACAACTTTGCGTATGGAGGCGCTACAGTCGATGCTAATATCGTCAAGCCCTATGCTAGCACTGTCTTAAGCTTTGTCGACCAGGTCAACCAGTTCTCCAACTCTGTTGGCAAGCATCCAGCTGGGACCTCATGGACAGCGCAGAATACTATTGCAGGAGTTTGGATCGGCGTTAATGACGTTGGAAACTCTTTCTATCTGCAAGATTCAGATGCAGTGGTTGAGAAGGCTACTACGAGATACTTTGAGTTGCTGCAGGTTCTATACAAGGCTGGCCTCCGTAAATTCGTCCTGCTCAGCGTTCCACGTAAGTCATTTGAGACTAGTGTTCAGAAGCTTCGTTACTAACGATGTATGTAGCAACCGAGTTGACACCACTGATGATCCAACAAGGCGCCGACTCAAACGCTCTTCTCGTTAAGGCAATTGAGCTCTACAACAGCAAGTTGGCCTTAAAGCTCAGTGCTTTCAAGAAAGCCAACTCTGGTGTCAAGACGCTTCTCGTTGATACATCTGTTTCCTTCAAGAAGGCCATCAACAACCCCAAGGTCTACGGCGCTCCTGATGCGACTTGCTACAACAGCGATGGGAAGTCATGCGTGAGTAACCTCCCTCGAGTGAAGACTCTTTATACTGATATTTTATAGCTATGGTTCAATGACTATCACCCTGGAATTGCTATCAACCAGCTGGTGGCTGAACAGGTAGCGAATGAACTCAAGTCTAATGGCTTCGGATGGTAAATTGACCAAGACTGAGGCTGGTTCCCGTCAGGCAGATGCTGTTCTGAAGTTTATCTGTGAAAATGGGTTATTAGTTTAAGAGATACTAATTAAGTGCATTTTAACTATTCTATCAGAAGAATGAGGTTTAAATCACAAGTCATAAGCTAAAAGCCCATGATTTGAAGCAACTTGACGTGATGTGCGCAAGAACCCTCCCAGCTAATGATTATTTGCCTTCCTCCTGTGCCTACTAATTATTACTTGGGCTCATAGTAATGGAAATTGCAGTCATGCACCGAATACCAATTTCATTCCAGAGGAATCATTTCCATTATTCAATATGAATTACTACTGTAACTTAGAAGATTTATACATTTCTCTCTCTATTGGCGTCCCCCCCAACCGTTTAAAGGGCTCACCAGTCCTGCCTAATGACTCCTCTATTTGGCGCAGATGGTGGCAGTAATGGTAGCAGGCTGAGGGCAGCCGTAGACCTTCTTCATGCTGGGGGTGCTGTAGCAAGAAGCATCACCAGCAGCGCAGTCGAACTGCTTGCATCCCTTACCGGTGGTGAGGATGTTGTGCTTGTTGGCGAAGGGGTTGCCCCATTGACTAGACATGTCAGTATAATTTCATGAAGCGGTGAACAGGTACTTGAACTTACGTGCTGAACTCGTAGTAAACGTAGTTAGGCTTGGAGGTGGAGGAGTAGCCGAAGAAGAGAGGGTTGGAAAGAGTCTTGGTAGTGGCAATCTTGACGGTCTTGAGGGTTTTGTTAGCTTCATATGTCCAGCTTGGAAACAATAAAGAAGGGGTACGAACAGAGCCAGTAGAGCGAAGGTTCTCAGAGAAGGTCTTTCCGGGTTTGAGGGCCACAAGAGGTCCAGGAGCACCACCGTTGTAAGGCCAAGACTGAACATAGATGGTGCCAGAGCAGTCGTTCTTGACAACAGCCTGGTTAGCGGCGGCAGCGCTGCCGACAATGGCGGTAAGGGCAGTGAGGATGCTGAACTTCATTTTGAAGATTGAGAAGATATCTTTTGAGATGTGAGAGTCTTGTAGATGAGAGAAAGTGATGTAGAATGATGATTGAGAATAAGCTGAATAACAGCCATTATTTATACAAAATGGGTAAACGTTGGACATTGCGGTGAAAACCAACAAAGTTGAATACGAGCCGGCATAGACTTGTGGCGTTCTACTAAAGGCTATACGGGCGATTATCTGTTCGTATCGAATCATCTTGTGACGAGAATAGACCAGAGCTAGATCGCGTAGCTATCCCGAAAGCGTCGACCTGAGCTAACCGTGCCGAGGGCCCGAGGCTTCCGCCCTAACACTAACTTCCCCAATCCGGAGAGCTACAGCTGAAATGCTAGATTTTGGGGTAAGCTTTGAGAGTCTAGAACATACGGTGAAGAGCTAAAAATAAATCAAAGTGTATTAAGATTACATTAAAGGGCTAGGTAATAGTATGCATGTCTCATAAAGAAGCGGCAGAATGGCATTTTCTGTATGTATCTCATTCTCTTAGAGTTGCATCGCTGTCACTTGGTCTGCCGTGGCTCCATTCATCGTCTGCACGTCTCTCTACCACGATCTCTTGTGTAACAACAGTCGTGGCTTTGATACCTCGACTCGGCGAGCTTGGCTCCAACGGACTCTGCGATGCTGCCTCATCGCCACGATTCTGTCCCTGCTCAGCTTTAATACTGACACTAACACCAGGGTATGTTCGGTAGTGTTTCTGAGTGATTGATGGAAGAGGTACTTCATCTTTTCGCAACGTAGATGTATCTTCCATGGAGTCATGACTAATGTCTTGAGTTCGTCTTCGAGACATGCTACGCAGATTCTGACTACTGCGTGTTCGAGTATAGCCGTACCTCGAAGCAGGGTTGCTTCGGCCGAATGAAGACGCAAAGAGCTTGGGCATGAGCTTGGAGAATAGTGGTCGGAGAGTAGGGAGGCATGAGGAAATAATGGCGAGGGTGACTTCTAGGAATGACCATATCGCGGCGTCGACATTATCCCAATTGGGATCTTTTGTTGAAGCGGCTGTCTTTAGTGTTCGGATGCGAATAATGGAGATGATGCAAGTCCTGGTCGTGTTAGTAACGCGCGATACAAGTGATTGAGCTACTTACAGGAAACCGATACTGAAGATGGCCAACAGCATAATCTTTTGTTTCTTCGGAAGGTTCAAGCTTCCAATGACTGGCAATGGCATGCAGAATACTGTGATGTCTGTGACAAGGTTGAAGCCGGCCATGACGTACCAGACCGTGAGAGGGTCGGTGCAATGTCCGTCGAGAGCCGAGTTCCAGAACTTTGCGACAGGTACACAGATGAGAGTATTGAGGAAAGCGATTGTGATAGTCCATGCGACCATGATGACTAGTCCGTAGAACGTCAAGGCCTGTAAGATGGGTATGGCAAAGACTCGTCGGTATTGAAGAAGGATGCCGATTTTGACGAGACACATGGCGACATTGTATACGATGACGGAAGCATAGAACGCCTAGTAAATATTAGCATAACTCAATACCACGGAAGAGAAAAAAACCGACCTTCATGTAAGCAACGTAATTCTCCTTCGACTGCTCCCAAGTATGATGTCCAAGACCATAATTATTCTCTACATCCGCGTCAGCACTCATTCACCCTTCCAACCATTAATCAAAGCTTACCTAGACCAATGGCCACCGCTGCTGCAATTGTAAGGACCTGGGCAGCAGCCATAACTCTATCATCCCAGCCGAGAGAATGGAGAACTTTGTATCGCACATAGAGTCGCAATGCGACGGTGATCGTAGAAAGAATGGAGAAAGTGATGAGAATAGCTTGAATCTCGACCGAGCGAGATGAACTATCCGCCGGCATCGAGCGGGTATCCATAGTTAGATGACTCTCGTCAGCCCAACGGAGATACATTGTGCACTCACGATCAAGACAAATTTTAGCATATGTTTAGAGTCATCAGAAACACATTTCTCTCGCGCGGGGGGACCCCAAGGTCTAGTTAAGTATATCACCTCACGAGAGGGGCTCACAGTTCAGCTCTCACAGATTCCGTCTCACTACTGTAAGAGATCGACGAGCTTGAGCTTATAATGCATATCCAATCATCAATATGTCTCGGCGCAACGTCCCCTGTACAGTGGTGATCTAATCGTGCATCTCTTTCCTCAAGCTGTAATCTCTCGGGCCTGATCTGCGGAGGCAATGATACCCTGGACCTGAAGATTACCGCTGATCGTTGTTTTACTGCGCGGTGGTGCACCAACCAGATCGAGGCGTCAACTGCCGCAGCGTGTTGCGGGCGACGTGAGTGTCGGTGCGGCTTGGATTTGCTAACTGCCGATCACAATATGCCATGTGGTTGGAGTGGGGGAGGGCAGGGGTTTGGTGTTGACACTGACAGGCTTACCGAATGTTCCGAGGTTAAAGAGGAGGGGTTTGTAAGGAATTTGTAACGATGAAGACCTTTTTGTTTCGTCGATCAATTGTTAAAATCTCCACTGGTGATATTGCTCTGCTTAGCCTACTCTGTACGGGCCCAGCAGGTTGGAAAAGACTGATTGCCAAGCCTTATCCTTGTTGAAATATTGAAATGACCTGCATATCAGATCTCATTTTTGCTTTTTCTTTTGGGCTCACCGCTTCGACTGATTCCTGCCTGACAATCGAGCGACATCCAAATGTCGTGATTATCCGTAATTCCGCGGCGTGTCTTTGGTTTCGAGTTAGATCTGTAACATGGCCGGTGACGAACGAAGATCCCGCTGCAGAATGTGAGCATATGATCTCAGCCTGACGGGGGACCCTGGTCGATTAATGGTTTGGGCCCGTCAATATGGCACTGAGATGTCAGTCCGCCTCGACGCTATCGTGACATTTGGCATTGACGTAGTAAATAGTCCAATTAGCGTAGGAAGCGATTACTCACGCTATGAGGTATTTGTTCATGACGGCGCGTTGGCCCTCTCGTGACTCGGTTTGAGCTCAGACATACCCTGATAGAGAGTCATGGCAACTCAAATCATCTGAGGGTACCCCACTAAAACATTTCTTGGTTTCATGGACTCAAAACATTACATGAAACATTTGGTGATGTTTGGGGTGTAATACACTACCCTATATGTCGTATAATATACGTTCGCTTGCACGATATTTTCTGCAGAGGATTTACCGGGGCCTCTACGCGACGTTGTATTACTTCCAAACTACTCCATAAATTTAACTAAGTACAGGCGATCTCACATATGCCTGCTCACCGCGTGAATTGCCAATGCGACTCTATATTGCTCCATTTTACAATTAAAAGGCTCCAGTTGAACGTTACATGGTAGTTTTCCCTCGACTGTCGATCCTATGAGGTCACCTTTGGTCTCCTTAAGTCCCCCAAGAAACAGTTTCCGAGCAACACCGTTAAGCGATTGAACCTCCCTCGTCATGATGAAACAGTCTCGAACTGGCAACGTTTGGAGTCTTGGCGAAATGCAGCTCTTTGTGAATAGAGTTGGTCGATCAGCGAGTCGCTTGACACGATGCAGATCAGCGACATTTTCGTCGGCGCCACTTACATTGGACATCGACAAAAGCACCATTGTCTATAACGCTGCTGCCGTAGATCCGTTGAGTTCTTGGGCGTGAGATGACGCATTCGATGGTCATGTAATAACGCCTCTACTTATGATGCATGTCTCGGACCAACGGCTTTTGCTTCGGGGACTGGTAGCTGGCATGAGGTATGCAGAGTGAGGTTCTCTGATCTTTGGAGGAATTCTTCGGATATATGGTGGCTGATTGTAGGATTATGATCAGATGGAAGCCCAAGATAATTGGCATTGAGTGCAAGCCAAAGCTCTGGGCGACACTGTCAAGCCACGAGTTTACCCACCCCAATAGCTGGCTTTGACGTTGGATCTGCATAAGCACAATTGGATATTTACTAATCATGCGTTCAAATGCTGGAACAGGTCCTGGACCTAATAGCTTCCTCAGAAACTTACTGCTTCAGTATAGCAGGTCTATAATAGACACCGTTAAACCCTCGATTCATAGCCATGTCGGTCTAGACATTGTCCAACTTGCTCAATCTGGCAATCCCTTCGCCAAGACATACGCCAAATCACCTCATCATCACTCCCAACAATCCGTTTTCTCAATGATGCCTTTGCCACGTGCCGACCTCAACCTTCATTTCCCAGCCTCACCAACTAAGCGAGCATATCTGCGTAAGCGTCACGACGTCTTTACTCTCATACCAAATCGCTACACCCAACTGACTTTGCATAACATACCAGCACTGTCCATCACCAACAACAGGCTCGACTCTTGTAGTCTCACTACCCAGTTATTTTAGCTTTGTGGTTGCTCAGACTCCCGTCTAGCCCTTGCATACGGAATGCGCCACGTCCCGTCCGCTAAGAGATTCCGGATAGCGTATGAAAACGGAAAGGCAAACTTTATTCTCTTGCTCGCGAAAGAGCGAGGATGGTATTTAGAGAGGGTGTCATCACATTCGTGGACGGATGCATTTGCTGGTTTTTTTCTTCCATGGTTTACATATAGCGTTGCTCGTACGTGCGTACAGTATTAAGCAGCCCTTTCTACGACGACGCTCTCATACAAGATTGAAGGCATAATAACACCGCAGCCATGGCGATAGGACCGTCAACCCTTCTGGTCAGCATTATTGTTTCCGTCTTGTGAGTTAGCTAATAGGGTGCAGATCACAGAATGGACGCTTATAGCCTTGTCGACACTCGTCATCATCGCGCGAATTTACCTCCGACTCGTCATCCAAAAACGAAGGCTCATCGATAGCGACATATGGATGATTCTAGCATGGGCAGCTGGTATCACCGTGGCGTCGTTCTGCGTCACGTATGTTCACATGGGGGTGATGGAGCCATGGGTCGACGGCACTTTGAACGACTATGCTGGAACTCGCGAGGATAAAGAATTCGTTCTCAAGGTACGACATGCTTATATGGTGTATGAGGTGGACTAACATTTGGTAGTTACTTTGGATCTGTGCTCTGCCTTTCTTCACGGCGTTTTATCTCTGCAAGGCTGCTCTGCTTGCTGTTTACCGCCAGGTCATTCCTGTTCATATGCACAAGAGGAGAATGTTTCTGTGGGCCACTGTTCTTTACGTCGCTCTATCTTATATCGTCACAATGGTTCTTCCATTTTGTGTCTGTATCCCGGTCACTCGATTCTGGTAAGTCATCGTTACCGGTAAAATATTCCAACTTGCTAATAGTTATAGGTCGTTGGAACCTGGCAACAAATGTCCTCACAATGCTGCAATGATGTTCTTGAAGACTTCTTGGGCTCTGCATTTTGCTGGCGATGTGTTCAGTAAGCGCTTCCCTTTGAAGATGGCATAACCTAAGCTAACAGACTCAGTCTTCATTCTTCCCTGGCTTATCGTACCTGATCTCATGATCAAAGGATGGCTGCGAGTTGGTGTTTACTTGACCTTCCTTCTCGGCATCATCAACATGGTCATCAGCATCGTCCGCTTCCATGAACTATTCATACTCGGAGCCAACCGCAAAGTCTCCATCGTCGAAGCCCGTAAGTCCCTCACTCAAACCCACCCAAAAGCATACTAAGAAACCCATAGACTTCTGGAATACCCTGGATCTGTATCTCGGTCTGGTCATCGCCTGTCTCCCCTCATTACGGCCATACTTCGACCTCGCTGCCAACTCACGCGCATTCAACAGCATTCGAGGAAAGGGAACAAGCCAAAGCAGTCGCTACACCACTGATTCCATCCAGAAACCTGAGGCAGCGAGACTTGCGCAGGATCAATCGGGTATTTCGCCTAGTCGGCCTATCAGACGCTTATCACAATCATCTCAAGACTTTGACCTAGAGTCTTGTCCTGACTCGTCAGATTCACACGAGGATGCAAAGAATAAGGCTTTTGAGATTGAATTGGCTCGGGTTCGTACTCGTGTGAAGGAGTCATCTGATGAGTAAAATATACACACGGGGAAGAGTATATCAGCGCGACTTGCAAGGACACTATCTATCACAAGTATGGAACGAGGACTAATACGTTCATTCGTTTTGGGATGGTCTGCTACAACCCATACTGTAAAGAAATTGATAACAATCACTGTTTTCAACTTCACAAAGTGCTAAAGTATTACATATTACATATTACACATTCACAACTGGCACTAATACACTTCCGGCCATGAAGCCACTCAAGTTTACTTCCAAAGGCAGAATTCTTCAAAGAACAGTCCATTGTATTGGTATGCTGTGGCGCAATCTATGCTATTGTAGATCAAGTACCAAACCGAGGCTAGACTCGGGCCCAATCTAGACCTGAGAGATCCAACTGTCCTTATTTCCCCCCACCACGGAGAACTTTGCCGAGTCGAGAGCTTGCAAGAGGAATGAAGATTACCGGTAGGTGCTGGCTGAATTGGAAGCAATTTAATTGTGTGTCTGGTCTCTGGGTACCTTACGTCTTAGTCCCGAGATCCTTTCACTCTTTATGTCGGTATGATGGATCCATTACGCCTAGGATTTCTGTCCTTCAACATGGGATGGTTGGGATATTTCTCCCTAAGCTTCGCCTTAAGCACGGGATTTTTCTCCAAAAGCATCCGAAGATATCTTTCTCGTGCCCGTTGCCGTCGAAGTTTTCTCAAATAGGTGAACACGGCCTCGTAATCTGGAATCGGATGTCCAGTCGGCCTCCGGGGTGTAAGGGACTCCTCACCCTGATCAGAATGCTTATCCTTGGAGCTTTTCAAGTCCTTCTGACTTTCTACCTTTGGTTCCTTGTTGATCTCCTTGTCTTTTTCTTGATGGGGCGTCTTGTAGGTCTTCACAGACTCCTTGGTCTTCTCATTCGTCTCCTCAGTTTCGATGGATAGCTTGGCCTTGTCAAGGTTCTCGGTTTTCCCAGGCGCAATGTAAAGCTTATCCTGGTTTTTCTCTTTGTGGCCAATTTTAGAAATGGTTAGCTTCGATTTCAGGCTGTCAAAATGGCTGGAAACAGGTTCTTTCGCTGTGAAGTTGTTAATCTCGATGGCCACCGCGTTGTCAAACAAACTAGAGCGCGTAGGCATGGGGCGTTCCGAGGCCGTGTTTGTTTTCGTCTCTGGTTTCTTTTTGCTGTCCTTATTCTCCGTTTGAAGCTTTGCTTTAGAATCTTGCTTCTTGTTAGGGTCGTTTTTGAGCTTTTCTTGCTCCTCCCTTCTCCTGCCCTCGGCGAAGACATTATCATAAGGCTTTTTGAGTCTGGTCATGCTGTCCTCGCCGACCATAGGATGCGGTGTCTTGTTGACCCTGTTTTCCCGCTGAGGTTTGACGTATTTATGGTCCGTAGGCTTAATCTGCTGCTTTTCCCCGAACTTTTCGTATGACTCGCTGTTCTTGATCTTGTCGATAGAATTATCCTTCCACTGTTTTGTGGTTTCAGACTTCTTATTATCGTAGGCAGACGTGCGGTTTGAACGATATGGCTTAAATAAATCAGGCTGCACTTTCGATTTGTTCTTATACTTTATGTTTTCGTCCTCATGTTTCTTGTGTTCGTGTCTCTCCAAATCCATGTGTTTGTGGGTTGCGCCCATGTTCTCGTCATGTTTTGAAGAAAACTCCGCTGGTTGTTCGGTCTTGGTCGATTCTTCTTGTACATTCTCGTCAGGCTTGTCCTTTGATACGTCCTTGCCATCAGTCGTCGCCGTGAGTTTATGATAGACGATGGTGGTGGAGTCCTTGCTGCCGTGCTGGGCGTGAGTTTGAAGGTGGTCGTGCTTTTCACTTTTGGGCTTCCACTTGAGGTCTGGTGATCCCTTAACGTTGACGCTGCCCAACTCTGCTGAGTCGTCCTTGTTGACAGGATGAGCAATGACATGAGTAAGGCCCACCAGGAAGATAAGGAGGAGTCGGGGGAGGCATGGAGGTGCCATCTTGAAGGATGATGGGGAGAGAGTATGGGGGTGTGTAAGGACAGAGTGCCCCCTTTGAGACGGGAGCAGGATGTGGTGTCTGTTGAGGAGTGTCTGAATGGGGGAGGAAGCGCTGAATTTATAGACAAATGGTCTTGGCAGGAAGATACGTATTACTACATATTACAACTTGGCTTATGGGCTGCTCAATTACGGCGTCTACTCAAACTTTTGAGGTATTTTGTTTGCAGTGCTGAGGCTGACACGCAAAACCTTAACTCCGCAATCAACATGTCGTGAGTGTTGACATCACCATTCAAGGAATACTTCTCAGTGGATTATTTTCATCGTGCAATTTAGAAACCTTGATTGAAACATCACCGATGTATTCCAAGGAACTATCTCTTAGTCGATGTGTCTTCGATCGTTGACTCAATAGATAGTCCCAAAACTGCATAACAGACCACGAGGCTGAGGTCAGATCTGATCAAGTGTTATTCCTCGTACTTTGAACCGAATTTGAACTCAAGATATAATCATAGATAAGTCTGTTGATATCCTGAGGTGCTTTCGTTCAACATGTTGCCAACCCTGCCCCCCCTAGGATACGTCTCTCATTGTTAGCAGAGGCCTTTCCTTGACGCGTTTTCCTGGCTCTCAAAATGTCTCATTTCCCTCACTGGTCTCTGTCTCGGTTACACTTTTGCCGAAAAATATGCCAATAGCCACCGGCCACTTTAAGGATCCCGACACAAAACTCGCCGACCTATCGGAGACTTCGCATAAATAAAACAATCCGCAAAGTCTCCTCACAAACACATATAAAAAGTCCATTCTGAGCCAACCTTATAGCCACAACTCATTCAGTCATCCAAAACATCGATCAATTGCCCTCACAATGTCAACCCCTCTTGAACTCTTCTCCCTCTCATGGGGCATGTATCCCCGCCGCGTCCTCATCTATCTCGCCGAGAAAAACCTACTCAGATCACCACTCATTAAAGTTACAGAAGTAACCGTTTCTCCCAATAGCAATAGCCTGACCGCGCCCGGAAAGCCCAAGGGCACAGCGCCAATCTTACGACTTCCAGATGGAGTGTTCATCAAGCAGTCAATCGCCATTTTGGAGTACTTTGAAGACATTTGCGATAATCCTCAGCTGCCATGGCAAGTTGAACTTGCTAAGGATGCTGGTGGCAGTATGCTTGGAAGGACGGCGGAGGAGAAAGCACGCGTCAGGGAGGTTTTGGGTCTTGCGGATGAAGTCACCAGCCAGTTTGGCTTTGCGTGCCACAAGGGGACAGCGCTGTTCAAAATGCTTGAGGAGACGCACCCGTTCACAGCGAAACTTGCTCTTGAGTACTGCACCAAGAATCTCAAATTGCTGGAGAAATACTATGAGGGGGATACTCGCTTTGATGGAGATGGACAGGTCACTATTGCTGATTGTGTCTTGTACTCGACTCTGCACTTTGCCAAAGACCTCTACTCCCTCGATCTTCTGGCAGACCCTGAGTTGGTTAGTCTTCGGGCATTTTACTCTTGGTTCAGTGGAAGAGAAAGTGTCCAGGTTCCGGAAAACCATTTCCCTGCTCAGATCAAGGAATTGGCGAGTCAATGGCTTCCTGTGGAGTAACTTTGAGTGGCAACAAGAATAAACTCTTTACACGTTCACAGAATCAACGACTCCAGATACAGATATAGAATTGTTTTATGTATAATGATATAGAATTATGGATAAATACTCTCATTAGCTCTGCCAGATCCACTCCACCACGATCATCATCTCGGGCCGTTGATAGCGCCGCGTCTCGGCTGCATTGTTTCACGGCTGTTCCCCCTCCCGAAATATTGCGGGGGTGGCGCATCAACTTCTCGGATGTTTTGCCTATCAAGTTCGTGGTTGATGTCATGTGAAACAATCTCGTCATTGATAAATTGAGACATTTCTCAATACTCAAACTCACACAAATACCAAACACTCACCATTCAAAATGAGCTCGACGAATGGAAACGAGGCAATCAAGCCTCTTATGCTAATTGATGGCCAAGTAAAAGCCAGATCCCTGCTCGTTGATTAAACTGAACTGACTGTATCAGTTGATCGGCGCCTCTGATGGCAACACTTTTCCCCTCTTTAACCCAGCGACGGGCGATAAAGTCGCAGATGGTAAAACACACGATCCCCGCTCAAAGTCTCAGCTAAAAGTCTACCGCTCAAGTCCCCGAAGCCACAAAAGACGATGTCAACAACGCCGTCGCAGCTGCACAGCGCGCCTTTCCTGTATGGTCTGCATTAGATCCCGCCATACGTGGCGGCTACATGAAGAAACTCGCGGGTCTGATCCGACAACATAACGACGAACTGGCTTTACTCGAGGCAAAGTCAATGGGTCGTCCACTACCTGAGTTCTTTGAAGGGTACGCCGCTGCTGCGAGTTATGAGTACTACGCTGAGGCTTGGCCTCATATCCAAGGCCAGGCGAGTCTCAACACGCCGGGCTATGTCACCATGACCCTACGTCAGCCATTTGGCGTTGTCGGTGCTATTATTCCCTGGAACGCCGCTCTCCTCTTCTTCGCGGGGAAGACGGCGCCCGCACTTATCACTGGAAATACAGTCGTGCTCAAGTCAAGCGAGAAAGCACCGCTCGGCGCAGCCAAGTTCGCCGAGCTAATCCACAAGGCGGGCTTTCCACCTGGTGTCTTCAACGTCATATCCGGCCACGGCAACCCCTCAGGAGCAGCCCTCTCATCACACATGGACGTACGCGCAATCTCCTTCACTGGCTCGGGACGAACAGGACGGGCGATTCAGGAAGCAGCTGCCAAGTCCAACCTGAAGAAAGTCATCCTCGAACTCGGTGGCAAATCGCCTGTTATTATTTTCGATGATGCGGACATTGAACAGGCTGCTAAGGACACTATGCACAGTATTCAGTGGAACAGTGGACAGGTCTGCATGGCGAATTCTCGCGTTTACGTGCAGGACAACATTGCCGAGGCCTTCATTGAAGCTAGTAAGAAGGCACTTGCAGCTGCGAAGCCAGGTGATCCGAGGCAAAAGGGCGTTGATCACGGCCCGCAAGCGGACAAGACTCAGTACGAGACAGTTCTGTCTTATATAGATGAGGGTAAAAAGTCAGGAAAGCTAGTTCAAGGTGGGAAGGGGAGTTATGACAAGACGGGAGGCTTCTTCATTGAGCCGACCATCTTTTTGGACACGGCTGAAAATGCGAAGATAATGAAGGAAGAGATCTTCGGGCCTGTCGTGAACATCAACGTCATAAAAACAGAGGAAGAGGCTATCCAGAAGGCGAATGATACAGAGTATGGTCTGTATGCTGCAGTTTACACCAAGAACATTGATCGGGCTATGAGGGTCACACAGCAGCTCAACTCGGGCTATGTTGGCATCAACTGCACTAGTCCTACGACTGCGCGAGATCTTCCATTTGGGGGTTACAAGTCTTCGGGGCAGGGTAGAGAGGGCTGGCTTTATAGTATGGATAACTTCTTGGAGGTCAAGAGTGTGATGATGAAGGTGGACACGGGTAGTCCCAAAGTGTAACTAGAGCCCTGGAGGTTTTCTGTTCAATATACTCATATCTGGCCATAATAGGGTTTTCTGCCAACTATCATATCCGCGAACGACCAATATTTCTCGCAGCTCAGACTCCTAGTCCATCCAAAAGGCATCCAAATCGGAAGAAACTCAACGTCCACATTGATGAAGCTCTTCCAGAGATTAATCTCCCTCAACCACGGCTTCGTCTGCATCGCAAACGTGACAGCCGTACAGTACCTCAACAAATCATCCTCATCAACCCCCATCACCAATATCAAATCCGCCCTATGCACAACCCTATCCCCAAACTTATCCTTCAGCACATCCAGCCTCTTCCCCGTAGTTTGATGCGCACTAAACTCTGTGCCAAAGGATAAACTTCCACTCCCACGACCGGCCGCGACTGTCGAGGAAGCTTGTGTTTCTGCGGTTGAAGATGCCCACCATGAAGGGGTAGTAGTGCGGTGCAGACCAGAGACGGAGTAGGGCGAAATGTGCGGTGGGGTGCTTTTGGGAGAATGAGCGTGCGGTGGGGATTACTTGGGGCCATTTGGAGGGGTCGACGAAGGTTGGGGGGTAGGTCATGGGGAAGTTACCGTATTGGTCTTGGTAGTTGATGAAGAGGTCGAGTTTGGTTGGGCGGTGGTGTTCTGTGTTGGCTGTTGCGATGCCGAGAACGACTTCGGGATGGTTTTGCATGTATGCTGGGGCTATGACACCAGCTTGGTACACTGTGACTTGTTAGTCAAGTCTCGTAGCAGCGGGGGATGACGAACGATGAGCGATAATAGGACGGACCGTGAGACTCCATTCCACAGGGTACACGTCCCCAAAGTATCTCTCCGTCTTATAAAACTCCTTCCACTCCTTCCAGAACTCCTTATCACGAAACTTATAGCTCGTTCTCGTCCTTCGATCAGGCCGCACTTTACTTCGCTCCCTAGGGTCAAAAACTCCCGACTTTCGAAACTCATCGCACTGGCTTGAGTTGACAAACATGGTTGGTAACTTTGCAACATCCGAGTTAGGGAAGAACATGGCGATCATGGCGAATGCTTGCACAATGTCCTGCACGATGAAGCTATGCGGCCAGGGATACTGAGGATCTTGAACGTAGTCGTCGTAGTCGCCGCGGAGCTCAAGCCACTCGAGAATCTCAGCTATGAAAAATATCCAATCTATTGAGCCCACGTGAGGTGTCTTGAGCATGGCGCGGAGTGTTTCTTGGAGCAGTTTGTATTTGGTGTTATACTCTGGCTCGAGGTCTCCAGCGTGGAAAGACTCCTTGAAGCCTGCGCTTGTTAGCATTGATCATGTTGGCCAAGTGAAGTACTTACTAAAAGCCCTGTCTCGCTCCATCATCTCCATGGGATCAGACTCCTCAAGCCGTCGATCATATGACAGTGTCTTGTACGCGTTCAGCAACCCCGTCCGCTGTAGAAGTGCCTTTTGCGATTTCTTCAACTTATCACTCCTCGCCTGCAAAAGAGCCGTCTCCCAAACCTTGGGCGGACCCCAAATATTATCCTGATCATCATGCTTCACCATTCGCATCGCCTTCATCGGATCCTTGCCCTTATTAATAGCTTCCAGCCCCTTGACGAAATGTCTAGCGGTACTGGGCAAAATCCCATCTTCGGTACTCGCAACACCATTCCTAATCTGGCAGAACGCAGCACTCTTCTTATCAGAGGTGAGTTCATCCGGGAAGAGGATCGCGTCTTCGACCTCGTTGGCTTTGTTGTAAAACATGTATGGTGATTTAGCTATTTCGGTGTCTTTGCGCATGGTGACCTTTTTGTTGCTCACGTCGAAGAGCCGGAATTCTGATCTTTCGTCGGCGATGGTGTCCCAGAGGCTTTTGAGGTTCTCGCCGGGCTTGATCTGGCGGGTGCGCATGGTCTTTTCGTTACGGTAGAGGCTGCGGAGGAGGGATTTCATGTGAATGTACATGTCGCGAGGTGTTCTCATACGCCAGGCGTTGCGGAGTTGCTATCACTGGTCAGTTGACTTATGAAGATTTTACAGGGGACTTACCATGCTGACAATGTTGCACAAGTCCATGTGTGGTTCGCCTGGCACAAGTCCCAGATATACACATTATAGTCATCCGGGAAACCAAACATATACTTTCAAAGATTACCAGTTAGCTTCATGAGATCCGGCCCAAGCTCTGGAATATTAAACCAATCTTTCTTCGAAGCCCTTTCAAATCTTTGTTTATTCCGATACGCCTAGAGCTGCCCGTGAGGAGTCGCATTGATAACACGACCAGTCTTACCATTTCGTACCATATTAAGTTCTGCCCTCTGTATAGGTGGGACAGGGTGGCTCTTAATAGGTAAACTAGTCTACACTACAATTATTTATTTAGATTATATAGGGTATAGTAATTCTAAACAATATTTAAGTATTATAACTCTAATAAAAGGAGATTTAATATGTGTTAGGGTTAAATTAACATAATGAAGTTCTACTAACAGTTAATAAGTCTAATTAGTTGCTCATAATCAGAACATTCAGCTTGGCAGACACCTCGAACCTATCAGCTCCCTCCGAGCACGCTGTTGCTAGGTCTCAACTGGGAGCTGCTGTTGGTATGCCTTAATTTTCAGGAGTTTATGGAGGGGTAATGTAATTGAACCACCATCAAAAAAGCTCAAAAAGTCTGAAAGGTGTAACTTCATTCAATTATCTCGCCTACCCTTCCAGGCTCTGTCTCCACACTACTTCAAAACCATCGCTACCTCGCCCTGCATGGAAACCAGTATTAGATACCAGGAAAACCTTTGCCCCATTTGTCAGGGCATCCTTCTTGTCAGAACTTCTGATGCGTCCAAAGGCTGGGTGAAAGCCACGGGGCAAACCCTTCAAATATTTAGGGAAGCTGTGGAGAATAAGTGTATTATCTGCTCAGTTGTATGGTATCTGAGCCGTCAGTATCGCCACCTTTGGTCCGAATCGCCTGAACTATGGGAGCCTATGAACTTTTGGGCTCATATAGACTCATGTGAACAAAATATTATTAAGCTTCATGTTCTGTACAATAACCCTCTTAAGAATCAGACTACTGAGGCCAAATTTCGTCTCATTTCCACAAACGGTATGTTCCAACTTCAAGCGATCTGAAAACATTTCTGATACCTTCATATTCAGATTTTGAACATCGTCTGAATCTTGACTTCCCCGCCCTCGAAGCCACTGTGGCGCAAACTTCTCAGTTAATGACCGGACTACAATGGCTCAATAATTGCCGCTCTTCCCATCTCCGTTGTTGCGAGTCACGCCCTTCAGCTGCGAGCTGGCTACCGACGCGGCTGCTTGATGTTGGAAACGAAGGATGTACAAGCTGGAGACTCTGCATCACATCAGAAGACGCGATCTTACCACCATCAGCTCCGTACATGACGCTTAGTTACCGTTGGGGCCCAGACCCTCATCTACGTCTCTTATCATCAAACATCGCAAGCTTTCGGCAAGGTCAACCTATTATGAACCTTCCTGTTCTGTTTAAGGATGTCATTAAGGTCTCTCACCATTTTTCTATCCGGTATCTCTGGATTGATTCCTTATGCATCATCCAAGACTCGGAAGAAGATTGGGAAAAGGAATCCTTGACAATGCAATATGTTTATTCCAACTCTACATGCAACCTCGCCGCATCGGCATCTGAAAGTCCAGAAAGTAGGCTTACCTATAAAAGAAACTTGGACTTCATCCGCCCTGGTAAGGTTCAAAGCTCACTATTTTCTGATAGGCTCCGGAGTTTCTATATTTATGATAAAACGTACTGGAACCGGCAGATCTTCGCTGGCCCCCTACATAATCGAGGCTGGGTCTTTCAAGAGTGGTTCCTTTCACCGCGTGTCCTGTACTTCGGCAAAAATCAACTCCTCTGGGAGTGTCGGACTAATCATCGATGCGAGGTATTTCCCGAAGGCATACCGTCACATTACTCCGACAAGGCAATGGATTCATTCATGGAGCACCGACTGGGCATGAATCCAGTGCAGGCGAAGAGAATGACTTTGGGGACATTCAATCTTTGGAGTGATCTTGTCCAACAATACTCTCGATGCAATCTTACCAGACATTCCGATAAACTTCACGCCATAGCAGGCATTGCTAAGCTGTTTGAGGAATTCACTGGCGACGAATATGTAGCAGGACTATGGAAGTCATACTTCACCGCCATGTTGGACTGGAGAGTATTCGAACCCAAGTCGTGTGACTCTACGGGTTATCGTGCCCCTTCATGGTCTTGGGCATCTGTGGATAGTCCTGTTCGGACTTTTGGTCTCTCAGCCAAGGCAGAGTTTCTCGTGGAACTGGCCAAATTGGTCATCGAAACTCGGACACCTGATAAAATGTCCGCCATTGTTGGCGCCTCTGCCGTGCTCAAAGCTCGGGTCATACCGGTTGTTTGCCAGTCAATCCGTATGCCGTTTGCTACTTTCCAGGCTCCTGCTGGCAAGTTCAAAGTACAAATTTACCCAGACACTATCGATCTGAAATTGACGGACGGCGACAAAATTTCATACATGCCCTTGAAACTTGATTATCAATATGGGGAGAGTGGCGAAAGAATCCCCTACGTGGTTTGCTTAATGCTAGAGGAAAATGCCCAATCACTTGCGCTCCAAAGTCAATATCGTCGACTAGGATGCTTCGTCCTTAGGCAGGAGTATGGTGATGAGATGACAGCGCTCTGCTTCGGATCTGAAACCAGGAAGGTTGAGATTATTTAACTACCTCACTATTTTAGCTCCAAATTCAAGCGAAAGGGGACCTTTACACATCTTGATTAGGCTATTCCCTTTGTTTTTGTCTTTTACTCGAAAGAGGGTACGTAGCGAGGTTTCCACTGCACCACTCTCGCTGACGAAGTGGGCGCTTAATCACCTGAGTGATAGTCACTTCTAGCCCTACACGATTCTCACAGTTTTGCAGCGACACGTTCGCATACCCTGGACAAGATCTGGTAAAAGACTTATCCGACTTGTGACCTGCAATGCAAACATTGGACTTGTTGAAAAGAATTAAATGTTAAATGTCATTTGAATAATCATTTTTACTCTAAAAGTATGTTTCTTTCTACCTTGGTGCTCATGTGGTTTCTAATGTATGCGTCGGAAGCAAACTGTGACCTTTCGGACGTGAATAAGCCTCTTTCGAGCTCAACCACATATATCAGATGTAAAATAAGCACAAATATATATACCCAGACACCCCGGAGACTCCGTGTTCATACAGTTACTGGGTCCCACGCCCTTTTCTTACCATTACGATCATACAGGTTAATACACACCCGGCAAGATTCTGTACCTAACCTTGCTTTTGTACTCATCCCAATCCTTGCCATACTTCTCAATGCATGCAGCATCGTCTCTTCTCTCCCGATGAATAAGCAGGAACCCAAACCAAGCTGAGTAAAAGTACGTAAACAGCATACCCCAAGGCGCAGCGCCATCCGGAGTCACCAAGCGACCATCCAGCATCTTGACGACCTCGTTTCCAGCTACAGCACTACCAGCTGGGAGAATCACATAACCAGCAAATTTTGTCGGTAGCGAAAAAGGAAGAGACTGAAGCCAATCACCAAAGTAGTTGATGTGACGGGCCATTCCCCACCATCCGCCTGTCAAAAGCTTGGTTCCGCGCTTGGTCTGGATGAAGGTCATGTTTGCGAAAGCAGGATGGTTGGGATCCTTGCGGAAGAGAGCCTTTTGGTTGTTGGAGGATCGGAAGATGTACAGCCCGATGGCAAAGACAGTGGCGATAGCGGATACACCGATAGGTCCCAGGTGAACGGGGTAGACCGAGAGGTAGCGGCACTGAGTCGAGTAGAGGAAAGGGACCCAGACCATGTTACCCCAAACAAGCATGAATCCAAGACCATCTTGGGTGATATCCATCATACCTAGGAGTCCAAGCTCTGAATACTGACCCTCAAGCACGTAGTAAGCTTGCACCGTAGCGATGACCAAGATGCTATCAGAAACATAGCCATAGTTGCGATACTGCTGAGCGATGAAAGCGCAGTTTAACAAGATCCAGCCTGTAAGAGCAGTGCGCATCTCTAACCAAGACTTGATGTCGATCTCGCCGAAGATGAGAAGCGTGACGCGAGGGTTGAGTTCACGGCCGATGAAGAAGTCGTAAATGATGCGGCCAGTGTGTCCACCTCTGGCCAGCTCGCGCAACTCGGGATTGCCCTTCTTGACGGAGAAACTGCCGATGTAAACGTAGAGTGAGACGATAAAGGTTAGGACCGTGCTGGTAGTGAGGAGTTGGAGATAGTTGGTGGTCATGAAAGTCCAGACGGGGAATTCAGCGCCGTAGATGTACGTTCCAACAGCGCAGGCGACCAATTGCGCAACGCTTGAGGAAAAGGCTACAGTTCTGTCAGCTTCACTGCCCAAGCGGGTGCGATCAAAACAAAACCTACAATTGAAGCGATACTTCAGCGCCTTACCCGACTCCCTCAACTTGGTCCCATAAACCTCCTGGGCCGGCAAAACTCGATAAAGCACCAGACTCAGAAAATAATAAGCAAACAGCCAGCCCGTGACCTCCCAGCTCATGAATCCCCGGATGCCCTCCTTCGGCCAGGGCGTTTGCTCCTTGAATTTCTGCCACGTCAATGTCTTAGGCTCTAGAAGAGCTGGCGCGGGACATCCTGAAACATCGTTGCAGCCGAGATAGAGAAGCTGCATGAGAATTGGAAGACCAAAGACGATGCCTGTGGCGCCGATGCTGTTGAGAGTTAGTGATGAAAGGGGAGAGTAAGGGAGGGCGCTTACGGGCCGCCGAATTCGTATTCTGGTGTTTTTGGGGCCTTCATTTTGAGGGAGAGGCTGATGCACAGCCGATAAACTGAATGAGAGAGTACAATGAGAGAGTTGACTTGGAATATGTGATGAATGAGTGAGAGTGATGATGTTGATGCTTTTATTGATGTAGAAATGCATTCAATTGATATCGACCCATTCTCGAGTCAACGGAAGAGCTCAACCCGGCCCACAGCGATTAAAAATACCCGAAACATGTCATCTGTGATTGGTTATTGGAGCTACTTAGTGGAGTACATTTCCGCTCCCCATACGAATACGGACGCGAAAGAGGCTCAAAAATAACACAGACATTTCTCACTATAAGCTTGCACCAACAATCTATCAATATTGTCAACCTCGGAGCCCGAGGAAGCCTTGAGCTTCTGCACCTCCCCCAAAAACTGTGGGTCAACTTCATGCCTTATTTAAATTGCCGAGCCCAATCAAAACATTCCATTTGCAATTGACTTTCTACCGTTCCATTCTCCCCTCACGACTTTTACAGGGTTTTCTTCCCCAAGATCTCATTGATCTCATCAAGGTGCTCGGAAAAGTTATCGACCAAGTTATCCCACATCTTGGGCTCGTGCTCGTGCTTCTTCTCGCTGTTCCACGCCCAGTCCGTGATGGTCAGTTGTCTGCAGCTCTCGAACATGAATGCCACTGCGCCCTTGGAGATTTGCATCTGCGGCGGGGGTTGCGCTGACGCTGCCTTGAATTCCTATAGCTTGTTAGTATATGAGGGTGATGGGAGGTGATGAGGGGACGCACTTCGTAGGCTACACCGTGAGGAACCCAGCCGCACTCAAACGAAACACCACCAGGTTGAAACTCATCAGACCGTCCCGCATACTCTCCATAAATAAGACCCATCAACTCAGAAGCTGCATTGCGATGATAATACGGTGGTCGGTATGTATGCGACGCGACGTCCCAGCGAGGTGAAAAGATGAGAAAGTCCGCCAGCGGAGCATTTGCATCTCGTGAAGCAGCCGTCAAAACGCAAAAGATAGATGGATCAATATGGTCAACAGAGATAGATCCCACGTTGACGAACTTGGTGAGATCATACTTGTAAGGCGCGTAGTTCCCATGCCAGGCGACAACGTCAAACGGGCAGTGGTTCTGCGTGCTCTTGAAGAAGCGTCCGCCAAGCTTATACACGATCTCCCACGGATCATCGCGCGTAACAGTGTAATTGGCCTTGGGATACAAAAAGTCCCTTGCGTTGGCAAGACCGTTTGAGCCCAGAGGTCCCAGCTCAGGAAGTTCAAAGTGCGAACCCCAGACTTCGAGGATATAGCCCCTAGTCGGACCTTCAACAGCGACTTTGAAGCGTTGACCGCGCTGGATGACGCAAATCTCGCCGGGCTGGACGTAGAGATTGCCGAATTCAGTTTGGATGTCGAGATTGCCTTGTTGAGCGATGATGAGAAAGTCGCCGTCGGAGTTTACGAAGGCGCGCTTTTCCATGCTCTTTGTGGCGGAGAAGATGTGTGTTGCGAGACCTTCGCGGAGGGTAGGGTCGCCTGGGGGATGTTAGAGAGTAAAGGTGAGGAGGGGTGAGGGGGAGTACCTGAGCCGGCGATTGTGCGGAGGCCAGAGATGAAGTCGGTGCCTTCGGAGATGTCAAATGGGAGCTTGGGGTGTTAGCCGATGGTAGTAGAGTTGGGTTGTTGGTTCACATACCCAGGCTAACTGAGTTGGTGAGATTCTGACGGCAGGGTTCAGAGGCAGAAAGCAGCTCTCTGTCCCTTCAACCTTGGGCATATCCGTCTACCTACGTCAGCAAAGAAATCTCCCATGAGTTGTGACACTTACGAATCCCTGGTGAGCAACAGCAGGTCTTGCTCGGTAGAGCCACGAATTCTTATTAGCCTGGCGAGAAGCACCAAACGACGTGGTCATCTGCTCAGCATAAAGCCCAAACCTAACACATCGCGGACTGTTCTGTCCCTGGGGAATAGTCCCAGGAATAGCCTCTGATTCATGGTGGTTATTGAAGCCAGAGAGGTATGTATACGGGTCATTCTTTCGAGTCGCAAAGGACGGAATACTTCCATCCTTCTGGGTCTCAGCCCAGTGAAAGATGTTTTGATAATCCTCTGACGGGGCCATGATGAAGACTGATAAAAGAGGCGGGCCGTGGTTGATTCTGAGCTTATAGTCACAGCACAGAGCGTAGAGAGAGGTGAAGGAGATCCGGGAATGGCGGAAACGGTTGAGGCTGTATTTATATAGATCAGTCGACAAGGTGCACTTGCCGACGATAAGAATGAATTTCACCCCGCTCCTTGGCTACCCCATCGGCGGCAGTTGGCCCGAGGCTTAGCTAGCGTTAGGTTCACAAAAGCCAGGAAATAAGTGGGAATTTGGGATCCACGATCTACGTAATGTATGCTTACTATTCGATCAGTCAGACGAACTTTATGGTTGCAAGTGGAGACGTCGGATATAGCTGTGTTAAGTTGAGGGTGAGTTGAAGGTGTGCCGGAAATACAGAATGTTGATACGTCATTTTTATAGGATGGCTTTAATGATATTGTCCGTGGTTTGGATGTCAGCTGATGCCAAGCCACAATTCTTAGCATCAACTGACTGCTTTAGTCGGATGCATACCGCCGATCAAATCATTGTCAACTTTAAATTGCTGCTGACTCGCCTTTAGGATCTGATATTCCCCGCCCGGATTACAGGATGCTGATACGTCAGTTTCTTAGACCGGCTGTTATAATAGTGTCTGCTATTCAGGGTCAGATAAATCTAGTTCCCTCTATACCCCGACATGTTGTATCTCAAGTCGCTTTAGTCATCATCATAGTGCCCAGTAAGGAAATCATAGTGCGTGCTCAACGACATCTCGCTCGCCTCCAGAATCCAATACCCAGCACCAGGACTCTCCAAATGATACGGAGGCCTGGGGTAGCTATCAACGAAAGGTAGCTGTATGACATCAAGCCCGCCCTCATACCCATCCTTATCTCCCTCGGCATTACCGAGCGTGCGCCAGAACTGGCTGTACGTGATCTGTCTGCCTGTCGTTGCGCTTCGCATCTGACCCCATGAGATACGCGAGAACCACTCCATGGGGATAGCGAAAGCGCACTCTTTTGTTGTTCGCGCCAGGGTGTCGAATGATGCGATTAGCTCATCTGGGTCGGGATCGCGGATACCCGCGCCGCACCATTCTATTGAGATATAGAGACGCTTGAGATTTGGGAATCGGGCGGGAAGAATGAGGTTGGTGACATCCTCGAGGACGTTGTCTTTGGTAATGGGGGCCTTGATCTCGAGGGAGGTGATCTTGGTGAGATGGTGGTGCGGTATGAGCGATGGAAGTTCAGTAATTGTTGCTTCACCGGAGATAATGACGGTGTTTGTAGAGTAGAGAACATCAACTGTCTCTGCGTAGCTGCCCGCAACGTCAGTCAGTGCTCATTAGTAGGTAGATAGATGCTGACGTACTTTTGCCGACAGGACTGCAACCAGCCCATTATCCCGATGTTCTGAGGCGGTGGCTTTGGGACATTGATCGAATCGCAGCAGCGATCAATCCAGGGCCCTGGGTTGAGGCCACCGCGTGTCATTGGACCCAGCTCTGGATCATGCTTTCGAGCGCAGATACATCCATTCCACGACCAGAGTTTTCTTCTTAAGCCTGGAGCATCTGGGTCATCTGGGTCACCCAGCTCATACGCTTCAAGGTCATCTGGATCCTCTGGGGTACAGCGAGCAGCATCAAAAGCGAGATGCATATGGAGACGCCTATCCCCAAACGCCAAGCGAAGAATATCGCGTCTCAGATTAGCAGGGACTTTGAACCAGAGCGATTGTTGAAACGCTGCAGCTGGTCGCTGCAGACTCTTATCATCATCTTCATCGCTGAAGCCAGGCGGCGTAAGTGCACGATGTCGTGTGGATGGTAGCTTTGGGATAAGATGTCTCCAGCCTTGCCAATCGCGATCATATACTCCCCAATCTGGCGAAATGGGTGGACTTGGTGCTATTAATTATTAGCATATGGGTGACTACTGAAGTGATGGAGAGCATACAGTGTGAGCCTGGTGAGTTGCCTCCACTGAAGGAAAAGTCTGGTGAGGGGAAATCGACGGGGGGTAGTGGACTTGAGGGTGCCATGTTGGAGTGAGATGTTGAGAATGAGTGAGTAACAGAGGTAGGCGAATGAGATTAATTTGCTTGTGATCACGTGAGAGATGAGATTCCTTCAGATTCCACTTTACCAAGAGACAGAATCTGCCTGGCTAGTGTAGTAAGAGAAATAAATGAAATTATACAATATTAATCTATTCTATTATACTAGACTATCATATTCTCTATTAATATGCTTAAGATCAGGTATATCCCTTAATATTATTGTAGGCTATATATTATCTAATTAATATTTATCCTTACTGTTATATACTGTAAATTATTTAATAGGTTCTGTAAAGATACAATATCGTTAAGATTTACTTAATCTTCGTAATAACTAATAGAAAACTAAGCTCAGTGCTTGTATATTAATATGACTAGGAATAGTCTCCGTCTAGGAGGTCCAAACAATAACAAGGCTTGTATCCCAGACACTTTAGTAGAGAATTTAGTTCCGTTCCTAAAGAGGCTAGAATTCAACTTAATCACTGAGCTCCCGTTCCCAAAGAGGCATAGCATGATGTTTCCCGCCTTTCAATAATACACCAACCGAGGGGTTTGCTTACAGTAGTGCTGCTCAACCTCTAATTTATAATGATTTCGGCGGCTTTCTTATCGCTTATCTGTCTGTTGGTTGGTGGAGTGATTAACTCTAAACTCTATTACTTCGGCCCGATCGGGATTTCTCTTGCAAACAATAGGAAGTTCTTGCGTTCCTCCATTGAGTCTTGTATGTATTACGTGTTTCAGGTAGCATTTTAACATCATACTCTACGGATTCATAAGTGTGTTTCCAATTTGGGTCCGGATGAGTCGGGAGCAGCTATTTGGAGTGGTTTAAGTTTATTTCTCCGGTAGGTAATAACTGAAATTAATATATAAAGCGTCCGTCTAGCTGTCTTGATGTCCATTGCTCTATAGCAAATGCTCTAACTTAAGCACTATAGAAGACTATTTATCTCGATCCTCGTATTTACCAAAATGCAGCTCACCAGCCTCCTCACTATCATCTCCCTCGTCTCTGCTTCTTTCGCAGCTCCTGGTGACCGTGGCAGTTACACTGTTTCTGGCCTCGGTACCCGCAAGCAGGCTATCTTGAATGCTGGTGGCAACACCCTTGATTTGGCTATTGCCATGCTTGAGGACGAACACATGTCAACCAACTACAAGTATGGTGAGTGAACCTTGCTGCAGAGATGTTTCTACCGACTGGCATATCAACACTTGAATTTACAGGCGACGGTAAGACTCTCGATGCGGCCAACTTTGGCGTTTTCAAGGTCAACTGGGGAATGCTTCGTGTCTGCGCCAAGCGAGCTGGCTTCGTAGGACAGGCCGAAAGTCAATGGAATAACGGTGCCAAGCTCAAGTAAGTGCTGTTGTAATAGGCACATGTCACGTTTATTAGCTGACTGGCTACTCAACTCACTCACAGCTCTGATATCTACGCTGATGTTGCCTCCCGCTGGGATTGCCAGGAATATTACGGTTACGATAAGTGGTTTGCCGGTCACCGTAACGGCGCGACTGGCTTGTCAAATCCCAATACGGAGGATATTCGATTCTACCGCGAGTCTGTTGAGTGGATCCAGACACAAATTGAATCAAAGTCTGCTTACAAGACTGACGACACTCGCTTTTGGGTTGATGTTACCCCCATCTAAGTCAGAGGCATAAGCCTGTTGTCGGGCGTCGTAACTTTGAGGCTGGGGGCTATACGGGGTCTGATTGGCTACAAGCCAATTCAGCAAGCTGATTAGGGGGGGGTGCGGGATAGGTTCCTTTCAAGTATTTACTCTATTTCAGATATTAAGCGATCCTATAAAGGACCGCAGTTAAATCGAATTTTCACTGTTATCTGGCACGGAAGCCAGGAAATCATTCCTATTTCAGATTTCTGACTTTTTCGTGGCAATGATACCGCCCGGATACCAATCGCTGGATCCGAGCTGAAAAAAGGTTGGAATTTAGATGGCGTGAGAGCCTCCGCTTCCCATTGCTGCGTGTCCTCGCTCACACTAGGGGTCGCCGGGATAACGAGCTTCTGAGTGATCAGAATTCCGCAGACTGCTCCTTGTAGCCTATCAATATGGAGTACCCTGTACAGTGAGATCGTTTAAATGAAGCGCACTGGAGAATCCCCAGACTAAGCAAGCCACAAACTTCTTCACGGGGAATCAACTCATGAGCCATTCGGGATTCATTCACTCCGGGCTTTCCCCTCATCGTATCGTCAGTTGAATGGATAATAGCCTGACAGTGATTTGCCGCAGCTGTGCAGCCGAGCCAATGATCAAGTAACCAGCTTGTGAGTTGGTCATTCTTCGTTTGTATAGCGGCTCCATGCTCGAGTAGGATGTTTTTGCCTGAAGTAATACTACTTTAAGAGTTTAGATTATCTTGTACTACTATTGATATGATAATTATATTCTACCCAACTTATCTCACTACATTGCAGTAATTAAGGATTCAAGCCCAACTTGTTTCTAAGGCGGGTAAAATCTTGAGCATCACCGTTCTTGGACCAGTCAAATTGATCCAGGTACCTAAAAGCCCCCATTAGAAATGGCAACGATTTCCACATCAGTTGATTGACTTACATCATGAAAGAAAAGAGTGCCAATGAGTCAGCGTTCTTGGTTGCCAGCTTAGGACCAGAATAAGGGTTTGTGTTGCCATTCTTGTCTTTATAAGTACGTGCCAAGTTCATGATCCAACGAAGACCATCTATACCTAATTAGCATGTTTCTCCCAATTACGGTTGCTGAACTTACACGCTCCCTGCTTTCTTTGTCCTTTCTGATTGAGTTCTTGCTGCGAGGGAGGACGGGTGTAGTATTCGACCTGGTTGTTCTTGTCCTTATATCTCAAGTAGCCCTTCTCGCTAACAGCGACCTGGTCCTTGATGACTGCATTGTGTTAGATCCGGTAGACCATGGAACCGCGATGAGAACTTACTGTGCTTCAAGTTGGAGTCAACACCACCGAACCAATGCATGAGCTCGTGGTACAGCTGGGTAGGGTTGGACACCCAGTTCGTCATGATATGGTCACCCAGCGCAGCAGAAGTCTTATACTGTCTCGGCGTAATACGCGCCTTTCCAGCGTCAGACGTCATCTTGGGACAGATGATCACAATATCATCGCTCGACGAGATCACAGCCTCTCGGTTGCCAATGCAGTGTCCGACAGAGGCTACCTTGGTCTGTCTAAAGTCCCAACGGTTGGCGTAATAAAATGCCCCGGCGATTGTGCCGCCGTTTTGGATGTAGCGGCTCACAGCTGGCTGGTCTCTGACCTTGCCTATACCAGGCTCGGGCTCGTCATCGACGTCGTACCACTGGAAGACATCGTCACCACAGACCATCAATGGCTTGGCGTTGGGCTTCTGGGAGAGGATTGGGCTGAAGCCCTTGGCGGGGTTGTTCTGAGATGAGGGAAGAGTGTTGGCCGTCTTAGCAAAGATGTCTTTTCGCTGTCAGCAAAGAAAGTTTGTCAAGAAGAGTTCAATATACCTCGCAAATCCTCAATGTACTTCTGCGTCTCAGCATCGTGGCCCTTGTAGTTAGGCATGAGTCCAAAGATGCTATTAGCAGCCGATGAAATCCTTGCCCACTTGACAGCGCCGTCGGGATCAGAGTTTCGGTCCGGCATCTTTGCAAGGAGGAACTCGAGGCTGGTTCTAGCGGCATCAGCCAGATCAATTGACTGCGTCAGAGCATCCTTGATGTCGTTCTCAAAGCCATTGCAGCTAGGGTCAATCTCCCAAGGATCCAGTGATGCATCGACTGCGAGTGCAGAGCTGGAAAGACCAGCGGCCAGCAAAAAGCTGGACAAACGCATAATGGGCAAAAGAATTACGGTACTGTAAAGAGTGACTGTTCAAACGAGTGACTGCGTCTGGGGAAACGCGAAAAGGAGCGAACGACTGAAGACAGACAACCAAAACGAATGGAGCCTGATTATGGATGTATGTATATTACATTTTACTGAAATGGTAGAGACTGCCTCATCCTTGAGTGTTTATCTCCATGCAGCCCCTGCAGTAAATTGGCATAAGCCGAGCCTCCACTATCCAAGATGACACCCCACAAATCAGCCCTGGGGGTTTCATCCTTTGATCCTACGCTGATTGACGAGTCTCAGAGACATCACTAAAAATGAACAGACCATTGAGTATCGGCGCGGCCGGGCGATGAGTTATCTCCTCGAATTTGATATGAAACTCCACAGTAGATTGGTGGTGAAGAAACTTTTGATGGGCAGAGAATAAGACTCTCCTCATTCCGTGCCGTTATGCATTTCGCTTGTTGCCGATCTTTTGGCTGTGCCTTGCCTCACAAGGCAATTGTCGGCGGATATTTTCGTATACTTAGCAATAATGAGATGTGTGCTGAAGTTTTAGGGTGCGCCACAGTGAGCGAAGGATTTACGGTTATCTGACATTGTCTAGATAGCGCAAATGAGTGCACTCTGCGACCATTGGAACAGTATAGAAAAGTGTGCAAACCGTCAAATTGGTAGAAGTCTCCATTGATACAAATTACTTGGCCAATATCCAGTGACGGGGTAGGAAGATAGGCAAAGCCGCAAAGGATCACACTCTCCGACGGATCAACATGAGCGCTCCATCTCACCATCTCCATCACAGCAAAGCCGTACAACATCCAATAAGCACAACTTTACTCCGAGATGAAATTCTCAATGCAACAGTAATATCGACGATCAGCTTTGTCTTGCCAGGTTCCAGATCCAACTCAATTTCGCCGAGTCCTTCCCGTTGCATTCTCAATGCACGGCCCCAAATCTCCCAACAAGGCTGAGCATCAGCAGCTCCACAACGTTTCACCTAAGTTAATGAAGCTGACTTGTTTCAAGGATCCCAAAATTAAGCTCCACTGTCAGCCATGACGGGTATATCCTCACGGTATGTTTATCCCATGAAAAGACATCCCAAGCCTCTCCTCTACACTTGCTCTTTTGTTTTACGGACACTCTTTCATTCGTTTGTCTTGGACTATACGCATTCATTCGTTTATGCTGGTATAGCCGTTCACTCTTTTATTTCTAACGTTCATTACAATAATGCAGCAACCTTGGAAGTTGCGCGTTCTTGCGCTATGTCTTGCGACGTCGCTGTCGGGTGTTTCTGCGCAGGACTTTTCTACAACGGCAGGTAATGAGACCTCAACAGACTTGGGTTTCGTGGCGCCTTCAACTGAGGTTGCTCTCCTTGAGACAACTTCTTCACAGGCTATTGTTGACCAAGCTACTTCGTCTGCTACCTCTGCAGCGCAAGTGAAGGGCCTTACGACTTCTGTGGATGAGGAGACAACTCAGATTAATGTTGCTCCTGCTTCAAGCGATGAGAGCAGTCAGGCTGTAGAGCCTACAACAAACGTTGCTCCTCCAGCTGGAACAACAGAGTCTGCTGGTGTTGGTGTCGAGACATCTTCTCACCCCGAGCAGTTGCCTGATACTGCAACCACCGACAACAACATCCCCGTTAACACCGCCACTGGCCATCCAGTGTTTCCTAACCCCAACACCCAAGAGACTGAGCCTGGGACACAGTCCACTGACGCTGCTTCTGTGGATCAGACCTCAACAGAACTTACTGGTGCTCCGTCTGAGGCCACTACCCTTGCCACCAATGCTGCCACTGATGCACAGCCCCCCATTGTCTCTACCGAGTCAACTGAGGCCGTCGAGCCTACAAGTCAGGCTGCTGAGCCAACTACTCAACTCCCTCTCCCCGAGGCCACCACTGAGATCTCTGCGGCTGCTCAGCTTACAACTGAAAAGGCACCTGAGGTCTCAACTGACTCTGCCCCTGTTCCCATCATCGAGTCTACTACCGAAGTGAAGGCTCCCGAGCCCTCCACTTCTGACGAGGCTCAAGCGCCTGTTGAGTCCACCACCGACAAGGCTAACCCTACGACCGAGGAGAAGCCGGAAACAGAGCCTACAACTGAGTCCAAGGATGCTGAGAAGCCTACCACTCAGGCTCCTGGTCCCAAACCCACAACTGAGGATGCTGGCTCAAACGAGCCAACCACAAAGAACGAACCTGGTCAGACCGGTGCTCCCAACGAGCCTGAGAAGACCACTGCCCCTCCCAAGCCTACCACTACTGAGGACGGTATTGTAACTGGTTCCAACGGTGCTGTAGTGACTTATGTCCCTGAGCAGGACAAGGACTTCTCTGACTTTACAGGTACCACCACCACTACTGACGATGGTGGTGCTGCTATCGTCATCTTCCCCGGTGGTTGGTTCTGGAAGCCCTCTGGTAACCTCCCTGGTGGTATTCTGCCCCCTCCTCCTGGTACCAACCCTGCTGGAGCTGGTGGTGGTACTCCTGGTGGCGGTAGCGAGGGAGAAGGTGAGGATGACAAGAACGAGACGAAGAAGGAGGATGAAGAGCAGTCCACCAAGGAGGAGGAGAAGTCAACTGCTGAGCCCTCCACTGTCGAGACTACGGCTAAGACCACTGAAGCTACCACTACTACTGAGGCTTGCTCCGCTGTTGAGATCGAGGACTGCACCAGGACCATCTCTTACTACACCACCGATGGAACCGTCACTCATACCGAGTTTGGTGACTGCCCTACTGTCGCCAGCTGCGCAACTGGTACCCAAGCTACCTCCACCGAGACCGTGTCTGCCGAGGCGGAAGAAGGTGAGGAGCTCGACTTCGAAGAGCTGGAGAGCGATATTCCTGATGACTTTGACTCTGAGCCTGACGAGGAGACCGTCGACGCCCTTGAGGATGCTTTGGATGAGGGACTTGGTGCTGGAGCGACCACCACTGAGGAGCCTACGGCTTCGTCTACTGGTACTGAGACCACCGGCGAGGCTACTTCCACCGAAGCTGGGACTACCAGTGATACCAAGACTGAGGAGACTTCTTCAGAGGCTACGACTGAGCGAACTACTACTATCCCCAGCACTCTCATCACAACTACCCGTAACACCGAATCCTCCAACGAGTCTTCCGGTACAACTTCTGATGGCACTACTACCCAGCTCACATCTTCTGACATGATCACCTCCACCACCGCCACAACCACGATGCGCACTTACTACCCCTGCGTTCCCCACGGCGGCCCTCGCGTCGAGACTCCCTACTGCAACTGCGAGACTACCAGCGACGGCGAACAATACGTCGTCACGGCGCCCATGATCTCAGGCCAGTGCGCAGACTACACCGAGTTCCCCATGAGCTTATACACAACGCCCCCTCCTGCGCCTGAGCCCACTGTCTTCAATGAGCCCTTTACTCGCACCGACGCTGGTACTGTTCTCGTTTACGAGTCCTACTCGCTTAGTTACTTCGCCGTCAACACCATCAAAGTCACTGCCACTGTCGGTCTTGGCGAAGCATCTACTGTGTCAACACCTCTCCCCACCGCTACGAACTGGAACGGCGATGGATCAAGCATATGCAGCAGTGGTGATAAGAACGTTCGCAACGCTGTCGCTGGTGCTTGCGAAGCTGCGCTGAATAAGTTTGAGGATGATACTCTGTATACTGACTATGTTTCTCGATATGAGCGTATGGGAAGTATTCTCAAGGTGCTTACTTTCGGTAAGGCTGGTTGTACGGTTCAGTTCTCTTGCGATGATTATGGTATTGGAATGAAGGGCAAGGACATTAAGGATCTGTAAGTTGACTCGATTCGCCCGTGAAAAACATATGCTAACTTTCTGATAGACGCCGACAGCAAGATGGCTTGACACGTTGCGGCAACATTGACTTGTCTAACTCGTGCAAGATTCACATCGACTACTGCACGGAATGTCATCACGATGGTTAGGAGGAGAAGTAGTTTAGAGTTATATTAATAGAGCGATTTATTATCTTATAAGCCTTAAACGTAATTTTTTATATTAATAAGTATCTTTTTAGTAGTTAATATTAATATTAAATTATTAGTAATATAATATACTGTATTGAAACTTAATAGTTTATTAAAAGGTTTTATATTATTTTTATAAAATTACTACTTATTATAGTTTAATAGTAATTAAATAATTATAGTTAGTAATAAGTAAGTAAAGAATATTAAATTTTTAAAAAAATAATAATATTTAATAAAAAATATATATATAAAGGTAACTTAAAGTAAGTTAAATTATATAAAAGGGATAAAAGAAGTATATTATATATGTAAAAATAGCCTGTCTGAATTAGGGTTATGTATTACGCACAATCTTGGTTCGCGCATTGTAATCATGGCAAAGAGCTGCATATGCTCGGGTGATTTCAAAGTTAGCCTGCATATACCCTCTATCACTTGCTGAGAGCAGGTACTTAAGAGCAAGCTCTGCTCGTCGACCTTGAAGATTCTCAGTTAGCTCCCGACATATAAATCCTCCCAAAGGAATTATTAGGTGTTTGAGTAAGCATACCATCAAATCCCAGATCAGAACGAGGTACTGTCGAGTCGTTCACTAACCAGACGTTGATAAGGTCCCACCAAATCAGAGACCCGACGAGAAAAGCACACTCTGGGTGTTCCGGATGCTCGGATTGATGAAGAAGGATGGAGGTATGGTGGTTGCTCAGTTGACTAACTTGCTGATCTTGGATCTTGGAACTCTTTCTCGCCTCCTGAATCAACTGCCAGGCGGTAGATCGAGCAATTTCTAAATCCCGAGGATTTGCGATTCTCACAGATTCGCCAACACAGTCTCTCACAGAGGAAAACACAACCTTATCAAGAAGAACAAGTGCTCGAAGCAGAGAACTTGCTACCGTCATGGCAGATGGTCGGCCCTGATCTAGCGGCTTCCAACAGCTCTGAACAATGTCGACAAGCGGCGAGGGAAATTCAACAGGGAAGTCCCCTGGAAAGGGATAGATGTCCAAGCGTCGTTTTAATGTTGCCGCGTCTTGTTCGGGATTATGAAAATAAATGGGCTCCTCGATCAGGTATGGAGTCCCGTCTGTGAGTATCTGCCAAACAATAGTCCCCAGGCTAAATAAGTATAAGCAATCATAAGAGGTTCATCAGAAGTTGTTCTTCTCACCTCCAGATATCAGTTTCGTGGGAATGTGGTATAGATCCGTTTTTCTCAAGAAGCTGTGCAAGGATCTCTTGAGCCTCATATCTGTGATCTATACGGACACTATTTGTTTTCTCGTAAAGCTAAAATGTTCAGCTTTTATCGAGTTATATCAATCAAGCAGAGACTCACACAACGTGTATAGTGAAGCTGGGTCAGAACCGGGTGCTGACGTGAATTTCCATCGCTCCTGAGATGAATGGAAGATTCAGTCAGATACTTGACAAGGAGCCCGCCTCCATGAAGCCAAGCGACAGATTGAGCCACGTCGTATGCGATGTGCACTCGGTCCCGGAGGGTGAGTACTCGGCTGGAATCGCTGCGCCAGGTCTTGAGTGTTGTCAAGATGGAACAGTCCTGCAAAATGACATAGTCTTGATCGTTTATCTCCACAATGCCGTGGATCTTCTGGATATGCGCTCCATTTTGTAGGTCTTGGTATAGATTCAAAGCCCGTTGACTTGAGAGGCCGGTCTCAAGTTTGCGACATTCTACATCGCCATATCCCGCGACCTCCCCTCTTCCAATCGACTCTTTCCAATTTAGAGCAGAGACGTCCATGGTGATGCGAGTGAGACTGTGAACTGGCGTGGAATGCTTTGCTGTCTCCAGCATCTTATGCCAGAGTGATACTGTCTGGCCAAGGCTATTTTCGATGTGATTCTAACAGCCGTGAGAGTCCGGTAGGTGGAATAGTAAAGATAAAAGGGAATACTTACTATCGCCCTCAAAATATACCTGCCTTCTATTTTCAGATACTCGTTTCGTAGTTGCGAATAATCATTTTTGAACATGGCTTCGACCGCATCATCGAGCCAGTCTTCCTTGGAGAATCTCACCAAGCAATCCTTGATCCTAACAATGAGATCCTCTAGCTTTTTCTCCTGCAACCCAGCATCAGAGGCGTTAGGGTTGTCGATCATATCCTGCAGAGTAAATGCATCCACCAATAGCTCGGCACATTTCTGTTTGCCTGATCGGCGTTGGGTTGAGATTTTCTGGACAGTTGATATAATGTTTGTGAGAGTATTAGGAAAGTTGAGCGCGTCAGAGCCCGCACTGAAGTAATCGACCATGATTGCAAATTTGGCGGGAGGTTAGTCTCCAGAGCTTGATTGCGACAACTGACATGAGAAGTTTGAGTTGCACACACATGTGCGGGGTCCGGTCTTCCGTTGTTGTCCTGGATGCTGCCCAACTGTGCACTTTCACTTCTCGCTGCCCAACAAGGCTCTGACTAAGACGCAGAGCATGCCTGTTGATATACCTTGAAAGCAGACGAGTAAACGTGGCACTGACCTTGCCATCTTTCAACTACCATCCTGGAAACAGCAGCGTTTATCTGCATCCTTTTTCAGACTTCTGAGATGGCAGCTTTCCGAGTCGAGCTATCCTTGACCTCTTGGGAAAAGGACATGATCCGTGACACAAATGATGTTTTCTCTGAAGAACTCAGCCTGGTTTCCCCTCATGCATTATCACCCGTTAGCAAAGACTGGATCCGAAATAACTGGAGCTGGGCCACCTATGTTCAGCTTAAAATACAAGAATCAATTCTTGACTTGGACGATGAAGAAAAATCGATACATCAGATGAACCCAGTTCGAACATGGGAAATTCTCAAAAACAAGCTTTCTTCACGAACTCCACCAAACACACTGTTGGATCACTACAGCTGCCACTCTAGACTGAGGCAGTTGCTCGATGCTAATAGCGACCTACCGTCGCTCATTTCTCAACCAGGCTTTCGCGACATCCTCCCGGATTACATCCATTTCGCAAATGAAGACGAAGGAGATTGGCAAGCTGTTTGGAACTTCTCTACATTCATCAAAGATAACCATCCTAGACTGCATGGTCTTCACATTTCCATTCCCGATCTGCGAAACCTGGAACAGCTATGTTCTAGAATTAGTCCTCTAGAGGATGATGTGGAAGTAGGTGATACCAGCGAAACAGAAAGCTGTCGGAATATAGAGGCTGGTAACCAGAGTGTTCTCTGTGAATATCCTGCCTTTGAGATTTATTTCATGGTTCGCACCGTCGCTTCATATTGTCGCCAATCGCAAGTGGAGTTACCTAAAGAATTGGCGCAATTGCATGGAGTAAGCTCATGTTCAGCAAAGATCGAACCTGTTGTATACTAATTGGTTAACTTTCAGGATTCGAATAGTATCTTAAATGACTTAGAATTCATTCCGATGTCGGAGTTAATTATCGATGGCGATCTAGCTCAGAATCCGGTAACATCATGGCGGCCCAGTAAGGCCTGCTCATGGGATCATCATCTTTTTACCGAAGAAGAAGTGTTGAAGTTCTGTTGTGAGGCTAACTTTGAGTTCCCGGGATACCGTGGAAAAAATGGCATTGTTTTCGAAGCAACAGAATTAAGCGAGAGCGATTTATGCAAGACTAGAGAAGATCTATATGTTGCCTGGGTAAGTTAATGCTTTATCTATTCCCCACATGTTGGACAATCCTAACAGGTCTTTTCCAAGAACGACTGCGGCTTTACGTTCGATCCAGCAACCAAACGGACCTACTTGCTACAAACCAGACCGGGAATTATATTTCGTGAGCTCCAGAAACGGTTCAGTCTGGATGCTGCGCGCAAGTATTTCCGGTCAGTCATCGATCAACAACGACTGAATAGACACGAAACGTTTGAGAGTGTTTTGGATGACATGCAGCTTCAAAACTCCAAGATTCAGGCCTATGGTGGCTTGGTGGACCTCATACCGTTCCGCGAGATCAGCTTAACAGGGGAAACAGACGATACTGGGCATAGTGGAGCCATTCCGTTTGGCTCGTGGCATGTTCCGCAAGGGGCAAGACTCCATAGAGTCGACAGCGAAGTCATCCCCGTTGCCCTTAAGCTGATTTGGCGACCTGGAGATCCAAATCTTGAACTTCTCAAACGAGAGGTACGATATGTTTCTATGGATATCGCATTTCACAATGTGACGGCTAATATCAGATTGTCAAGCAGCTGGCTAGCAGCATTACTACCTTCACAGACTCTCCCATAGCTTCTATCCGACTCGATGGACTAACAATCAACCCCGAATCCAGGGAGATTTTCCTTGTTTTTGAGAGAGCGAGAAGCGTACCACTGTTCCTCGAAGCAGCCCTTGTTAATACGGGGACAGATTGGGATCTAATATCAGAGCTTCTGAGAGACGCTGCTGATAGCCTTGACGTGATACATAAGCGTGGATACTTGCATCGGTAAGTATTGAATCAGCTGATCTGCTTCTGACATACAATACTGATAGCTGTATTAAAACTAGTGATATACATATGGGAAACGTTCTAATTCATGACGTTCCTTGTCCTAATGATCCGTTTGATTCCTCCTATACCGAACTTGTCATTATTGACCTCGGGCAGGGTCAGGATCTCTCGAATAGTGCCTGGGTAACATCAAACTACTACGGAAATCACGATTATTGGGCCCCAGAAGTTATTAAGGGTCGCCAGTATAGCGAGAAGTCTGACGTCTTTGCCGTCGGGCATCTGATGATAGAAATACTCAGTATCAGATGCCGGAAAGCCAAAAATGAAAAAGTCCCTAAAGTTCTTTGGGACTTGATTGCGACATGTTATCGGAAGGATCCTGATCAGAGACCAAAGGCTCACGAGCTCGCTACTCAAGCTCAACAGCTACGCGACGAGTTCTTTGTGGTACCAGAGAGCAGAAGTACGGCGATGAGAGGCGAAGTAGTCTTGAACGGTCCATATGTGGATTTTCCACTTGCATTTGATGAATGGAGACAAAGCCTCAATGAGAATGATAAAGACGAGTTGGGTGATTTAGTTCCTAATTTTTAAGACTTCTATAATTTTGGAACCTTTTTTAACAAGAGTATATGCATCAGTGGGATGTCCACTGCCTTCTGAGGTCCGTGTTCTATTCTAGTAACCGATTGTTAAACTCGTCAAACACCAGGGCTAGGCTGCCTCACTCCTTGATTGGCATGGCACTGTAGTGGATATTTTGTTTAAAAAAGTTACTTGCGTTAGCTAACAGGAATAATATGCGTTTCATATCTTAGGTTTTCTGATTTCATTCTGCTGGTAATTCTTAATTAAGAGAATTATATAATTTCCAGTCGAACAAAATTGTTAGCATGAATAGCCTCGCCATACATAATACCATGAACATAAGTCTCGCCGATCAAACTGTACTGTTGACCCTTACTTCGCAAAACCAGCGGCGTGGGACATCCCGAAACAACCCAGATCTCATCGCCCACCATCGTAGACTCGAAAACACAAGCAAGATAACTTCCTTCCGTCATTGCTGGCCGCCTGTTGAATAGAGTGGTGCTCAACAGGGAAAACATAAACACCAAGTTATTTTTCTTTAATTCCATCCAAGCCATTCGCTGTTCAGATGCCCATAATTTATCGTCCCCGGCTTCAGGTAGGAAACCAAACCCACTGCAGAATGAGGCTAGGAACCTCCTTGTGGGGAAGGGACTTTGTTTCGGATGTTTGGCTTCCAGTGTGTCCATAGACTCCAGAGTCTGTAGAAAGGCCTTAACAGCATCCGTTCCTCCAGATTGGAACTCATCGCTGATTCTTTTAGCCATCATCATGAGTACCATATCTTGGAAATGCTTGGTAGTGGGAAGTTTGGCTGGGCGGTCGGATAAGTCCTGATCAAACACCAATGTTCGCCAGAATGCCTCCGCGAAGGGCTGGTTTGTGAAGGGGTATGTCTCCTCTGCGTCGACTAGCATCGAAGCGCACTGAGCGAAGTTACCACCGGAAACCATGAGTTTCAAAGACTCGCCCATGGCTTTAACGCGACCCAAGAAGAAGCCACGAGTATGTAGAACCTTGTCTTCTATATGGAAGTCGACACCATACCTGGCTGTATCTATAGATCTCGACGCATCGAACTTACCCAGAGACTTGAAGTTTGGTCCAGCCATTGGGTTCAACGCCATTCTCGGGGGATAATCTGGGACCCAGGATGGTAAGCCTGTGGTCTCACGTAGAGCTGGGTCCTTGACAACACCCAGAAGAGCCAAACTCCCAGTCGCCTGCAGAATCTCCGTCGCCGCATTGTAGAGCACGGTGGCTGTATCGAGACGATAATTTGGCTGGAGTCTCTGGGGGATGCTGTCGAGACCGTGAATGCTGACAACGTGACTGATTATACCAGCCAGTCCGTAAATAGTATCGCGACGGTCTCCACAATCGAAACCAACTAGCCACAAAAGCAGTTTTAGGAGAATCACGCCAACTATACTCTCCTTTCTTTGATCGACAGCCACAGTATTCTCGACTATTCCAGCTGTAAAGTCGATCAGAGGCAAAACATCGCTCCATTCACTGCGATCGCCTTTACACCATTCACGGACTACTTGAGTCCTTCCGGTCTGCATGAGGTGCATATCTTCCAACAAGCGCATGTCTTTCCCACCCGCGACCAGTAGGTTACCGACTGCCACAAGCAGGCCACTCAGGTGCAAGAATAATGCTGCCGACCCGACTTTGTCAAACGGGACGCTCATTTCATTGCATATGATTTCAATCTCTCCCGCCAAGGCCACTTCCTGAATCACCCATTGTCTCCCAAACCAGCGGCAACTAAAGAGCGTAAGCAGCGAGTCCGCCTCCTCGAAGCTCAACGGGTCAAGCCCATAGGCCTCTTTCATTTCTTCCAGGTGATGGGTATGGGGATACTTCTGCTCTCGAACGATGGCTTTGCAAGCTGTGGAGGCGACGCAAGCTATGCGTTCTGCAACTTGGAGCCCTAGCTCAAGCTTAGCAGAAGGTTTCCCCAACCAGACAACCACTCGACTGGCACCTCCAAAGATTCGGTCCATGATGCCAACTTGAAGTTTGCGCTCCTGTAAGTCGTTTTGGTTGATGCAGAGGGCGTCAATCCAGAATAGCATCCGAGGATAAGACTTGTGGAGCTGGAAGAGAGCATCGTAAAGATTAGGCTTGACAGCGAATGTGGACCCGTTGAGGAGAATGTAGCGCACGTCTGTGTCTGCATAGTTTACAGGATCACCCATGTTGGGGGGGTTCCATGTGTAAGAGAGTGCATAGTATTTCGGCCTGGTAGGACTGGAAATCTCATGTTCGTTGAGGGTAAGAGAGGGTTGCTGATTGGAGTCAATGGTAACAGAGACGAGACGGAAGGACTCGGTGCCAATAGACTGCGGATACATTTTGGGCTGTCAATGTTTCTGATGCATCAACGATAACGACCCGCAACCCTCTTGTGAACAAACTGTGCAATACAAAGGGAAGTTGCGAACCATAATGCGAGCTTGCAAAGAGGGGTACTGCATTGTCAGCCGCACTGCGATTCTGACTCTGGCTATTGGCCCCGGAACTTCCCGTAGCGATTATTCAATGTTGGACACGCCCGCCTGTTCGGCTGTCTATATAACTGCAAGCTGCTATGTGACCTACAGTCTTCTTCTATTACCATTAGTATGAGCATAAACTAAGACGTTCGTGAGTCTACTTAAATATAAGGAATTTACCTGGCGGAGTTGCAAAAGCAGTGAAGTCACGGAATTCGGCGGCGGTGTGCGCTAACAGATAGTGGCTGGAATTCAGCACAGATCATATACCTCAATCGCCTATCTCTCATTATTACACAACAACCGTTATAGCTTTGCATCTTTAATATTCAGAAGGCTCTTATCTGAACTCATTATACTTTAACTAAATTTTCGACCGTTCGAGCGTCTTTGAAGCACGTATCTGGAGATATGCTCTGGCTTTGAATAAGCTCAACCCGAGGGCCTTGATAGTGCTGCTTTGCAAACATGAACCAATTCACTACCGAGAACAGCAATAGAAACAACAGAACGACACTGGCATAGTCTTTTCTCCTATTAGTATGGTATCCAAAAGGGTATTAGGTACCATGAGAGGACTTACTCATGGACAGGGCTGATACGGGGAGGGAGCTGGGGAACACAAAAAACACAAGTTCGATAACAGCCGCAATAATAGTTCCAAAGTTGCAAATCCATCCAATAGGATCCGGAACTCGAAATCCACGGCATTGAGGAAGAAAGGTTGAGCTACGCTTCTGGTAGATCAGTAGGGCAGCCGGTAAAGCAAATGAGATCATTTGCAAGAGGAGGAATGAGCCAACAAGAGCATTGAAGGCTGCGGTAGAAGCCAAAAACAAGCACCCACAAAAGAATACCAGCACGGTGTTGAGTACAAGTGCATTGGAAGGGATCTCCCTGAGCTTTGGTGAGAGTTGAGAGAGGTGGTGTGAGAGGTAGAGTCCACGGTCTTTAGCGAATGCCCATATCAGGCGAGATGTTGTTTGCTGGATGGCGATGAGTACAAAGATAACGATGACCGTCAGGGAAACGAGAAAAGTCACTCCAGCAGCATCTGATCGCGTTGCGGTACGCCAAAGCTCAAAAATGGGCATTCTGTTAAGGTCAGTCATGAATTTCCACGGCTGATAGGTATACTTACGAAGCAGTAAGGAGGCCTTCCAGATCAGAGATACAGTACGCCATGGAGACAGCGAATGTGAACGCTGTGAGAAAGCCAATGCCTATTGTTGCCATAAGAGCGCGCGGAACCGTCTGCGACGCATTCAAGGTCTCCTCGGCAAGATGCAGGGCAGCGTCCAGACCGCCGTACATGTAGCAGGGTGTTACCAAGCTGGTCATAAATGCAACGCCATCATTCCAACCAGTCATGGTCTCGAAGTTTGTCCACACCCACTCTGAAGATTGTTTTTTGCTTCGAGCTAAGCATGTTATGCATGTGACGAAGAAAGTTGACAGGGTAAGGACAACTGCATGGCTCTGTTAGAAAGAGGATACACAGTTGACGAGCGTCGACTTACATGCACAGTCGTGGATCCAGTTTGTACGCTTGAGAAGAAACAAGTTATAAAAGAGTGAAAACAAGTTCAGTCCCTGATAGATGAGAAACAAATGCCATCGCTCCGGTTCATAGCCGTTAAAGAACTGAGGAAAAGAAACGAGCAACTGACTCCCGATAAGGGCCACGCTCGCAGCATTAATAGTCCATGACAGCGTTGATATCATACCGCAGATGTACGAAAATTGGCGGTTGTACCTTTCAGGAGCCAGGATGCTGGTGAAATGATACTGGCCTCCAGCAGTTGGGTATACACTGGCTAGTTCGGCGAGCGTTACAGCAGCGCAAGCATAGAAGACGCATGACACGAACGTCCCGTAGATAAGACTGACTGTACCGCCGGCTGCGAGAGCGGTGGATAAGCTTGCTGCGATGGCGACCCAACTGTTGGGGATGTTGAAACCGATCGCGATGATGCGGAGAGGGCCGATGTCGCGGCGAACTGGAGATATATCGGCTGTGGAAACATCAGTCGATGATCCTGGTTTGTGACTGTCTGTAAACGGGTGTTAGGGACGTGAGTTGAAAGTATCACGCGATCACAACCGCTTACCATTTGCCATGTTGCAAGAAGCAGTGCGAGAACTTTGTATGGATAAGTCGAGTAAGAGAGTTTCCAACCTTCTTGTGTATTGAATTGAAGTTCTCTCTTCATTGACAGGACCTATTCGGGGTTTTATCATCGATATTTCGCCTTTCTGAGCAGTAGCGTATTTCACTGGTATCTGCCCAGAGATATGGGCGTTATGAAGCCTAAGACAGCCGATTCGCGCCTATCGACTTTGATTTGGCTGGCTTTCAAATAGACGCGCTTATCTAGCTTTGGTATTAATGTGATCTGGATCAGTTGAGTGCGATCCATTCTAGATACAAGGAGCCAGAACCATGACGGTTTTTCGACAGAGAGATAGCAAACCAATGAAATGCCTGGTGTTAGCCATTCACGTGTAGCTAATACAACAGATACGCGCTTATCTTGCTCCGGATCAGTGGAAGCTGATAAGCAATTCCCACGCCAATGTCAGCCACCAATCCTCATTTGGGAAGCTTAAAATGGCCAAAAAGACGCGCTTATCTTCAGATAAGATGATGGACCCATGGTCAGTAACCGGCAAAGGATTGGCTGTCATAATTTGCGGTATGCGAGCTGTTCAGGTGAGAGACCCCGGCATCTATGACATGAAATTGCACGATCAGGGGGCCACGATACATTATGATTAATCAATATGATTTCTGTATTCTTCACATATAAAAGGATCATCCAGATCTTTCGTTTCGCCAGCAGTACAGAACTATTACGTCAAGGTCCAAGAGAAAGTATTTCACATTACTCCAAAGCAATTCCTACCTAACATGACCCCTTCTATTACCGAAGACCTTTCTTCTCGAGTGGATTGTGTCCCTGTTTCAAAGTACGGTGATGACAGATCCCGCCCCGTCCCAATAGTCAAAGTCTTTGACATTGTGACCGCCGACTCTGCAGCTGTTACCCAAGCCATTATTGAGGCAGGGGGCTGTGTTATTCGAAACGCTGTTTCTGCAGAGGACCTTGCTGTGATAGAGACAGATACCAGAAAGTTCATACAAACAGACGGAGAATGGACTGGAGAGTTCTTCCCCAAAGAGACAAAGCGGGTAATGGGATTGGCTGGCAAATCAAGCATCTACATGAAGACCATTGCCATGAACCCTCTTGCTCGAGCAGTCGCCGACAATCTTCTTACATCCACGCATAGCTGTTGGATTGGATCTGAGTGGAAGACCTTCGTTAGCAAGCCTCAGTTGAATAACACGGTCATCTTCAGCATTGCCCCAGGAGCCAGAGATCAGGACCTTCATAGGGATGACATGATCCACCATCATCCCGTCAAGCGCCGCATGGCATCTGAGTACAAGATTGGTGATGATACAGGGCTTGGCTTTTTTGTTGCCGGAAAGAAGACGACTCGTGCCAATGGTGCGACCCGCTTTATCCCTGGTTCTCACCTCTGGGATCCTGCGACGCCCCCCGACGAGAAGCTATCATTCTACGCTGAACTTCAACCGGGAGATGCGTTCTTGTTTCTGTCAAGTTGTTATCATGGAGGATCGGCCAACACCACCACTGATGAGGAAAGGCTGATGTACAGCTGCTTCTATACCAAGAGCTTCTTGAGGCAGGAAGAGAATCAGTATCTTGTTGCACCGGCTCAAAAGATGCTGGAGACTTATGATGATGATACATTGGAGCTTATGGGTTACGGACTGAGCCCTCCGTTCCTGGGATGGGTTGATGCAATGCATCCGCTGGACTACTTGCGGGGAGAGAAGTCATTCCGGGACTTGTACTAAGTCAATTTACACAGATCAGGTAGTGGCCAGGTTAGGTAGTCAGAATATGAGAGTAGTTATAAGGTATCAGACAGACTGGTTATGAATATCACCCTACACACATGGTAATTCCGCATTCCTTCAAGACCTTTTCCAGCCCGTAAGATCCATAATAGCCATCATCAAAAGCCATCTTTTCCCAAAGGAGCCTGAGCGGATGTAGCGTGTTGTCAACAGCCCTCATGTCAAAGGTCGAGTTCAATATAATGTCTGAAAGTTGGTCTCGCTGTCTCGGGCACCTCATGTGTGACCCGGCTGTCAATATTGGCCACATAACGGTCGTCCAGGATGGGGACTCATATGACATCTTAGCAAAGACCTTCAAGAAGCGACCGAGACATGATTCAACTGCCGCGTAAAGCTCCGAGTTGGTAGTATCAGGTCCTTGGAAGGAAGACTCCAGAAAGATAAGGCAGGCTTCACGATATAGCTGGCCTGCATATTCAAAGTCCTCGGTGAAATAGTTCTGTGTTGGTCGCCAGGCTTTTAGCTCTCCCAGGATCGATTCATATTGCTGGTAGGATGCTTGTGAAGGAGCGATCCCCTCTTCGATCCGTAACTTGGCCAGGTCGCATATCATAGGAATTGTTTCGTACACAAGGTGAGAGCAGCCAAAAAGGCACCCGTAGAAATTTGACCCTTTGTTCAGAAGTGCCAGTGAAGGCAGCGATAAGGTTTGACTCATCTCAGGATCGAAACGAGCAGAGCGCAATGTTATGTTGGAGACGGTGGCGAGGTACGCGTATTGCTCTGCCAAGAAGCCAAACAAGCTCGGATCATGATTTTTAAGGTTTTGTTTGACCGTTTGAAACATGAACTTGCTCGCTTCAAGATGGTGATACAATGCACCGCTAGTGTTGACATCGATGGTCTGCGACAAGTCAGCGTCGTGGTTTTGCCATGACCAGAGAGTTAGCTAACCTCGAACCAGCAGAGGGCTAGGGCTGTAGCCAGCAGCGCAATCTGATCGCGTATATGAAGAGCCTTCCACCGTGTCACAGCATGTTTCATTGCTCGAAGCACAATCGCGTAATGAGATGCGCATATCTCGGTCATGTCTGGCCTCTTGTATAGCAAGTGAGAAGCGCTGATGGCAAGGATAGCATGCTGCATTATAGTGCTACCAAAAGCGATTTTGAGATTGCAAGAGAGGAACGGATTCTCAGGGTATGTTCTTCCAGCCATTCGTCTTGCTGTGACGTGGAGAAAATGTTCGAAGAGATGCCGATTCGTGCCCTTGCGGAGTTGGGCGGGCACAATTACCGGGCCTGTGGCGACTGTGAAGATTGCTCGAGAAGATAGTTGCTTGTCAGTTTGTGTTGTTGTTTCTCTACAGTCTGGCTGAGGAGTCCCGCGATCACGAATCGCGTCTGCCGTCAGAGACTTGGAGCTCAATGGAGCGGACCATTGGCAGATCAGATGGTTTCTATCGCACCCAAGGCAGATCGGCCTAGACTCATCACACTTCTTTCGTCGTTGTCGACATGGTATACAGCCCGTTTTGCTTCGCAAGCCGGAGCCCCTTGCTCCTGGTCTAGGCCGATAAGTCATTCTAGGAAGAACCTACGGGTGCGCGCGATGGAGTCAGTGACCTATAGCCAGCACTGGGTTAGGTAGAGATTCCTTTGAATTCTGGATGATCTTGAGGGGTATCAGGGAGTGCCGCCTTATTGTACAAGCCACCTTAAGTGCTGGTCCAAAGCTGGGCGATAAGGGGAGATAACGGAGTGTGCGGAGAAGGCTCTTTACTTATTACAGCTAGTGAGTAATTCTGTTCATTCCCTCTATTGGATCTAAGTATAATATATTAAATGACAAAGATGTCAGCATTAATATAAGATTAAAAAATCGTTCAAAAATCCTTGTTAAATTTTCGCCGGCGTTTGTTTCATTAAGCGGTGGATTCAGAAGGGAGTCATCCGTTGGTTGCTGGTGTTGGTGTTGGTGTTGGCTAGAGCTGGGCCCTGTCTGGATGGCTGCTCAGCTTGCCTGCTTTTCGAAAGCTACTGAACACCTGGTAAGGGTTCACAATTGACATGAACACGGAGTACGTCGATGCCCTGTAAAAGGCGGGGTTGCCGTATATAATTGCATTAGCCGGGGCAATCAAATCGGGAGGTTCAGGCTTTAGAACAAGAGCTAGCAAACAAGTTTAGTTAGTTGCAGGCACTAACAGATAGCGGCTCAAGTTCGGAATGTCTGAAATACCTCTTTTGAGGCAAGTTATCTACGCCCCAATCTCTCATCTCTTCTTACCTTGCTGCAACTGTAGCTTCACATATGCACTACTAAAGCATTATACAAACTGAATTTTCCACTCTCTGAGATATCCTTTCCGCAGAAATGCCTCAGCACCGTCGCCGAGTAGTGTCCTGCCCGACATGTCGCCGTCTCAAGACTCGATGCGAAGTGCCAAACGGTTCTGCTGTCTGTAGTCGCTGCAGAGCTTTAAGGTCAGCCAACTTTTTTATAGTCATCTCTGCAGTGTTATAGTTACAGGAGATCCTCATTGATACGACGTGCAGATTGCCTTGCGAGCTTCCCCATGATGCGCATCGAGTATCCATAGAGCCTGAGGGTACTTATCCCAGGAGCCCGTCTAAGCTTGTGCAAGGATGCAATTGTGAAGCAAGGCATGTAACTCAACAGTTTCTATTACATGATCTTGTTTGACAATTATTACTCAGACTTACTGCTCTCGAGGCTGAACTGGCGGAATTGCGCTGCGCTATGCGCGAGCTCAGCCAAAAGACAACCTCTCGCGCACCACAGACTGCACCAAGTGAACAGCATATCACGGGCTCGGTCCCCAAATTAGCAGTTGTATCTCATCCAGGAGCTGAGGATCAAACATCCGCAACTCGTCCTGATCCACCAGTCGCTCCAGTCCATGTAATTCGGAAGATGTATACCTGGATCAATGGTAACCCTGAAACGCCAAAGGACGTCGTCGAGCTACCCGAGTCGATCGCAGCTCAATTGGCTTCAAATAGACTGGGCCTGCGTTTTATTGAAACGTAAGAGTAGTGTCCTGTACGGCGAGCTAATTTTGGAACTTGCGCAGTTACATTTAACTCTCTTATACCTCAGCTAATATAAGCCTTAGATCTAAGAAAAGTATCCCACGACTGCACTTCCTACAAGGAACTATTGACAAAGCTCTCAGTGGAGCATATAACCTTCTCTCTGTGACCTGCTTGCTAGCAGGCATGCAAACTCACTTTTCCATCATCAACAAAGACCTTCATACGTCGCTTTACAACGTCCTCAAGTCTGAGCTCGCCAAGCTCTCGCTCGAGTCTCCTCTTAAGCTGCCGTCCCTCTATGCGATGCTTCTAACCTGTCTTCTAAACTTGAACCTCGGCTACTCTGATAGCTTTATCGACGCCTGGCTCTTGAGTGGCTCGCTGATCCTTCACCTTATGCTCTCGTTGGATTTTCCTGTTCTGCAGCAAGCGACTGCGTCGTTACTTTATACCGAGGATGATAGGCATCGGATACTGACGTGGAATGCCGCATGTCTCCAACATCTCAAGTATGTCGTTATAGCTATCGTCCAATGCACAGGAAGCTACTAACCAGTATGCGAGATTCACAATCGGTGTAGGGAAGCTGTCGGCTGTGCGAATGGACCTGGCGGCACATTACGTTGAGATAGTTAAGCACGCAGATGGTTTCAACGAATTGGACAAGGAAGTTGTGGCCGAACTCGAGCTTTTCATATTATTATATCGAGGCATCGTTGAGGAGCATGTCTCAGCTAATCAACTTCAAAGCAACCTCACACAATGGCATATTACTAATGCAAAGCGTATGTTAATACTGCAAATACTCCGACTTGTGCGTGCATCTAACAAGGTGCAGTGCTTAATCTTGATGATAGCCTAGAGTTAAAATTTGCTCTCTCGACATTTAGCTTACTTGCCAACAGATGGGAGTTGTCCCAACTACAGAAGGAAGACATCAACAACGTCCGCGAGAATGCTGTGTATGGCCAGCACATCGAGTCCATACTAGAGCACAGCCACCACGTCGTACGGCTCTCAAGGGACATGATTAAGCAGAAAAAGATCATCCACACTTTCGACTTCCTTATGGGCGCTTATGCGCACATCACGCTGGTCGAGTTCTCGGACAATCTCGAGGACATCGATGAGACGTTTCGTCTAATGGAGGAAGTGCAAAATCTGCGAAAGGATACATATGTTGTCGAACCGGTCTCTATCTGGGCTATGAACATGATGAGAAAAAGAGTGTTTGATGCGGCACGACCTGAGGTGGACACACAAACACAAATGTTGCCTGGTCTTGATATTTGGTGGCCGCCTTTTGAAGCTTTAAGTACTAGGATGGAGTATACGTCAACAGAAGTAAGCGAGCAATATCAATAGTTGGGTTATTATAGTCTGGACACCATTGTCCAGGTCCAGATGACGAGATGGATTATTCATGACTTAAAAAACATTGAGATTAAGGCCTAATTATGGCTCAAAACTTCTCCATGGCAGATTTCTGAGCGTTACCCATCTCCTGATCCCCAGAGGCAGCATCAGACGAGTCAATCACGACATTGACAAAGGTACCATCATGACTCTCCACAAAGTCCTTGGGCTCCTTCCAGCCCGAGACCTTTGGAATATTCTTACTCGGGAAGACTGTGTTGATGAGCCAAAAGCTTCCAAATGCCAGGAATAGTCCCACGGGATACGCAACATAGTAGAACCGCTGAATACCCAACGGTGCATCAACACCCATTTGGTAAAGGAATCCATAGAAGTTAGGCGCGATGGCAATTAAATAGACTGCAAACGCTCTAAGATTAAAGCCGTGGAAGAAGTGGTAGGTAGAGTCCTTGTGGCCAGAGTAAAGCATGGGAATGTCGAAGACGCCACGTCGAAGGAGGTAGTAGTCACAGATGAGAATACCTGTGATGGCGCTGAGGAAGATCTGATACGAGCTGAGGAAGTTGATGAAGACGGCTGCAGATGAAAGCAGGTACCATGGGCAAATTGCGTACGAGATGACTACAGGAGAAGTGATTAGTCAGTGGCTGGTCAGGCATAAGAAAAGTTGAGAGACACATACTTGCACAGATAAAGAAACCGCGCTTCACCGTGATATATTTGGGCATGAGAGCTGCGATGTCGTTTCCGGCACTGTGAAGATTAAGAGGTCAGCTATAAGTTCCAGGGTCTCTGGAAGGAGAGAAATTGGGCTAAACTTACGGAATGGAGTTCTCGAAAATAGCGGAGAACACGGTTGAGTAGACATAAGCAAAGGAGATCAATGCACATCCCGCGCGATTCGCAGAAGTATGACGATCACCCTGCATAAGCATGTCAAGAGTCGTAAGCGGATTCCAAATGACCTCGCCAAAGATACCCTTGCTAGCAGCCGCGATCAAATTACCAAACACGCCGACCAAGAAGTTGGACATTGGGAAGCTGAACACCTGACCAGCGATGACATCGCTTGGCTTAGAGGCATATCGTTGCAGATCGGATGCATTGGAGATGAAGGTGCCGCAACTAGCGAGTCCCAAAAAGAAGAACTTGAGGATCAACCAGGACTTTTCAGAGCCTTTGACGGTTGATGGCTCAGTCAATGTCTTGCGGACGCTGCCGGACTGTGATAGTGTCCATGCCACGAAGGCGATGGTGGCGGCGAAGTAGACGGCGACCTTGATGTGGACGAGCTTTCTCATGCGGGGGACGGGGACGAAGAGAAAGGCGCAGTTAATAAGCCTGACATTTGACGACGATGTTAGCAGATGCTCTTCTGTGGGTGATAGGAACATACCAGTAGAGGAAGAAGCAAAGCATCTGTGCCGAGTTGAGGGCGGACTTGGAGCCCATGATGTCGGGAATGTTGGCAATGGAGGGAAATATGGCGTGAAGAAAGACACTGCAAAGAGCAAGATGATTAGCTTGGTCTTGGGGTAACTGCTCCTAGAGTTCAACTTACTATAGACACTGCGCTCCCTGCACAGCATTCACACCATTCCAAACAATCGACATAACAGCCCGATTAAACGTCGGCCACAGCGCACCCCAAGTCCCAAAGCTCGCTCGACACGCAACAGGAAAAGGTATTCTGTAGAGGGCACCAGCGCGACCATTCAGCGCCATGAGACAACCAGCGAGTAACTGGCCGCCAAGCGAACATGCCAGAGCCTCCCACATACTCAGACCAGCAGACTGACCGGTAGAGGCTGCATACAGGTTACTGACGTTCGCTGTGGCGGCAAACCAAAAGGCAGAGTATGTGATGGATGTCCAGGTGCGGTCCTTGACGGGCGTTGGGCGAATTGAGTCATTGTCGAGAAAGTTGGCTGGTTCGGTTGTTCCATCTGCGCAGTGTTTCTTTACGAGGAGCCGATCGTGGGCTTTGGAGAGGAGTGAAGCCATGTTTTCTCCAACGTTGTGTTGTGAAAAAGGGATCGACTTTGAGCAGTTGTAAATGGAAGACCAGGGTTGATGTTTATAGAATGCAGCATATCAACTTTGGACCAACCACAAATAACGGATCTAGAATTGATAAGGTCGGATCTATACAACCTGATCCTATTGGCGCTGATGCCATGTCCGACGGTCGCCGGTCAGGGTAGTTACACTAGTGACGCTGTTATCTGTGCCCGCAAAAGATAGCCACGCGTATCAGATTGCAGAGCCAGTGCCCGCCCCGTGTAGCCAATACAATCTCGAGTTCTGTGGGTCACAACTGGGAACTGCAAGCGATAGGGGAACGGGGAACTCCGCCACGGATGGCCCCGTCGGCAGTTATGGGTCCCCATCTCCGACGGTCTCCGTCTTGTGCCTAACCTACAGCTGAGCAAATATTGCGCAGCTTCAACGACTCTACTACATCAAAAGCTCGGGTGTTATCTTATATCAAGTCACCAATTCCAGGCCTGTCACTGATAGTAGCGTTCTAAGCATCAATAGCGGAGTTACCAGGAACCAGGTTGTCTGTGTTCAGTTGAGCTCTTAGCATTCACCTGGCATCTGTCTTCCCCACTTTGACTTGATCATCATCAGCAACCTCATCTCATCACCTACAATCTACTCTCTTTGTAATCAAAATTAACAACCATGGCTACTACCACAATCGAGACCACAGCCCCCGTCTCGGCGTTTACAACGGTGCAGCTCATGACACCAGACGGGCCTGTTTCCCGCCGTGTGCGCTGTGGGGCGCCCCGTACTCCGACCCTGGATGAAATGCCCGTCATCGACCTCAGCTCACTTGATGGGGATGCGACCGCGCGCAAGGCCATCGCCACCAAAATCAAAGCTGCTGCCGAGAACACTGGCTTCTTTTACGTTGCAAACCACGGTATTCCTCAGGAATTGATTGAGCAAGCCCTCGAACAGGTCAAGACCTTCTTCAACCAGGAGCAGCAAGACAAGGACCGGGTCTCGTTTGATAAGGCGGGCAAGTTCTGTGGTTATCACGGTGTTGGAAGCACGCAGATCAATAATCAGGAAACAAGAGGTATGCAACTCGACTAGCCATACCTCCCGATTTACTTACGCTGTTATAGACAAGAAGGAAACTTTCTCCATGCGATATGATACTCGTATCGACCAAACCCATAACTGTGTCGACGACATCAATGCCAACTTCTCATCCACAGACTATGTCTGGGACAGGACAAGCCATCTCACAAACTTCCGCCCTGTACTTACCGAGTTCTATCAAAAACGGCTAGCCCTCGCCCGTAAACTCATCCGTTTATTCGCCCTGGCTCTCGACCTACCCGAGGACTACTTCGACTCCATCATCACCACTCCCGGCGCAGACGCAGTGCACATTCACTACCCCGGCACCGACGGCAGCACCGAAGATGTCGACGTGGGTATTGGCTCCCATACGGACATTCAGTGCGTGACTCTGCTCTGGCAGGACATGTCTGGTGGGCTGCAGGTCCTCTCGGCAGATGACGAGTGGCTCGACGCACGGCCAATTGAAGGGACCCTAGTCATCAACATAGGCGACTTTCTGCAGAGGCTCTCGAACAACCGGTTCAAATCCACGGTACATCGCGTGTATAACAGGCAAAAGACGTCCCGCTACGCCATGCCCTTCTTCCTCGGGTTCAACCCGGACGCGGTATGCGAAGTTCTGCCGACCTGTATTGACGAGGAGCATCCTCCCCTCTATGAGCCAATTTCATGTGGCAAGGTAAATTGCACTCCGTGTTCACGTCAAATAGTACTCAGACTAATCGCTTGCAGTGGCGTGACTCTCGTCTGAAGCTGGCTGAAACTCCGGATATAAAGGCACTATGATGAGCAGCATCCATAAATGTGATAGCTGACATCTACGCACAGCTCGTTCATGAGCTCGTATAAGTGGATAATAAGTAAAAGGGATTCAACACAGGCACGGCTAATAAACCTCACGTGGACTGACTCATGGAAACTCCCTGGATTGCTAGTTTAGTTCTCCAACAGAAACAAGCTGCCAAGTTTTTTTAAACATGTATGCTTTCTGGCGATGCTGGTTTAGGCACTCAAGTGGGGGTGACACCATTACCGGCAATATCCCTAAATTAAATATATGTGGTCCTATTCCCTGGCCAGCGAACTTTAAGATCCATCTGAAGACCCTGTGTCGACTTGTCTTGACAGCGGTGAGTAAAGCAGCAATGAAGCTCCATATTGTCTCTCTTGGTATAAGTAAGCAGTGCCCCAAAGTACCAATCCATCTAGTCTGTATCCCTCTTGTATTTTGTTACTCGAGTCAACTACATACTTTATCCCGTTACCGCCACAATGAAGCTCCTCAGTCTCACTGTTGTCTGCCTCCCTGTCGTGTCAGCGAATTATCCCTGGTGGACAAAAGGTGGTTGGGCCAAGCCAGCCGATTTCACACCAAGGAGTGTGCTGGTAACCCCAATACTCAATACTTCTGTGTATGTGATATCATTTAGCTTTTTTGTAACGTGGCTAACTGTTAGAAAGGGTACGTTGTCCGGCACAAGAGGCGAGAACCCTGAACCAAATTCATTTCCTTGGAGGCGCTATCCTTGTGCTTTGGCAGACACTCAGGGACGAGGATGCCACTGGCAGGGTGCTGTTGGAAGTGTAAGTTATTATCAGCTGGACTAAAATGATAATTACTAACTGTTGAATCGGTTATCTGTGTTCGTATTGCGCGTCTTGAGGAGATGAAGTATGTTACTAACCTGCCTTTAGTGTTAAGTGCTATTTGGAAGTATTATCTTCTGTACTGTCAATTGATGGCTATAATTCACGATAAAATTATCAAAGTCCATGCATTTAAGGCACTTAAGCCGCTCCGTACTGCTATAGTTGCTGACTTGTATGGCCTCCAACTGCATATAAAGATGCCAGAGAAATGCTATTTAATTAACACATCAAAAAAAGGCATTACATTATATTGGGAAGAGTGACCCCAAGGATTTTATATGTAGCCTGGATATATGCAGCCGGGGAAGGATGTGCTGTATTCAGCATCCTGTTCATTGTATATGCAATTGTGAGCCTTCGATCACAATCCATAACCAGGATCGATCCACCCCATCCGCTTCCCCATCCGACCCTTCCGTTCGGGAGCTGATCTTCGACAATCCCGGACCCGGGCCCAGTAAGATAAATCCCCAGTCCACGCCTCCCGCTCCGCCCTGTCACCAAATCGATCCCCTTCGCATGTTCAGTAAGGGCCAATTCCACCGTCTCAGGAGTGAGAAGGCAGTGATCACCTCCCGCGCATATGCCGCCGAGCGAGTAGCAGGAGAGGATCTTGACTAGTGTCCTGGCGTTTGTGTGGCCATTGACTGAGCCCAATACACTGGATCGCCACAGCGCCGTGTTGGCGTCCTCGGCCCTGGGCGAGGGGTTGCAGAGCGTTCGAGCGACGATGGAGTCTTGCTCATATCCCGCCTGTGAGCTGAGTACCTCCTGGATTGAAGGTCCCGGTGGAGGTACAACGGGGGCCACGCGACTCCAGTCCTCCTTGAGGCAGCCGAGCTGAAAGTCATTCCCAACACCCAGTGGCCGACAGATCTCCTCCCTAATGAATTCGTCGATAGACATTCCCGTCTTCCTTCGCACCAGCTCTCCTACAAGGAATCCCTGTGTCAGACCATGGTAGCCCATTCTACTTCCAGGAGTCCACATGGGTTTCTGGTGAGCCAACTTATCAGTCGCCTCCCTGAGGTCGCAGATGTCCTCCAGTGTCATGTCGTCCTCCCACGCGCTGAGACCTGCTGTGTGGGCTAACACTTGGCCCACCGTGACCTCGGATTTCCCATTTGCTGCAAATTCGGGCCAGTGCTGAGAAACTCTATCCTCGGGGCGGAGCACGCCACGCGATATCAGAATCAAAGCCGCCAGATTGGTTACTAGCTTTGTGGTCGAAAAGACATTAACCAGTGTGTCTTTGCCCCATGGCTTCTTGGTCGATGCATCGGCGTAGCCCCCCCATATATCTACAACGTCATCACCGTCGATGTTGACACAAAGACTGACACCGATATCTTGCCCGGATGCGACAAACTCCTCCATCATATCGCGGAGTTTGGAAAACCGGGTATCACAGTACCCTTGAATCTGAGCCATCCTTAAAAGCGAGGATTTGCTGTAATTATTGAGGAAGTTGCAGCAAGGCTTAAAGATAAATAAAGAAGACGTGCTTCTCAAAGCTTGCTTGAACCAGATATGGTGCTATAGCTGTAGACAGACGTGTTGTGCTAAAATGCACTTGTTTTTAAATGTGTTATTAGCAGCCAGAGTCATTTCCCCTCGCCCGAAAAGTCGGACCGAGCGTGCCGAGCGAATGGGGCTATTACATCCTACTCCGTACTTGGGTTGAGTGTGCATTTCCCCATGATGAAGGAAACGGTGGGTCTATTGTGTGTATACGAAGCGAGTGCGAGTGCGCTATAAATAGCCTTACGTTGTACCGATTACTAGCGCCTTGCTCTTCGCTGCTAGCTGAAAGACTGGCACATTTTAGTGGCCACTGAAAGATATAGTTAATCTGGCCCTTAAAAGGTTATTGAAAGCACAGCATACCAGTGAGATGTATAATAATCTAATTAAGGCATACCTCTTAAACTAGTATCTTCTTTATTTTCTAGAATATTCAACAGCTATGTTTCTTAAGCCTTAAATCCATTGGTAAAGCGTCAGAGGATGGACTTTTAAATGTCTTTAATTTATCATCTTTAAGGGCAGGTAGGTCCCTCGACCCTCGATTAATAGCCCTTTCCATCACATGGCCTTGGCCTTCCATCATTCCTTGGGGCTGTCCAGATTATCCTGGTTAGTCGCTCTGATATTCCCTCTCCCCTTGACCCTGCGTTTTGGAGTCATTTTTATTCTGGTCGTGGCTAAAGGCACAGCCTTGGTCCTCATATCGACAATAGCCATAAATAAGTGCGTTTCGGCATAGTGTATTTTTATTCTCTGGGAGAGCACTGTGGTCGGTATCTCGGTAATGTGTGATGACCTCTCGCTCAATTGTTGGGCCTCGGAGGACTTGCGGTGGAGGATATGGAGATGGAGGAGCACCCCTTTCGCGACTGGTGGTCCTAATGTAGATACGCTCGCGTTCATGGACAGAAGGTAAACCAGGAGGAGGCGATGTACTCCGCTTCCCGGGCTTCGGGCTCTAGATTGTTGTTAGCAATGTGTTCCATACAGTGGCTGTATCGTATCTCAACTCACCTGATTACCAAATGAGTCATAGTAGTTGTGAACAGGTTTGAATAGCTCCAGCAGTTCATCCAAATCCTTATCCCCATGGCCATGGAAACGTGACGGTGATTTGGCATGACGCCTATCTGTCTCGCGCACCGACTCAAACTCATGCTCATCACTCCAGTAAGGCGTCTCTTTTCGTAGATATTTGTCCCGCTTCTCACGGATGAGTTTGGTATGCTCCCACATGCGGTCTTGTTCCCATTCGGGCACCCGCCGCCTGACTAAGACGTATTCGGGGTCTGCGTCGAGATCGAAGCCAACATTGAATTCTCGTAATGTCTCGAGAGATAGATGTTTTCGAGCAAAGCGAGTATATGTCTCTTCGAAATCTTGAGCAACGGGGCCAGCTTCGTCAGAGGGTTCGATGGGAAGCCGCTCCTGCTCCTTGGATCCAATCGGGACCTCAATCTCGAGTATGTCGGCCATGATATCGTCTAGAATTCTCTTCTGTAAATTTTCCTCAAACTTCTTTAAAAGCTGCGTCCTTGACTGCAAAGATAGATTCGATAACTGCTTCGCGATTCTGGCCTGGAGAGTCTTTCTTTCGATCTTGGATAATGGTACGCGGTTTCGAATCTCGGCTGGCTCAAATGTAAGCTGACCAGAAGAGATCGGAGCGGCGGCTGATGGCATGGAATCATGCCCACCTGGCACCTCGTCAACGGTAGCGTCGCCTTCACCATCCTTTTCGAAAGTCATAGCATGCCGACCGCTTGTATCGCCTATTTCTGGTAGCTCACGAGCTTTGGAAGAAGTCTCACAATTGTCATCGTAGGCTAAAATAGCGACCAGCTCAGATGCCCAATCGTTCAGCTCGCCACTCTCGTCGCCATCCTTTAGCTGCTCATTTCCGATGCCAGGAAGAGCAAATAGAGCCAACTGTTCAAGATGGAGCCCAACATGCTTGATGTATGACTTTAGCTCTGAAATAGGTTGTCTGCAAAAAGGGCATTCTTTAATGACATCATTTAAAACAGACACCTTGCCGCGAGCCACGACAGTACTTATATGCTCGTCGCTCGCGTTTGGCAGGTGCTGATGGCGAATGTGATCACCGAGTTGAACCCCAGATGTGAACGTGCTACTACAGTTAAATGGACAAGACCATGTGTGCCAGTGATACTGGGATACATGGAGCTGCCATAGATGTCGTCGATCAAAGTCCATATTTGATTCGACACACCTTGAGAAGAGACAAGTATACGGACGGAGGTCTCCAAAGATGTGGCGTCTATGATAAGCGTTAGATATGAGCAGACTGACGACAGAGTAGCACCTACTTCCATGCCCCTCGGGTGTTCGCTGATATCATCCTGTAACAGTATGGACATTCAAAGATACCCGTATCTGCCTCTTGTGGTCGTGGAGGAACCTTGAGTGGAGAAGCCGGCTTCATCTCTCCATCTTCCAGCATCAAATAGCCAGCCGAGCTAGCATATGATGTCTCAGACGTGGCTATATCGGATCGGCTGTCCTCATCAATCACACCGGATCTCGTGAAGCGCTCTGGAAGTGAGGAGGCCACAGTGTTGGGTACAATTTCTGTCCGACTCGTATCCTTCTGAATCTCTTCATCCAGGCCTGCCGCCAATTTAGCATGGTGTGCCTCTCGGTACTTGAAGAACTGGCGCCGGCGGGTGATGGACTTTCCCAGGATGTCGGGCAACTCCTGACTGATATTTGGGAACTTGTCTTGGACGTAACAGATATCATGTGCCTCGTAGAAGGATACGTCCTCGTCGGGGCCGGCGCCGAGCTTTCGGAATCTCTCATGTGGTGCTGGATTGGCGATGGCGAGAGATAGTCGTAGAAGGCAGTCGATGGCCTCGGCGATATCGGTGCAGAACATTGATAGTCTTTTGTTTGTTGGAATACTCTCATCATCATCTAGGTCGATGAAGCTATCTTCGCTTTCTCGATCTGAGCCCCCAGGAAGAGACTCGAGCTTATTCTCATTATTTTCACTGTTCTTTGGGGACTCCTTTTGCGGAATGAGGATTATAGTATCCTCTAGGGATTCTGATATGTCGCGCAGAAGATAGATGACCTGGTCTTGTATATGAGGTGCCTCTCTTAACCGATGATCCAGCGATGCCGGGCCGCTCTGATGAGCTCCTAGGTTCCCAGCCCACATCTTGAAGCGGGTGTTCTCGTTCTCCAAGGCCATTAACAGCTCGGATAAACCTTCAGACTCGATCTTATCGTCCAGAGAATCGATCTCATGGCTGAACGATGTTTCAACCGTCCGGAAAGACCTGAGCACGTTTCGGACATTGTGCGCAATTGGCATTTGCTCCTGGTTACTGTCCATGGCGACAAAAAGCCATGAGCAAGGCCAGGTGGCTGAAAGAGATGTTTCCTACAGGCCGATTGTTGGTAAGAAAGTGCTGTTGCGTTCTGTTGCGATCGACCTTGACTTTATAACAAAGACCCGACACGAGATCAGAACCAGCAAGTTCAGTTAAAAGCTCATCAGATCAGGCTCGCATACATTGCCATTCTCAGTGTCGTGCGGGGTTGTTTGAAAGCGGCTTTATCATTGGACTGGGCATATGCAGGTCGTAAGATGGCCGCTCCATCAGCCTCAGTAACCGCTCACAGGGCTCTCCGCTCTCTAAATCAACAACCCTCGAAAAAAACGAGGATGAGAAATGACTGATGTCTGGATTCGAGATTGCAGGTATAGTCCTGGGGACGCTTCCCCTAGTCGTCACAGCCCTGGAAGCCTACAGCAACCTTTTACGCGACTGGGGCAAGGCTCCGGCCGAGCTGAGGAGCCTAAACCGACAATTGTCGACTGAGCGGGTGAGATTGTGCAACGTCTGTGAGCAGCTCATCAGCGATGTTGTATCGCATCGAGATATTGAGCCGATGCTGCAAGATCCATTTGGACCTCTCTGGCAGGCCAAGGAGACTAATGATAGGATTCACCGGAGGTTATGGGACTCGTACGGCCCCTTCGAAGATACCATCAAGGAAGTCGAAGAAGCGCTTCAAAGTGTGACGATGCGGCTCAGAATTGACGTATCACCCGACGGGACGGTGAGGGACCGTGTTCCTTGAAAGGGCTAATAACTGACTTTATGCAGGTAAAATGGATTGACCGTAAACGAGTCCCAAGGGACTTCAAGAAGCTACTTTACCGCTTGAACCGAAAGGACTACCAAGAAGCTCTTGAAACTATCTCAAAAGGAATCACAAGCCTGGAGGGCCTGACGCAGCAGAGCGTCGGCCTTGAGCCCAGACGCCGGAAGCAGTCTCGATGCAAGGTGTTCAAAGTTTTGCGGGACCTCTCAGCGAGCTTCTATAGAGCTCTGTGCTCTAGTATTCTTTGCGCCGATTCACACGATGTCAGCCTAGAGTTAGCGACGCGATTTATTGAGGTCGGACATGAGTGTGACGATGAAAGAATTGTTCAAGATGCTCAATTCAAACTGGCTATCTCTTTCGAAGTCGCCAAAGGCCCGACAAGCAAGATGTTCTGGGATGAAGTCAATATCAAGGCGGTGTCCGTATCGATGACCACGCCGTCCGCGCCACGTGTTGTGGCTGCAAAGACGAAGAGTGCGAAGCGCGTCTCTTTTGGTATTGATCGGGCTCTATCTCGCTTGAATCTTACGGAACCTGCTACGGAGCTCAAGTCCAATGTCAAGACTGCCATGGCTATCATGACTCGGCCTGCTACCGACTTTGCATACATCAAGTGTCCTGAAGAAAGCAGTGTCAGGCCAACAATAAGCCCTCTAAACCTTTGTCTGACTCTACAAAAGGCCCACCAAGAGAGACCTGCTTGTTACGGCCACTTGATCGACAAAGAACACAGCCACCGCCACTTCCAGGTTTGCCCGCTAGGAACGGTAGTTAACAGCGATGGTTGGTCGATAGTAACTCTTGAAGATGTTCTTGAGGGCAAGCGGGGCCTTCGACCATTGATATCGTTAGCGGAGAAGGTCAAGTTAGCACTCGTCATCGCCTCTAGCGTGCTTCAGCTGAGTAAGACGCCTTGGCTTCCTGAGGCCATAACTTCAAAGAATGTGCATTTTTTCAGACGTGGAAACACGCTCTCATACGAGCACCCTTTCATACAGAGGAGACTACCCGAGTGCCCACTGAAGCGCGTCAGCCACACGTCGGAAAGCACAAACTACTCTATATCAAGCAACGTAACACTCCTTGCACTCGGAATGCTGTTGCTTGAGATTATTCTCGGTTGTTCGCTTAACCAGCTACGGCTACCAGATGAGAAAAGCCCTGATAATGATAACGATGGGCTTATTCAGGACTTGACAGTTGCAAATCGGATGCTCGAGCAGAGAGTAGCCTTAATCAGCCCGGCGTATAAGGCGGTGGTTGAACGGTGCATAGGATGTATGGAGTCTAAAGGTCTGGAAGACGATGGCTTTCGCCAGACGGTATATAATGGCGTTGTTATGGAGCTGGAAGCAATCTGGGATGATACAAAGCTCATTTAGGCTAAGCTTAGGCTATAATTAAGGTAATACTTAATAATATTAACCTAAAAAGGCTTTATTATTTAGAAAGTGATAGCGCATACAAATCATACATTAATACTAAACCTGAGACATACATTAATGCCTGACATAGCCTAAAAGAGGGGTAAAAACTCACCGGTTACGCCATTTAGTTCTATTATGTATCCTGCAACGGAGCCCAACATTTTCCGGAGGAGCCTTGTCGGCTGTTTTTACTACTAATATGTGGTAGTCAACCCGTTCATTCACATAGTAGTAGAGCTATCGACTCAAGCTACTAAGTTCTCTCTGCTGATTTAATATCTCAGCCAAAATCTATTTTGTTGACATGGAGACCAATCCAGAAATTATCCAGCCTGCAGTGTCGCAGGACGACCAAGCTGTCGCAGTCTTTCTCATCCATGATGGCGGCGGTACAACATTTTCTTACCACTGTCTGGCTCCTCTTGACCGCCCTGTTTATGGGATTTATAACCCCAACTTTAGCAGTGGAGAGCCTTTTGATGGTGGACTTTGCGATATGGCCCGTTTCTACGTTGATTTAATCGTAGAAGCTGTGGGCAAGAATGACTTCCCTAAGCGATACGATGCCAATGGGAGGGTTCAGGTTATTCTTGGTGGCTATAGCATGGGCGGCCACTTGAGCTTGGAAATGGCGCATCAACTGGATAGCAAAGACGCCAACATCAAAGTCATCGGCATCCTCATGATCGACACCGTTTACCCCCAGAAGCAATTGAACGGAACCGTCAGAAACACCGCAAGTGAAGAATCTGTGGAGGAAGAGGATAGGTCTCACATTCTTGCCCAGCGCGCAATAGCTGATGCGAACCGCATGATAGATGCGTGGACACCTCCAGTTTGGAATGCAGACTCTGCAGAGCGTCGTCCCCGAATCATCCTGCTTCGGGCCAAGGAGGCTGTACCGCTGGATAGAGACGGAACTATGCACTTGGGTCGAAAAGAGCGGAACCTGGGATGGGACATGTATGAGAAGGATTTGTTTTTCAATGTGGCAGACATCGAGGGGCATCATTTTGAGATCTTTGCATTCAGGTACCTTGACGGTATTTCGGATAGCACCAAAGAGGCCTTGGATGCTCTGGAGAATGCAGCGTTGAAGGATTGAGCCACAGGGGCCTAGCAATCAATTTTCAAGTGCGTTCATTGAGGAAACAGCATATCAATTGCACATGTCTAGTCTATTACAAAGAAAAAAGCTATCGGGTGGAATCTGTACCTAGCCGAGTAGATAGCGTTGGTTGCTTGAAAATATCCATGACGGTCATCTTTATCCCAGCCTGCTGAGCTTTTCTGACAACCTTGAGCGCAGCAATTGAGTCGCCTCCAAGTTGAAAAAAGTCATCATCTAATCCAATAATGTCTGGCTTCACGCCTAGTACATCAGCCCAGATCCCCTGCATCTTGCGCTCGACATCCGAAGTCGGCTGCCTCTTCAAGTCATGCCCTGAAGTTTGCTTCCTCACCAAGTCTTGGACAGAGAGAGTTGCTCCGATTCTTTTTAGCTCTCGGCGGTCGGTCTTCCCCGTACTTGATGTAGGTAGCTTGGGGAGGTAGATGAAGGCGCTCGGCCTCATATGTCTGGGCAAGCGCTTGGACAGCTTGAGATATATGTCTGAAGGAACAGGAAGAATTTTGGCGTCGGCAGGACTAGAAGCATCCTCATTGAACATGATGCCCTCATTCGCTTTGAGGAAGATGACCAGCATGGGGCTTGGTGTCTCTCCGCGTGGTAAGATGACCTCGGCAATCACTGTCGTCATCTCCTGCATGCACCTCTGGACGTAAACCTCAATCTCTCCAAGTTCAACTCGCTGTCCGTGAATCTTGACTTGTGTATCTTTTCTCCCAACGTAAGACAAGCTTCCATCGTGGTTGAACCGTACCAAATCGCCTGTCTTGTACATTCTTCCACGGCGACCCGCTTGACCATTACTACCATTCAAGAGCCATTTCGGATCTTGGATAAATTTAGCGGCGGTCTGCTCTGAGTTACCAAGGTAGCCGCGGCTAACGAGTGGACCTTCAAGAAGCAGTTCGCCAACGTATCCCGGAGGTACAAAGACCTCATGGTCATGCTGGTCTACTACCCAGGTCAACAACCCAGCTCCTTTTCCTATTCTGGTTGCCTCCGCTGGCGTCGAGGCATCTGCATTGATGGTACTGATTTGACACTCTGCAGGCCCGTAGATATTGACAACTCTCACGCGACCCCACCAACGAGTGACATCTTCCAGCGCTACAGCCTCTCCACCTAGAATGACCGTTTCAAGGCATGGTACACCAGCTGGATCAACGAGGCGCGCCACGGAAGGCGTGAGATCAACGACAGTGGCCCTCATATCCGCCATAGCCTTTGTAAGATCGCCCCAACGATCTTTGTCTGAAGGAACACATAAGCAACCGCCCGAGGCAAGCGTAGCAAAGACATTATGCACCGCAATATCAAAGGAGTAGGCGGCAAAGTCAAATACCCTGATTTTATTGTGGAATCCAAGAAGTTTGCACTGATGCTTCAGCATGGAGCAAAAGTTGCTATGTGTCAGCGTCACACATTTGGGCTTTCCTGTGGTGCCCGATGTGAACACTGCGAACATTATATTTGAGGGGCTTTGCAAGCTTATCTCGCCAGATGCAGAGTCGAGAGAAGCGGCCACCTCTGAACTTATCTCAATGACTCTTTTACACAGCCGTGAGCTTAGCACGACATTTGAGGATGAGGATATTATCACGTCCGTCTCCAACTGACCAACAATAGTGTGGAGACGCTCTGCTGGCAGGCTGGGTTCCAGGAGTGCAAAGCCTGCGCCGGCCTTGAGAACAGATAGCATGGTCACAGCTGTCCACATTGACTTTTCGAAGCATAGTGGAATCAGAGTGTTGGGCTGTATGCCAGCATCGACGAGATGGTGGCCAATCTTTGTAGTTAGATTGTCCAATTCCATGTACGTGAGCCCACCATCCCAGGCGCATATTGCTGGCGCGTTAGGCTGGGCGATGACGTGTTGTCGGATGAGTTCATGGGCGCACAGTTCATATGACGCAGGATATTGACTATTCCAAGTCCACAGCAGGTCCAGGTCATCGGGTGTTGTTATGTTGACCTCTTTCAACGTCGTGACTGAGTCATAGGCGTTGTCAAGTTGCTGCATTCCATATTCGAGACGGCTTAACAATCCACGAACCATGGACGATTCAACCACTCTTTGATCGAAACTAGCACTTATGTGGATTTCCTTTTCACCAATACGTATCTCAAGCGTAAGGGCATACGTGTTGAGCCAGCGATGCTGAGGAAGTGCCTTCCAAACACCTAGCCCCTCATCTTGTCCTGTGCTGCCAGATCTGTCTGGTTGAATGACGAGAAGCGATTGAAACATGCATGCATTCTTACAACCAGGTGACATCCTTGCGATGTTGTGCAGTCCTGCTTGTTCAAAAGCCGCCACGTCTGCTGAATGTTGGTGGATGGTGTTCACATAATCTGATACTTTTTGGGAACAAGACAGGTTGACGCGAAGTGGAATTGTCGCAAAGGTTGGAGCCACAATAGCTTCTACCCTGTCTACCGGAGCATTTCTTCCCGACGTTGTGACACCGAAGACTGCCTCGTCCGAAGCGTTGATGCGTCCTATGACCAGGGCCCATGCCGCGTGGATCAAAGCCGTGGTTGTGATGCCGTTTGAGAGCCGCTTGGGCTGCGAAAAGTCATGCTGCACGATCGTGTCTGCTACCGGTTGGTCTATCGATGGCGGTAGAGTTGGGAATGTTACGGAACCGCAGTCATGAAAAACACGCTTCCAGTACTCAGACACCCTTTGGGGATCCTTCTTGTTGATGTGCTGGATGAAGGATTGGAATTGGGGCCCTGGCTCGACTAGTACCCCTCCAAGTGCGTCGAGGACTGCATCCTTGATCAAACCAACTGACCATCCGTCGTAGAGAGCATGATGTGCCGTCCACACGAGCCATCTCTTGGTGCCCTCATTCTCTTTGATCCAGGCAAAGCGACTGAATGGTTGACCGAAGTCCATGATGTTCCTTCTATCTGCTTCAAGATACTCATCCAACCCTGTAAATGTGGCCCAATGAATATTTTCGTCAAGGACAATTTGGATAATTCCCAAGGTGTCGTGATGCACAAATCTGGTACGTAAAATGGGCATCGTGCAAACAACCTTTGACCATGCAGCTTGGACGTCATGCTCTGAGATGTGCGGCGCTAGTTCCAGCACAGATTGTTCTACACATGCGCCTGGTCTTGCAGAGGCCAGAGATATCAAGCCTTCTTGCAGGGGGGTGCATGGGTAGGCATCTTGGATCTTGACTGGATCTATGCCATGACGGCTCGCGACATCGTCGAGGAACGACCTGACATCGACTGAATTCTCCAGGAGAGCGAAAGGTGGGATGAATGCATGGACTTGGTCCAGCTCATGCACACTTGTATCAACCAAATCATGAAGGACTGGGTGTCGAATGATGTCTGCAACTTCCAGCTTGATGCCAGCCTTGCGTGCCTCACCAACCAATTTGATAGCAGCAACACTGTCACCTCCAAGATGGAAGAAACTATCATCTAGTCCGATATGAACAGGTTCAATCTTGAGTACTCGGCTCCATAGCAATTGCATAGTCTTCTGCATGTCAGAAGTAGGTTGCCATTTGGGTCCGGCCGATGTTCGTAGCTGAGCGAGCTGCTCGGCCGACATCGAGGCGGCTATCTGGCGCAATTCTTTGCGGTTGACCTTTCCAGTAGCCGTTACGGGGATAGAATTCATGGTAAAAAGGGTGGCTGGTATCATATAAACCGGAAGATGATGACTGAGCTTGGCCTCCAGGTCCGCAGGCAAACGAGAGGCGACGGCTTCCGCAGCCTCTGCTGTCTCGCCTTCCAGGAATGCCACCAAAGTCGGACTTGTATCAGTTCCTTGTGGTGTTATGACTTCGGCTACGGCCCTGTTCGAACTTGAGAGCTTCTTGAGCCAATGTTCAACTTCTCCAAGTTCAACTCTTTGGCCTCTGATCTTGACTTGTGCATCTTTGCGTCCCAAGAACCTAAGGGTTCCGTCGTCACTGTACTGAACGAGGTCCCCCGTTCTGTACAAGCGACCATGCCTTCCAGGGATGTTAGATACCGCCGAGCCACTCGTGACTCCTTTGAGGAGCCAGTCGGGATCATTTATGAACGCCGCAGCAGTTTCCTCAGGCTGATTCATATAGCCACATCCCACGAGTGGCCCCTCGAGCAACAGCTCACCAATGTATCCAACAGGCTGCAACCTGTTGTGGTTCTCTGGATCCACGATCCAGGTGTTCAACCCCGACCCCGTACCAATACGGAGAACGTCATTCATGCTGGTGGGATTCCCATTGATGACTGCATTCGAAGTGCACTCGCTCTGACCGTACAAGTGGATAGTGTGCACTTTGCCCCACCATCGAGCAACCTCTCGTGTAGATATAGCTTCACCCCCAAAGATGATAACCCGTAGGTCGGGCACTTCATCAGGATCCAGAAACTGCATAACGGATGGCGTCAGGTCTACAATGTTGACCTCAAGGGATCTGATGACCTCGGCCAGTCTGTTTCGTCGATCGTCTTCACTCGGAACGCACAGACAGCCACCGAGAAGCAGAGCCCCGAAGACATTGCTGATAGTTGTGGTGAAGCTATATGAGGAAAAGTCGAGGATTCTGGACTTTGTGTCGAATCGGAGGACTTCAGACTGGTGGTGAAATGCTGAAGCGGCGTTGGCGTGCGAGATCATGGCACATTTTGGTATCCCCGTGCTTCCGGAGGTGAAAATCACGTACATCAAAGATGTCGGGCTCTGCTGGGCTGACGGCCAGTCCGAGTTCTGAGCAGGCTCTTTCAGGCTCTCGGGTTCGAGGACAAAGACTGCTTCGGCAAGTCGCGATCCCAGGTCGAGATTAGACTTGGAGGCCAATATCAGGTTTGGGTTGACGGTCTGGACCATGTATTGGAGTCGTTTCTCCGGGAGTGATGGGTCCAGGAGGAGAAAGGCTCCCCCGGCCTTCAGAACACCGAGTAATGCGACTATTGTCCACATAGATTTGTGGAAGCACAGCGGCACTATAGTGCCGACTTGCACACCAGAGGATGAAAGCTTCCGAGCCAAGGCCGTAGAAAGCCTATCGAGCTCACCGTATGTCAGCTCGCCATCCCAAGAACAGACTGCCTGTGCATCAGGCTGAGAAGCTGCAATGTCTGTGAAGATGTCATGAACACATCGTTTGATCTGCTCAGGAACGTGTTGGTTCCAGCGCCAGATTATGTTGAGATCTTGAGGTGTGACCATTTCTACTTCCGCCAGTTTACTTTCGGCATTGGCATTAGCAAGCTGATGCATCGTATGCTCAAGGCGCTGGAACAAAGCTTTGACCAAAGAGGGTTTGAATAGAGTCGACGTGAAACTTGCTTTCCCATTGAGTCCTTTGGTACTTCGATGCAGATCAACGACGAAAGGATACTTCATCGACAGATCTTGCATCTGGAGTGCAGGAAGCTGTTCCGAGGTGTTGTCTGATGGACGAATAACGAGTAGTACTTTGAGTTCAGTGGTTGCAGACCCATCTAGGCCATTCACCTTCAACTGTCCTCTTGCGTCTTCATGCTGCCGCTGCACGGATAGAAGGTATTCAGAAATAGTCTTCTCGCCTGCGGTTTCAACGCAGAGCGGTACAACAAACATGCCTCGGTTTGTCCAGCTCTGCAGTGCAGCATCAAATATCACAGTGTCGTCAGAACCCAACTGTCGGCTGACGACCAATCCCCATGCAGAGAGGATCAAGGACGACAGTTGACTGTCGGAAACATGCCCACGCAATGGTGAGAATTCATGATCCACGACATCGTCAGATGCTGTATGCGCCACGCACGAAGCTGAGTACGGGTCGGTATCCCCTTTCAGCACAGTATGCCAGTCAACTGTAAGCTGGCTTGTGCCGAGTGAACCCATTTTTTATGCTTGTGATTTGACTTGGTTGTAGGATGAGACGGCTCTTTATGCCTACAACGACCAAAGTTGTGTAGGGCAGACAAAATTCAATTATATTCTTAATTTTTGTGGCCGTGAATGTTCTAAATCATACATCGAGACAAGTCTTATAAATCTCCATTCTGGGCTTGGGCCTTTTCTCCGTTCCATTCGGGAGTTTAGTACAGGGTGAGGCACATGCTAGCCTCGCCCATTCTGTCCCTTGCACGGCCATGAGACACCTCGATTTCCTGCCCACGATTTGAAGCTCCATCCTCCAAGGCACATAGACCTTGAGAAACGGATCTGCAGTTGCCTTATCTTACGAATACAATTGTGTCGCTGCTTTGATGCAGGTATGCAGGCCCGATATGGTACGCCAGTACCTCCGCTACAGATGTACAGGTTGCATGTACGTAACCCAGAAAAAGCAAAATTACGCCACTTGCACTCCATGTCATGGCTCATCGCTGTGATCTCTTTTCTCTTTCATTTCACCAATCAAAATACAATAATGTCTTAGAAGCCCCTTCCTGCATGCAGTCAGATCCGATTTGATCGATATGGCTCACCGAGATACAGGGGTCCAAATCTACGAACGCCATTCATAAGAGGATCGAAGAATACATACATATTCGATTTCATGCATACATTGTTTATCAATTTCTGGCGGTGTGAAGAGATGTGAAGAGCGAATGCATGTGACTAAGGCGCTTCCGGATGCAGTGCAACCCAGCTATTCGGCTGGCAGCTCTTTTAGAAGTTCTCTCAGTGTCTGGAGAATCGCCAACCCCCGCGCCACTGCGGCCCTCTCTTCACTCACCCCCCATGCATCAGGAACCTGGATACCACCTCGTCTACCCAGTATCATCTCTGCGACTGCAGCTCCACATCTTGCCGCCACCGGCATGCCGTGCCCTGTATATCCCGCACTGATCCATAGCCCTGTATCCTCAGCCCCAAATTTCCCCTTGTCACTGGAACTACCAATTAGAGATCCCTGTAAGCGCCCAACCCAAGGTCCACCATCGCTGGAATAGCCCATGATCCCGGTCCATTCGTACTTGGCATCCAGTACCTGGGCTTCGACACCATTGCCATTCTCATGAGGCAGCATGAGTGCATCACTGACGCACCGATGGAGAGCCTGACTGATGATCGGATTGATCTCGTCATCATTGCATACACCTTCCTCTCCATCAAGCCGCTCTGCCAGTCGCTCACCGCCAAATATGATTGACCTATCCGCTGAGCTCGCAGACCTGTCTTGGGTATCTTCCGGCCCACGGTGAATCAAGTATTGGTGATCGGCGCCCTTCATCCAAACGTAGCTGTGCGGGAGCTGCGTGGTCCCTGCGGGCGGCTCAAGTGCACAGACTTGTCCTCGCACGGGCGTGATGAGGCCCGACATTCCAGGAACCAGATGTGACGTGTACGCGTTGGTCGCGAGAAGCACATGTCGAGCTTGTACCTGGCCACGCTTAGTATGCAGGCTCCATGACAACTGACCACGTTCGATGCGATCAACCAGGGTGTTTGTCTGTAGATTGAACATGGATGCATCGTGCTGATCAAGGAGAGACTCGAGAATCCATGCGACGAGTTTGTAGGGCCAGCACTTTGCAGCATTCGGCTGGAATACCGCGGCTATGGCCTCAGGGACATGTTTTCGGGCAAGCTCGTCCTTGTCCTGGATGAGGATTGCCTTATCCTGGAGGTCTGGATATTTCTGCAGGCGCTCCATCTGCTGCTTAACAGCTCCCAGCACCTCTTCCGAGAAGATGGGATGCACACCTCCAATGACTTGCCAGTCACATGGAATGCTGTACTTGGCAACCAGATTGGCGATGAGATCAAAGGTGCCAAGTTCAAAGCGGGCCACATCAGCAGGGGCATCCCATACAGCGGGTTGACAGTGACCTCCGTTCTAGTAATACTTGGTAAATATCTGTACTCATTCTGCCCTGATCAGGGAGACAAAAAGAATTGGCAGAGAAGGACTCACACGCCCTGTTGCACCCCAGCACGCCTCTCGGGCCTCGAGCATGAGGACGCTTCGACCTCCAGAAACAAGCTCTCGTGCGGCAAAGGTACCCGTGATGCCACTACCAATGACAACTACGTCGGCTGTGGTCGGGAGCTCTTCAGTAGTGCGGTGACCCAACAGCCGGTCAGATGGATCGCGGTGCCAGTAGGAGCGAGTGCTGTTGGAAGATGGCGGCCTAGCCCGTCTACCGGTACCATTCTGGGTTGCCTTGGCCGAGGTGTTGGTCATAGTAAGGATTGAAGAAACTGGACTGCTGCTGGAAACGTGTAGAGCTTGTACCGGTGTCTGAAGAAGCGGTGTTTTGATGGGCACTCCTTTACTCAATTTATGCAGGTTGACGAGGGGTACCATATCTTGGTCACATTATCTACGCCTACTCGTGCTTTACCTTGAGGCAATTTACCCCTCTTGTTCCACTCATGGACTGATGCATCGTCACACCATTCGATATGTAAGGCTAGGTGGCGTGGGGGATGGAGTTGGAGCCGTTATGGTACAACCCAAGATACAGTGCCAAGCACTGAAAGGCCTCGTAATCTTTGTGAGGGGCTCATGGCTGAGATACACAGGGTACACTGCACATCTTCACTTCCCAGGATCTCCACAGCCGGGATCAGCCATACGCATTCTACAAGACCAGGGTAGCACCACCTACCCCGCATCTACGTAGCATTCCGACATTAAGAACATAGTGGATCTACGATCAGATCTTGATCAAGGTCATCCTGAAAGTAGAGATGCGACAACGTGCTGTGTAGCCGCCCAGAGTAATTTACGCTTTTACCATACGACCTCTAATCTAGACATAACTAAATACACACCTAAAAGCCAAACTCAATCAAGAATCTGAGAAACCTGGCATCGTTGCAATTGCCCGTACTATTCCTAAATTCTAGTGCTGAGACTACAGGTGCTTTCAAGTTAATTTCTTTGTCTTCTGTAGAAACTCCTCGTAATCGTGGTACTGTATTATTAGCACGTGGTTCACCCATGTAGAATGCACTCACTCACCGCATCTTCGACCATCTGTCTGGCATGAGGCAGTGCTCGTCTTCCGCAACCGGGAATTCCTCTAGGATTCGTTTCAAACACCCGCCATACGTGGCTATTGGGCGGACCCCGAGTTAGACAGTTGTAGAGGCTTCTGTCCGTGAATCGTAGCTTCAGATTGCGCAGACTGAACTTAGGACCAGCATTTTCGTACATTCCCGTGCCAGCCATGTCGTGCAGGAACCGGTAGAAAGGATACGGACGGATCAGTCCAGCGTGTGCTGATGGCTCCTTGATGCGTCCGAGACGCCACCAAGTATGATAAGCGTCCACCGATGTGTTCATATCAGCCACGCTCGGGAGCTGTGCGAGTTTTCTGTAACCCCGTGGCGGCGCTGGAGATCCTTGTTGGATAGAAGTCTCAGCCGCCCAGATCTGGGTCACAGCCATGGACGCGAGTTCGCACACGCACCATGCTGTCTCCAGAGCTGAGATCCAGCTAAGAAACGCAACAGATGAGGCCCAATTTGGAGGAAAGATCATGTGGTGTAGTCGCGGAAGGGAAAGCTCCTTCGGCACGCCAGCCTCATTCATCTTGTTGGCTTGGCCAGCTGTTGTCAGGGGCACGCCACAAGCTCCGTCCATTTCTAGCTCTGGCATGAGGCTGTAGTCGAGGGTATAGCCAGTACAGAAGATGACAGCATCAACTTCAACCGTGGACCCGTCGCCGAGGAGCACGCTGCTCTCGCCCACAAAGGCCCTGAACCCGTGTACAGGAGCGACAGCGCCTGAGTAGAGTGCTCCCATGAAGTCGTCTTGCACAGCAGGATGCGTGAACTCCATGTTGGCGTGTGGAATAAGACGCCATTCTCCCCTAATTCTTTCTTCGGCGCGTTTATATCTTTGGCTCTCCGATAAACTGGTGTCAAGGTCGTAACGTGCCATGTCTCGGAACATGGTCTCCTCCGTGAGGCGGTTAGCCAAACGATTGGCAATACATGGCACCTTATGCTCTGTCATGTATTTGAACTGCAGAGAAGTCCAGGGAATGAGGTCTGTAGGCACGCCGCTGTCGTCGTATCGTGAGATGATGATTCGGCCGCGGCGATAGGACTGGTACACCTTGGACGCATGCCTGGTGAGGCTGAGCGACACTTCGCAAGCTGTGTTTCCTATCCCAACAACGAGAACCCTCTGGCCTGAAAAGTCTTCAGGTCTCGAATCAGTTAGTCTTGGCTTTTAGCCCCTTGATGAATGACTTACTTGCGATAGCTCTGGCCGTGAATAACGGTTCCTTGGAAGATCTTCCTCCCCGGCATTGGAGGCCATGACGGAATGCTTTCGGATCCAGAGCCGAAAACAACCTTGTCAAACTTTAGAATTTGATCGCTCCCGTCAGGTCTGATGATATGGACGTTCCATGCCTTGTCTGCCTTGTCACGGAGTACCTTGCGGACTGTTGTCTCGAAACGGATATGCTTTTCAAGTTCGAAATGCCGGGCATACGATTCCAAGAACTCCCCAACCTGTGCACCTGTCATATACGGAGGCAGATCTGGGCTGTCAGCATGGTCAGAGTTGGTGGTGCTGGCAACTGCAACAAACCTTTGGGCACTGGAAAGTCACTGAATCCAGACTTTTGTAAATCAGCCAGATGATCAAGACTGCTGGGGTGAATAAGTGACTCACAACAAACCTGCTAACGTTGGAGACCGTTTCCGGGACTACTGACGTGTAGCTTGAGTTGGAGCTGTAGGACCAGACGCCGCCTACACGTTCTCGTCGTTCGAAACCTATGGCATCAAAACCTTCTTCTCTCAAAGCCTTGATTGCGGACAGCCCTGCCGGACCTGTTGTCGTCAGCTATGATGCGTGGTGGTGATACTTTGGGGATTGGTCTCAGTACCTACGCCTATGACAGCGATCTTGACTCTGCTCAACTGGG